TGATAGTCCCTTCTGTTGTGCGACTTTTTCCACTCCAATCTCTCTTTAATTAATGTAAGGCTGACTCCAGAGAAACATGTTGCTTTGAAAAAAAGGTTTTTTTTGGGGGGATTACAAAGTATTGAAAAATATGTTTAAATATTTAAAAAGTATTTTTTAGTAAGTTTTACTCAGTTTCACATCATAGGAAACCCAACCCCAAAGGGTTTTAGAAGAAAAGGAAAATATTGATTTATGTATGTAACATGCCAGTTATTTTGCTTTTACTGCATTTTTATTGGGGACCCAGGTTCTCTCGGTCCTCTTCTGTTCCTTATCGTTCTCCTCCACTGTCAGGTTTCATGCCTTCTTTTGGGAAATGGTTGTTCTTAATGCAGACTTAGATCATCTTTCAGTCAAATCCAGTGGAAAAGGAGAGATTCTAAAATTTAAGAATTTTGGCCATATCAGGTGTTTTCCTCTATCTTTTGAATTATTAGTAAAGTTGATGTAAGGTAAGAACTACGATTTCAGTGGATCTGAACTGATAATCTTTTAAGTTCTATTCAATCTATTCAGTTAACATGTTTTCCATGACCATATCTGAGATGCATCTTGTTGTTCTTTATCAGGTACTTTGTTTAACCTGTAGTGCTAGAGTCTGAGAATAATTCTAAGGTTTGAGCTACTGTAATTTCTTGTTTGTAAGACTTGGGATTTTTTTTCATGGTAAAATGTGTTGAAACTCTTGATATGCTTTTAATCTAGTTTTTCTTCACTCTATATTATGGGATAGTAAACAAAGAACACTACCATGAAAAATCAATCTTTAAATCTAGAAATCACTCTTGAATATTCTGTCTTTAAGAGATTGACCATGTACTGTTATGGCTTGAATTTTGTACCACCTATGTCCTTGGTACATCAAAATGTGAACCTATTTGCAATTAGAGTTGTTGCACACTTCATTAATTAAGATGAGGCCATAGTAGAGTGAGCCTTAATCTATTATTACTCATTTCCTTATAAGAGGGAAACATAAAGATAGAGAGATATATGCCATGTGAATGGAGACAAAGTGATACATCTGCAGGTCAAAGAACACAGAAGACTAGCTGACAGCTTAGAAGCTAGGAGGAAATCATGGACTAGTCTTTCCTTTAGAACTTCCAAAAAAAAAATGTCTTGCCAGCATCTCAATTTAGAAATTCTAGATTTCAGAACTGTAAAACAATAAATTGTGGCTGCTTTAAGCCATTTTAGTTACTGTGTTAGTGTTCCTTCCTAGGAAAGGAAGACAGCCACAATCCACCCCCAATGTCTTTGGTCCTGAACTGAATGTCCTATACTCGGAATCTGTGCCCCAGAACTGTCTTCTCAGTGGGAGTAATTCATCTCCTTGGCAGCCAACAACAGCTTAAATGGAAGAATGTACAAGGAGCCTGAGATACTAAAATCCAATTTTCTCAACTACCAGCATTTTAAGTCTCCCACCTGGTATTTCTGCATGATCCAAGTGTAGCTTGGGGCAGAAAATTTGGCTTTTCCAGCCCTGCTATTGTAATTGCAACTAAGTCAGACTATAGAGTGCAGGTAGAAAGGATACTTACAGTACAAGAAAATTGTCTGATCTCTGTTCACAGATGGAAAAGATCCAGCTTAAAACTTTCTCATTTTTAGGTGAACTTACTGAAGGCTGTAACATGCTGATTATTTTTCAAAACAATTTCTCTTATTCTGTTGTTTTTCTCAGCCCAAGATATAGTATGAACTACATTCATTCCACTTGGAATAAATCCATCAGTAGAATGGTCCATATATTTTGGGAAATTCTTGGCTCTTATCACTAAATAATTTTTTGTCTTATTACCTCCTTTTGAAACTCCAGTGAAATGCATGCCACATCATTTGACTATGTCTCCTGTATATGTTAACATATTTTTCCTCTTCCCAAAATATGTCTCCATTCTTTAGCTGGTATGTTAAGCCCTTGATCATGCCCTTGTCTATATGTTCCTAATGCTAGTAATTTTTTTAGTTTTAGAATTTTAATTTTTTAGATTTCAAATTTCTGTTGAAGTTCTATGAATTTATCCATTTTTCATGTATTTTTCCCTTTAATATATAATAGTAATATATCTACCATAGGTCCCTGTCTGCTAACTCCATTATTTGGATAATCTGTATTTTAATTTTTGTTTTATTCTCTTGATAATTACAGTTTTCTGCATCTTTGACTATCCAGTTCAAAATCAGGCAAATCTGGTCTTTGTAGGATGAGAGATAGTTTAGATTTGTTGTAAATGGAATACTATTTAGCAATCAAAAAAAAGATAAACTAATGCCATTCACAGCAACATGGATGGAGCTAGAAGGAATTATGCTCATTGGAATAAATCAGAAGGAAAAGGAAAAATATCAGATGGTTTCACTTACAGGAGGAATACAGGAGAACCAAATAAGACATCAGGGGAAAAAATATAATACAAAACACAACACAACAAACAATTATAAACCAGAAACATCCTGCAGGGGAGGGGAGGGAGAGGGACTGGAGGGAGGGAGGGAGGGAGGGAGGAGCACAGGGAACTGTGGTGATGGTGCACAGGTGAATTGGTGGAGGAAATTCTATGGGGACTACACCTGAGGGGGGTGTGGGGGGGTGGAGGGAAAGGCAAACATTGTTTAAAAATCAACAATGATGTAAAATATATATGAATTTTTAAAAAAGATTAGATTTGTTGTAGGTATCATCTCTCAAAACATCTATTTCATCCCAAAAGCAAAGTAAAATGTGGGTCAGCTCCAACTCGACTCCTGCTGCAGCAGCTGTGCTGCAGTAGCTGTGGATTGCCTCATAGTGCCGATGCTTAACCCCTTGCACCACTAGGGAGGCCCCTCTTTCTAGTTTTTAATACATTATATCATTCTTAAGTGATTACATAAAACTCTATAGGTTTATCTTTCTCCCAGTAGGTGCTCTCTGTTCTGCAAAGTCAAGTTTTCACTCCACACCCAGAATTGGCAAATATCCCTAGGGAAGAAACTGCTTAGTAGTTAAGCTCTTCTACGAAGGACTCTTTCCTCAGTAGACTATTGGGTTCATAGTTTCGGAAAACAAGAGAATATCTGGGGCTGCAGAATTGGAATCATATAAAACTGAAACCACTACCCCACATGAATTAGTATTTAAGAAATAAGCAGAGAAAAGAAGCCTAAAAATCACATTGTAGGTCCCCTGAAGGAAATGGTGTAATACAGTGACTGGTATTTAAAAAGTTCACACTAAATTGACATTCCAGAAACTAACCTCATAGTTATCATTATTGGATTGAGGTGGACTGATGTTGACAGTCCAGTTACGCTGATTCTGATTCCTCTCCCAAAGGGCAATCACTCAGGCAGCCAGAAGCTCAGCAAAACAGGACTCTGGGTACGTCTTCTGCCCACCTATGACTATGCCAGTGCCCCTCTCTCTTTTTCTTTCCTTTCCTAATAAACCTGTTCTTTTAAAATGTAAAAACAAAATGAAACAACCAGCCAGAAATACTCTGGTCAGAAGTGGTTTTAAGTAGCAGTTACAAAGGATTTTTGTGAACATTCACTTTGCTTAGATAGGCAGAATGAAGAAATTCGTATCACTCAATAGCTCCCTCTACACAGCCGGCTATTTCACGAAGCCAGGAGTTCACGAGAAATAGCTATTGAGTGGGTTAACAAGATCCACCTATCACCCATACTTTGGCATGAATTAATTTAATCTGACTACTGTCCTAATATCAGAAACTAAAAGTATGGGGGAAGGAAGCAGTAAAGGCTGCCATGAAAGTCTTTTAAGAAAGGGTAAACTGGACTCCCTGGTGGCACAGTGTGTTAAAGACAGTGCTATCAAGCTATTGCCAGCCACAGCAACATGAGTTCGCTCCCCGGCCAGGGAGCTAACTCACATGGTGCAGCAGACGTCTCCTGTCTTGCCTGCTGCTCCCCTCAGCAGTGTATTTCAGTAAATCTGCCAGTTCTGCTCCCTACTCTGTCTCTGGTGAATTCTCTCACCCACTGCACTTCTGGCCTACACCCCAGTTCTTGTATGCATAAAAATAAATCAATCTTTTAAAAAAAAAGAGTAAACTCATATGGGGTATTTTGTACAAAACATAAACATACTAATTCTTATAGAGTATGAACGCTAATTGATGGGACATATGACATCCATTGATATATATAGTGTTGCTGATGAAGAAAATGGGTGCCAAAAACATTAATTTGCCTGAAAGTTTTCAGACATTTAGGCACTGATATTTTATCTTATACTGCCTCCCTAATGCCAGTGAATAACAAAAGAGGTAGGCTGTACAATCTTAAGGTGTGGTAGTTTGAGTTCTCATTTGTGTGATTTAATAATTTAACTTTTAAAATACATGTAATTGTTGGGCCTCCCTGGTGGTGCAAGGGGTTAAGCACCCTACTATGAAGCAATCCGAAGCCTCTGCAGCACGAGTTCGATCCCCGGCCTACCAGGGAGCAACCCACATGGCGAAGCAGACCTCTCCTGTCTTGCCCACTGCTCCCCTTAGCAGTGTATTTCGGTTAGTCTGCCTGTTCTGTTCCCCACTCTGTCTCTGGTGAATCCTCTCACCCCACTGCATCTCTGGCCTGTGCCCCAGCTCTTGTATGCATAAATAAATAAACCCTTAAAAAAAAAAAGAAATACAGGTAATTGTAAAATATTTAATATATTTTAGCTATCTATGCACTAGCTGGCTTAGAAACAAGCATTATTAGATTGCTAATAATTTGCTTTCTATCATAACCATCATCTAATACACAATAAAATGACAAAAATAAAAGCATATGCATCAACTGGAAGCCTACACCTTGCAATTACATTAACTAATATCTATTATTTACTATGTGCCAAGTATGGTCCTAGGCAATTTAAATATATTAACATATTTAGTAAAATTATGTAATACATAAAAATTTCTTCATAACTTTGTGAAGAAAGTATTTTTACCACTGGCATGGAAATGGGAATTGGAGGTTAAATAACTTGTCCTACACTGTAATAGTAAAGGTGGTACCAGAATTTGAACCCAGACGTCTCTTACTCATACTTTTTCCATAAAAGTCATTATCACATTTTTGCATAGAAAAAAAATATGTCATGACTTTTCCAACAACCCAATATTCTACTACACTGACTTCCAATAGTGTGTATGTATAGAATTCCACATCTGAGTTTAACTGTCTCATTTTCTTAATTTAGCTTGTCATTCAGGATAGAAAAAAATCACCTTGACATCTTTCTCAGATCACTGCTAACAAAACTATCAGTTCTTTCTTTTTTGGGGCAGATATCTTTATACATTTTTGTACTTTTCATTTTAAACACTAAAAAGGCAATTCAGGTTAAGGTTTTAAAAAGTATCAATTTAATTTGAATATGTAGAAATATGCTACACACACACCATAGAAATATAAAATGCATACAATTTATAACCATTTTTTTATGAACCCTCAATATGGATGGCTGACAACTTCCAACAGATAAAATTTTGGACAAAGATATCAGAGAGGTTGGGGCAGGGGGTTCATTTCAATACCACTTAGTCATGCTGTTAATTAGGAGGTTCTTAAAAAAATAAATGACAAATATATGGATTTCTGAAGTACAAATTGACATACAAATCTATATATTTTCATATTTTCCATTTAAGTGTCTTTAAAGAAACATTGTATAACATGAAATTGGGAGGTCAAGTTATATGTAATGAAAAAACATGAGATTTATTAGAATTGTGTAACTCACATACTAAATATTTACATAAAAGTAAACAAACATTGCAGAACAAAATTGCAAACATATTTGTTGTATCCTCCAAGTCATCACCTTCAGAAAATTACTCACTGGAATAATTATAAAATTCCCAATTCTGAATGTTAATAAGAAAACATATAGGAGCAATGTGAAACATTCTTCCTACTGAGAAGTAGTGAAGGAGTATATAATTGCCCGTTGGGGATTGTCAAAGCTTTTTTAGAACTCTGGGGAAGTAGATTCCTTTTTTACGAGAGAACTAAAACTACACCCTTTTACCAACAAACTAAGATCAGCTTTCTTTTCCAAATGTACAGATAGACGCTGACAAATCTGACCTGTAGGTTAGTGAACAGTGCTTAAATGTCCCCATCCTCCATTTCCCCAAAAAGGCAGTTCTAAAGGAAAAAAAAAAAAGAAACTATTACCTATTCTCACCCTATCAGCTTGAACACAATTTTAAGTTGAAATAATTAATCATAATACAAGCAAGCTTGATGGAATTTAAGATGGAATAAATACTAGTTGTCTAAAGAACATATTCCTTAGTGGAACTCACAATATCAAAACTTAATTGACTATGTTACTAATTTAAAAAGTTAACACAGGAGAGAGAACATTTTCTTAAACTAATTTACACTCACTGTACTTCATCCTGACTATAATTTAGAATAACTTCAAGAGCTTTTGGGAAAACTTAAGGGTGGACAAATTGTGGGGTAGGGTCTATTATTCAGAGCCCTCCAGATGATTCTATAATGAAGTAAGGCTTGGGAAACATTGATTTGAAAAAATTAGTTAGGGTGTGTTTAATTTAAATAAATTACTTAAAATTCAAATATATGAGCACTAAGTTCTAAGTGCTTAGAAGGAATTCTTTTTTTCTACAAAAATCATTGGATAACATTAATATATCTTTTATCTCTTGAATAGTTATATATAACTTTACTAAAATATTACTAAAATTTTTTATTATGGTGTGCTGTCGTTAAAGATTTCCATTCTGCTTTTCTGAACTAGCCTTCACTCGATATATAACAGAAATCACTCAGATACATTTCCTCAAGATATGTGGAGAGAAAATAAGAATAACATAGATCTTATTTTTCAAGTCACAGTATATGAGGTATTCTCCACTTTATATCTGGAGTCAAGAAATCTAATTTAAGGACTAAAATTAAGTATTGCTTTAATGCTTAACAGAATATCAGAAGCTCCTGGATCAAAAATGAACTCTCATTGGTATCAGTGCATGCATTAAATTGCCTAAAAAATAATCTATGACAGGTCCTCAAGGAAACAAGTGAGAGTGGGTCTTTAATGCAGATACTGCTTCTTGTGACCTATTTATAAAACATTTTTAAAAACTGTCAGGAATATGGTTTTTGAAACATACATAATTAGAAATTAGTTATCTCAAAGGAATACAGTTTTTGCTACATTATTAGAAATTAGTTTCTATCCCAGGATAGCTTGAGCTTTAACATTTTAAATTATAACCAACTTTTTAAGGTATAAAAAACTGATCTGAAACATTAATCCAAAACAAAATCAGATTTAGATTAATAAATCTGATTTATATCTAGTTTCAACCTAACAGTTTTCACGTTCAAATCTACAAAAGCCAACTGACCAATTTATTAAACCCATGTTATACCAGTTACCGTGTATATCTCATAGGTGGACAGTAGGCCAAAAATGATGAAATTTGTTTAAACCATAATATATGCACATTTAGGAAAATGCAACAACAATTTGTTTTTCATACTTGATAAGACTTAAAACAGCTTTATACTTTTATGGAAGCTCAGTAGTCAAAATAAATATTTAATAAAAACATACACCATGATAAAATATCAAGAACTTAGTGTTTAAAAATAAACTGTTACATGTTTCACCTTTAGTTAAACAGAACTTAATTTAGTTGTGCAAAGTACAACTAACTAAGATGGGGTCTTGGAAAATATAATTAAAATTCAAATAACACTAGAGAGAGAACACTAAGATGAAAGAAAAACTTTGTTTTAATTCAGAAGTTTGAATGTAGTTATAGCTAATGGGACTTCTCAATATGATTATGACCCTAAGAAACATGAATAGTTTGGGGAATAAAAGTCAAAGATAGCCATGACTGCATGGTTCATGTTGTGAAACTTACATCACGTAAAAAAACAAAAATACAGTATATATGAGCACCATTAGTAACGTCTGTGTATGCACACATGCACATTTAAAAACGTACCTGATTAAAAACTGCATTTAGGAGAGATTTAAGGACTAAAAACACAATCATGAAAATACATTCTTAAGCTAAAATGTCACGACTTTTTTAAAGAATGTTTCCTCTAAATCCTAAGAATCAACAGAAGAATACAATACAAAGGAAGCCAGTATTCTTTTGTAATACACAGACCCTTGGTTAAACAGGTTGCTGAAGAAAAAGAATGTGTTCACTTAGTATTTTCAATCCACAGCCAGATTCCAATAAGTGAAGGGAAAATGCAATCAGCTAATAAATGGAATTCATAAGATAAATTGGTACATGTTGGTTCTGACCCCACAAGAATTTAGATTATTTTTAACTGAGCAGTAAAGATTATTCTGCTGGAAAAACATTCTTCTATAATAAAAGATAAAAATTTTCCACCTATAATGCAATAGTTTTGCTAAATTCACAAAACTCAGAAAATTACTGCCATATTTAAAATTTAATGCATATCCTGGGATTAGACAGGTCTTCAACAAAAATCTTATTTTCATCACATACATATATATATATATATATACATATATATATATATATATATGCAGCTCATGATAGACTGTTGTGTGTCCTTCTATTTTTCAAAGCTTCCATTACAAGCAATCACATGATATAAATCAAAGTTCTTTGAAAACCATTGCCACATGATGAAGAGCAATGCTATTCACCATTTAAAATACGTTCAATCTCTTCTAATCTTTTCAAAGCAGCGACTCTTTTCTTCTCAATTTCTTTGATTTCTTTTGTTGTTTTGTGGGGGGTCTCTTTGTCTGTATTTTTTTCTGATTGTTTATTGGATTTAGACTGACTTTTATTATCACTTGTTTTTACTATCTGTGTAGGTTTGGCTTCAAATCTGATTTCTTTTACATTTTCAATTGGAATTTTTTCTTCTTCTACACCTGAAATCTTACCAGCTGGGAACACTGGCTGTTCTATTAAACTAGATGAGGAAATTTTATCCCTGACTATATTCAAATGACGCTGAATATATTCTTCATGTGGTGCTAATGCCAATGTCTCAACCAGACATCTTTCAGCTTTTAGTAAGTCCTTTTCCTCAAAATAAACCACACAAAGATTATGTTTTCCTTGAACATTGCTTGGATCCATCTCTAAAATCTTTTCAAAACATTTTTTTGCTCCAAGTATATCCTTCTTTTGATTCATCAGAATGTCTCCCTTCAATATGAGACCCTTGATATGATCAGGATAGTATCTGAGTAATTCTTCCAAAATTGGCAAAGCCATTAATTCCTTTGCAGTCTGAGAATACAGGAGAGCCAGGTTAAACAAAGCACTTCTGAAGTCAGCTTGTAATTTTATGGCTTTCTTCATCCACATCTCTGCTTCACTGTCCTTTCTGTCATCCATGGCAAGCATCCCTAGATTAAAATAACCATTTGCATCTTGTGGCTCTTCATTTATATAGCTTAGAAGTCGTCTTCTAGCTTCAGGTCTAAGTTTCACCTCACCTTTGAAAAAAATATTTTTTAAGGAAAAAAAAAATTACAGTTGGCAAATGAATTAAGTCTAAGGAGAAAAGCCATTTTCAAGTACTTATCTAGTTAAATTACAAAGAAACACATCAAAACAAGCAATTGCTTTACCTAAATCAAAAAAGGAAAAACCAAAAACCTCTAAGTCTTCATAGGAAAAATAATGTTTAAAGCATTGAAATAACTCATTTCCTTTCCTTTAAGTAATAATAATGCCTCAAAAAACAAAAAGAGCAAATTATCTCTTTATAGTTCAGATCTAACTGGGAGCTAGCAGAGGAAGAACAGAGAATTAAGAAGAGGCAAGAGATTTGCAAAGAAAGATATATATTCAGTCAGATATATTTATTTCTTTTGACATTTGTAACTTCATACATTAAACAAATTTTTTAACTTCTCTGGGTTAACTTATTGAATGTTCTAAGGATTACGCGAGCCTTATGGAAAAATACTCGGCAAACAGTAAGCTATTATTGGAAAAGCAAAATGTTTCAGTTTTACTAAATCACTGATTTGTATATTATTTTTTTTTAGGGCTTTTCAAAAGTGAAAATGTACCATTAAGCATAAAGATCATAAATGAGCATTTAGAAAACAAGTATTTCTTGGGAACATTTGTATTGCAAGAAAGTACAACAAAAAAACTCAAGTTCTACAATACATCTTAGGGTGCAATCTTGCATTGGATAATGGGCATCTTTCATGATGACTAAGGTTAGCTGACTTACAAAAACATTAGTTTTCTCAAAACTTCTTTGAATAGTGGTACAAATATTTCCCCTGATTCTTTTATTTGACAATATGATGCAACAAAAATTGGAAAATAAATCTCATCTTACACAAATCACGCTAGCTATGGAAGCTACTGCTCCTTACTCTCTAACCTATTAAATAAAGGATTAGCACAGTAAACTTAGAAATCTTCTTTCATTCTAAAATAATAAGATTTTATAATTCCATCATTTTTGGAAAAAGTTTTTAACAAATACCTATTACCTTAAACATGTAAATACATTTGTCAAATATAAAAATTAAGATTATACACCATGTAAGATTGCCGAATTAAGCAATATTCAAATTCCTAGATAAGACAAATCCTGATTTATTTTAATAAATTAATTTTGCTAAATTATAGAAAATGTAGGGAATTATGATATCTGATAAAAAAGTAAAACTGGATATAAAAAGATACCAAAAGCAATTATGTAAAAAATTTTACAAGTTCAGATAATTTGGGCAATGGAATATTTATATATGTGATATTTCAAAGCATGAAATCACAAAACAGATTAACATCACTTGGTAGAAAGACTGCCTGAATAGTATTAACTAACTATACCAGAAGAACTAATAATTAGTATTGTCATTAATATTACTGCATATTACTTGAAAAGTTTGCTTCAATTATTTAAAATATTCTTATAAATTATCTTCATATAAATGATCCATTTGTAAAATATATATTACAAATAATATAATTTAAGGTTTTATTAGATTTCAAACTATACTTTGTTTAAATATAGAAGTATTTTGAAAACACATACCTGATTCTTGCATTAATATAGCAGAATTGAATAATGCTAGTTTATGTCTTGGATTTAGTTCTAAAGCATGATTGAAATTTTTTAGAGCTTCATTTGGTTCTTTAAGTTCAATATGAACAATTGCCAAGTTGTACCAAAGATCTGCATTATTTCTGTCCAGCTCAAGTGCTTTGAGATATGCTTCTTTTGCTTTGAGAGGTTTATTCATTTTTAAAAGTAATTCTCCTCTGTGGAAAAATAACACAAGCTTTACTTACAACATTACCTTGTAGATTTGCAGATACTATTTTCTTCTGCAAGTTTTAAGTTTTTTCACATATTTAAAGCTTTTATCCTTTATCCTTAGGTTCTTGAAAGTTTCGCTTTCAAAAATAACTATGAAATGTTATCAAAACTGAACTCATTAATTTATCAATTTGGCTTGATATGTTGTCAAATATTAAGAATGCAAAAGCAAGCCTGGCTTTAGAGGGTAAGATGTGGGGAGGTATCCAAGAAAGGAGGATAAACAAAATATATCCTTACAAATATCTTAGAAGGAGGCAGACTACGCGGCATCAGAAAAATGAAAGTAACCAGTGTGGAAGATCAAATTGTGAGGAGATGAAGTAATAGCATTTGAAGAAAAGGAAAAAAGAAATACAGGGTATTGGAGAAATTTCATAATTCAAAATGTTACAAGTCTCAATATACAAAAATCAGAACAAATGAAAAATTTTAACCCATCTAAAGTTATTTTCTCCATTGTATTCTGATAAATATGATACGATCATTCATTTAAAAAATGAAAGAATTTAAAAAATTGTTCATGTAGGGTGGGCGAGTACCAGTGCCACCTGCAGATATCTTAGGGGAATATAACTAGAACTGAGGATCACAGTTTGAAAATAATTTTACAAAAATTTTATTATGGTTCTATATTGTTAGAATACTTAAGTCATTTTGCTTAAACACATATAATATCAACCTAAGTATTGATATAAAAGTTATTTTTATTATGATACTATTATTCTCTAAAACATCAGCATAGGAAATCAAATTAAATGAACTCCAGATATTCTCATTAAAGCAACAAATTAGTGACCAACTCTTTATAGATTAATACATATCTTATTTATATATACAACCCACTAATCTTAGTGAATTTCAATAAGCACTGGATAAAGATAAACAAAGCCTCCTAACTTAAGATTTTATCTGAAGAAATTAAATTTTAAATGCATTTCCCCAACAGAAACAATGACATAAATTATAATTAGTTTTTTGGGGTAGGCAACACAACCAAGTTTAACATACAATTTTCCTCAGATACAAGAAAAACACTCTTGCACGGGGAAAATATATCAAATTCTAACATGTGGTGACAAAACTATTTTTTGCTGACAACTGAAACATTTCTTTGTGGTAAAGGCCTCAATAACTGGTTAATTCTGAATATTTATATATTAAAAAGAAAGTTTTTGAAGTTAACAACCCAGCTCCACATTAAGCCTTAAGGAACTAGAATAAGAACAAACTGAATTTGAAATTAGCAGAAAAATGGAAATAATAAAATCAGAGCAAAAATTAATGAAAGACAGAAAAAAATAATAGAAAAGATTAACCAAACTAAAAGTTGGTTCTTTGAAAAAATAAATAAAACTGACAAATCCTTAAAACTACACTAACCAATGACAAATGAGAAAGGGCCCGATTTACAAAATTATCAATGTAAAAGGAGATATTACAATTGATACAAGAAACTAGAATATCTGCATAGTCCAATTACTAGGAAGGAGATTAAATTAATCAAATAACTCCCAGGACAAGTTGGGCACCAGAGGGCTTCACTGGTTAATTTTCACAAACATTCAAAGGAACAAATACTAATCCTTTTCAAACTTTTCCAGAAAATTGAAGAAGGAATACTCCCCTAACTAATTTTATAAAACCAGCATTATCCTGTTACAAAACCAGAAAAGTGCAATATTAGAAAAGAAAACTACAGGCTAATCTCTCTGATGAATATGGATGCAAAAATTCTCAGTAAGGTACTAGCAGACTGAATTTAGCAGCACATTATGAAGGATCCATCTACCACAATCAAGTGAGACTTATTCCTGTAATGCAAGGATGGTCCCACTTATGCAAAACAATCTATGTGATACACAGAATGAAAGAAAAGAAACATTTTATTATCTCAATAGACACACAAAAAACAAGACAAGACATCCATTCAAGATAAAAATTCTTAAAAATTAGGAATAGAAGAAACATAACATAATAAAAGTTATATATGACAAGTCCACAGCTAACATCATACTTATAGGTGAAAGGTTGAAAACTTTTCCTTCAAAGATTAGCAACAAAACAAAGGTGTCCACTTTTATCATTCCTATTTAAAATAGCATTGGAGGACCTCCCCAGTGGTGCAGCAGTTGAGCGCTGGGTTGTGAAGCTCCCCGCAGCCTCTGCGGAGCCGGTTCGATCCCCAGCTGCTCCCCGGCCACCGGAGGAGGGTCCCACATGGCGCGCAGACCTCTCCTGCTGCCCGCTGCTCCCCTCAGCAGTGTACTTCGGTCCTTCTGCCTGCTCTGCTCCCTGCTCTGGCTCTGGTGAATTCTCTCACCCTCCCGCGCTTCTGACTGTACCCAGTGCATGTATAAACAAATAAACAAATAAATAAATAAATAAATAAAATACGGGCCTCTTTAAAAAAATAAAATAAAATAGCATTGGAAGTCTTAGTTAAAGCAATCACACAAGAGAAAGAAACAGAAGGTATCAGAACTGGAAACGAAGTGAAACTTTCACTACTTGTAAATAATACAATTTTATATATTTTATATCAATGGACTGGAAAAATATTGTTAAAATGTGAATACTACCAAAAATTATCTATAAAACCAATGCAATTCCTATCAAGATTTTAATGGCATTCTTTACATAGACATTAAAAAACATTCCTAAAATTTATATGAAATTTCAAATGAAATCCTGAAAAAGAACAAAATAGGCAGTATTATACTTTCTGATTCCATACTACACACGAAAGCAATAGTCATCAAATAGTATGATACTGGCATAAAAGCAAACAAGTAAATTAATGGAACAGAACTGAGCCCTCAGGAATAAACTCAAGCATATATGATCAACTTATATTTGACAAGGGAGCCAAGAATACTCAATGGTCAAAAAATGTCTTCTCAATAAATGGCACTGGGATTAGATAAATAAGATACAAATGAGTGAAACTAGACCCCTGATCTTATTCCACTCACAAAAATTAACTGAAGATGGATTAAAGACTAAAATGTAAAACCTGATATTTTGAAACTCCAAGAAGAAAACATAGGAATAAGGCCCCTTAACATGGGGCTTGGTAATGATTTATTGGCTGTGACAACTGAAGCATAAATAAAAAAAACAAAAAATAAACAAGTGGGCCTACAGTTAATCTAAAAAGCTGGGCATAGCAAAAGAAATCATCAAGAAAGGAAGATTATCTACAGAATGAGAAAATATATTTGCAAACCACAAATACTGTGGTTAAACCACAAATACTGATGTGTTAATATCCAAAATACATAAAGAATCCACATAATGTAGTAAAAAGGAAAACTAAATTAATAACCCAATTAAAAAAACAGACAAAAGATACAAATGGACATTTTTCCAAAGAAGACATGAAAAGTCAACAGGTACATGAAAGGATCCTCAACGTCACTAATTATGAGGCAAATGATAATTCAAAGGAGATGTCACCTAACACCTGTTAGAATGTCATCATCAAAAAGATGCTGGTATAGGTGCAGAGAAAGGGGAACCCAAGTGCATTATTCGTGAGATTTTAAGTTGGTACAGCCACTATGGAAAACAGAATGGAGAATCCTTAAAAAAATTGAAAATAAAACATATGACCTAGAAATTCCTTCTCAGAATATATCCAAAGGAAATGAAACATTAACTCAAACAGAAATACCTGCACCTACATATTCATAGCAGTATTATTCATAATAGCTAAGAACTGGAAAACCACCTATATGTACATCAATGAATGAATGGAATATTATTTAGTCATAAAAAAGAAAAACAAGGAAATTCCACCATTTGTAAAAACATGGATCGATCTTGACAGCATCATACTAAGTGAAATAAGTCAGACAGAGAAAGTCAAATACTGTATGATTTCACTTATATGGGGAATCTAAGACACAAAAATGAAAAACAACAAACTAAACTCACAGAAAAAGAAAACAGACTAGCGATTACCAGAGGTGGACAGAGGGGGGAGAGGAGAATGGAGGAAGGTAGTTAAAAGGTAAAAACTTCCAGTTATAAGATATTCAATAGGTAACAGAGATATTATGTACATGATAACTATAGCTAACATCATAGTGTGACACACAGGAAAGTTTTTAAGACAATAATAAATCCTAAGAGTTCACATCACAAAGAAACATTTTTTTTCCTTTTTCTCTTCCTTTTTATTTCATCTATATGAAATGATGGATGTTAACTGAACTGCGGAAATTCACAATCCATCGTGTTGTATGCTTTAAACTTACATATTGATAATATCAATTATTTCTCAAGGAAACTAAAAAACAAAAGGCGGCTCTTCAGAGGGGGCTATTACAAATAATTTTTAGAAGATGTATGTTTCAGTTGTTTTAAATAAAAATGAATTTGGTAATAAGAAGCAAATGAAACTAAGGAGAGTCTTCTCTATCCTTTTTTCATGTAAAACTTAAATTTGCCTCTATCGAGGCCATTATTTATTTCAAATCAACTGACTGTTAGTTTAAAATAGGCCACAGCTTTTGATGTTCTCAAGTGCCAAGACTACTAAAAGAAAAAAAACTACCAATCTAGTCAAACATTTGTGCCGCTTCAATCTCAATCTTCTATAATGATAGCTTAAAGTTAACTCTAATACCTGCTAATGTAAGCCTGCTTAAAGTCAGGCCTCATGCTGATTGCTTGTCGGTATAGCTGATCTGCTTCTTCCAGTCGTGATTCATTTGCTCGGATCAGGTTGGCCAGATTGATATAAACATTTAGGTGGTTAGGGGCAATTCTGGCTGCATATTTTTTGCCAGGAATAATCTGTTCAGAATAAAAGGTATTTTTTATACTGTTATTTCAGTACCAAAGAAAAAATCAAGTACCCCAATAGCTTCTCTAAAATACACCAAAGAGAGAAAGCTTAATGCCACTGATTTTACTGCTATATTAAAATAAGTCATAAAAATGTAAAAGCATCTGTAGTATTCACAAAATGTAAATTAAAAAAAAACTATTTGGTTGCATAGCATATATTTTTTCATTCATGCCAGCTCAAGAGAATATACTGTTAGCTTTTTATTTATGTATCATTTATGAAGTCATGGAAATCAGACTTTTAAAGGCTGGGTCTCTTATTTCTTAGTATGCGTGCATCAGACAAGGAATAGAACTCAGGTTTCCTTTCCCTCACTGCACTGTACCTGTTACCATATCAGCTCTCATGCTGTCAGCAAAATATTTCCTGATTGTGAAATAGGGTAATTATATGTCAGAATTATATTAAAACCTCACTTGGCTGGTAAAGTTAGGAAATAAAATTCTTTCATTAATTATTTAGGTTAAGTAATTATATATAATATTTATGGACCCAAATTTTCAATGAACATAAATTATATCTGATAAAAATCTACATTGAACACAATTTAACTTTAGATTAGATCTGATATATTTTATTTTAAATAATCTTTAATTATAAAAGACATTTAATTTAGCTATACATGTTCTTGATACAAATTCATATTCATACATAGTTTATCCCTTGCAAGTCTCTCCCTCAATTTTTTTGTCATCTCTGTTGGGTTTTTTTGGCACAAGAGTCAAGTATCTATATATTTGGTAAGGAAACAGTTTATCCTGTGCATTAAAATCTTCTGTAGTAGTCTTATTTTTAAAGTGTATTCCATTAAACAGTGGCACCAGAACTACCTATATGGACTTATGGACCACCTTTGGACTTGTGAATCTAATCACACAATGGTAATATTAGGCCAGAATGCTGTGTAAACCCCGACATTTTAGCATAGATTTGTGGAGCCCAGGAAAAAAATGGGTAAGCCACAGCCATGTTCTCTACTTTCATATTTTGTCTCCCATAGATGGTAGTAAGGAAAGTGATGGCAGGGTCTCATCATTTCATAACCTGTTGGTGGTGGTGTTGGTATTCTGAGTCAGAGGTGCAAAGAATTGAGTTCTTCATAATTTTCATTTTCAGAGACACATGATCATGAAAAATGAAAGTCCCTTTTCTTAAATTTCTTTCCCTTTTTCTCCAACTTCCACCCATTTTTCCCTCCTTGCCATAAACCCGCATTGTAATCTGCTTGATGTATATCTATCCTTGGTGGAAATGATGCTTTGCTCATGACATTTTCATTCAAATATTGTTATATGTTAACCTAGTCAAGCCTCGTAAAAGCTGTACAGGACTCCTTCAAACCTCTTTGACTTGTCTATGCCCCTCACTCTGAGGACTTCAGTTGTCCCACCATAATCAGCTCAAGTTCAATAATCATCTATATAGGTTTACTACTTGACCAGTTCATTGGTAATCAGGCCTCAAAAATACTCTCACCATTTTCCTTCATCTGATATTAGATACAGAATTTAAAAATCCTTTTTCATTGATGATATCCTAATAAGCTGAGTGGATAACATGTACTAGGAATCGCAAACTCAGTGGAAAGTGAAATAATTCTTAAGATAGCATATGATATAAACTTAAAAAAATTATTAGGAACTATTCAATTATTTTAACCTTACTATTATCCATATGGTATTAATAAGTATTACTATTAACAAATCTATAACCCATGGTAAAGTGATTGGCTTTTCTGACGGCACACAGCTGGTAAAGGGCAAGATCAGATTTTGCAAATTTGATGTTATGTTACAGTATCCATTAAATCTAGTATTGTGTCATTATAGCACAGAAATGCATTCACTCATCAGTTAGTTCCAAAACATTTTTTATAGGAATAATACTGAAAATAGTGCTTACTGTAAAAAAAAAAAAATTCTCTTCACTTAAATTCATCTATACTTATAATTCCTAAAATTAATAACCTTATCTATTTAGGCTTTACAAATGGATTATTTTTTTTTTCAAATTAAGTGAGCTAGAAAAGTAACTAGTGTTTTATAGAACTTACAGTAACAGAAAGTTCATTGAGCACTTTATCAACTTTTTTTATATGAATAGGTTGAAGAAAAGATAAGGATTTTCCATCTTGATAAATGAACTTAATATGGATATCCAGTGGATTATGACACAACAGGAATAAATTATGACAACTTACTTGGGGCATCAGTGACTTTGCCATCATGTAAGATTCTTCAGCTTCTTTGGTTCTATTTAAATTTTTGTAAGTTCTTCCTACATTCATGTGGGCACCAATATCATCTAAAATTAAAAAAAATAAAACCTTGATCTTTTGTTGGCAAATACACTAAAATAGTTCTTAATGTAAATTACTAAGACATGTTTCTGGCAATAAAACAGGTCAAAAAATGCAAAAACAGGTCCTATTTCTTCTTTAAAGTTCTTCCAACATTTGGTATGAATTATAAAAGACTAGACAATTATTAAATAAAATACTGTTAGGACAGAAAAAACACATATGACACAAAATACTGGATTAATCGAACCTTAAGGTTTAAAAATGAGAGAAAATGGGGCAATGAAGAATTTTACATTATTTTTCTTCATTATATTTTGCTATAATATACTAACAGATGTTTCATTTCCTTATTCACATAGCTTTGGAACTCACTCAAAAAAGTATGGCTCAATTCTACAAGTGACAAAGTTCTACTGGTGAAAAGGATCATCGTAATTCTCGAATTTTTCAGGTGTTATAACTAACAAGTATGTACTCATGATAGCAAAGAGACTATGAAAAAATCTCTGAGATTGTATTTTTAAATTTTTGGAATGTGAGTAGAATGAGAGGACTTAATATTAGGATTCTACAATATTACCACAGATGCACCAGCCTATCTCTTTTAAATGATAAATTCCTACCTATATACAATGTTTTAAAAGGTTGTGCTAATAGCATATTGTTGGGAACTTTTGTCTCATTTTCTGATATGAAAATTCAAATCCTCAGTAACTCTATTCAAGGACAGAAAAAGACACAATTTAAGCAAGGAGGATAAGTGGTTCATGGCATACTATTGGGTTGAAGAAAAGTCAAGACATATTTTTTCTACGTTTTCTATGCAAAAATGCATTGTGACTTTTCCGACAACCCAGTAACTTTAAACTACATTTCTCAGTAAACATTTCAAAGGTTTGGTATAAAGACATAAAGATCTTAAAACAGTTAAACTAAACTCAACATGAGCTTCTAACAGACATGACAAGGCTTCAAATAATGAATACTACTTGCCTATGACTGATGATTTTGCAAAGTGTGGAATAGCTCTCTGCCTGCAAGTGCCAAGATACATATGGGTCAAACATACTCATCTAGGCATTCCCCTAAGAGGTGAGCAACAATCTAAAATGCTGCTACATTATTTTAAGCTGGTAATTGTGTATACTGTACAAAAACTGTCAGATGCAGTTTAGTTAGAGAACTAGGGGCAAGTTGGGGGAAAAGGTCTGCTCTTTTTTGTTTTTAAATATCTATATACATGCAGCTCATTGGGTCTCAACGGGGAAACAAGCAAAACAAAAAACAAAACAAATCTGAAAACAGTACTTAGGCTAGAGTAGTCATTCCTAACCCTGGGGCAAATCAGAATACCTGAGTGGCTTTTAAATTTTCAGATATCTCATCTCTACCAAACTCTATCAAAATAGAATATTCAACAATATTCTAATGAAAATTACTAAGACATGTTTGCAGCAATAAAACAGGCCAAAAAATGCAAAAAACAGGTCCTATTTCTTATTTCTTCTTAGGATCTGAAAATGTTTATAAAGTTTCAAAGGCAATTGTGATGTAAAGCCAAGGTCCTACCTTGAATCAAACAAGACTGATTGCCCCCATCCCCTTCTACCCTCTTGATTCCATCCATATTCAGAATTCATACCAATTGTCTCTAATTATTCTGCCTTTACTCCCTAAATTTACTCCTATCAGGCTTTTGCACCTATCATTCCACCAAAACTGCTCATCAGAGCAACCCTAGAATGTTCTATCTATATATGAAAATTTTTTTTTTCAAATGTCTGATATAAGTGGTTCCAACATGAAATCCAATTCAAAATAAGTTGGCATCAAACACTATAGTATTCAAATTACTTAGAATAAAGACTGAAAATAAACTTTCTTATTTTCCTCAAATATAATCAAATTTTTAAAAAGAAAATAAACTATTCAAATAGTTTTATTTCATGATGCTTACCTGGCTGAACATGGGTAGCCTGCAAGAAGTATTTCAAAGCTCTCTCAAAATTCTTTTCATTTTCCAGAGCATGACCCACATTATTCCATAACTTGGCATTGTTTTTATTTACCTTAGATATACAGGTACACGTGGCATTAGTTACAATTAAAAATAACACAACTCCAATTAGCACAGATATTAATTTGGTACACTATTAGGAACAGAATGCTACGTGATTTGAATGGGTGACAATGCTAAAAGGTACAACTTTCCAGTTTGAAGTTTTGAGAATATAACAACTCCACAACACTGCACTGAACAATACTAAGGAGAATATTTGAAAGTTGCTGACAGAATAGACCTTAAAAGTTCTTATCACAAGAAAATGAGGCTATATGAAGCTATAAATATTAACTAAAATATTGTAGTAGTCATTTCATCATACATACATACATCAAATCTTTATGTTGTATACCTTAAGCTAATACAAATTTGTCAATTACATTTCAATAAAACTGGAATAACATAAAATAAAACCATGGGGATTCTCTACCAGAATATCTATTTATACATATATATATATTGTTTAATATACCATTAGGAATGGAGTGTTCCATGGAGATGTCCTTGGCTACAAGAAATGAGCTAACTAGACAATGCTTCACTAAATTTACTCTATGCTTAATTTCCATTATCAACATACTAGAACCACAGTACTCTGATTTTATTTATATTACGTATTAGAATTTTACTAAAACTTATTTGATCAAAGGATAGTGGTTTTTTAAAAATACTTGCTCTTTGCATGCTTTTAAGAGAAGAAGTATTTGGACTTAAGAATATAACTAAATATTCTGTCCTGGGAGTGAGGAGAAAAAAATTCCTGAAAATTATAAGGTGCCAGTGGTATAGAAATGAGGGTTTATAAGAATAGTAATGTAGTCTTATTTGCAGATATCTGAGTTTGGGGAAGAGATTGTAGAGAATCATTGGGTCATAAGAAGCCCAGTAAATCAAGAAGTCACATGTAAAATCAGAATAAGAAAACAAAAAGGAAGTAAAAATTTGTAGTTCTGAAGAGAAGCACTGGCAATGGAGTGCCTGAAAAAAAAAAAATCTTACAACTTTTTTTGAAAACACTTTTGGTGATTTTTAAAAAGACCTATTCCTACTTATACTGTCTATTTTATAGAAATGCTAACATCACTCTTTTTCGCCAGCTCCAATCTTCCTTAGTGTTGTAACCACTGGGTATACCCCAGATCAGTGTGCCTTTTTTATCCATGACATATTTTATTTCACTGAATCTAAGATGCTGTCAGTTATGGCTCACTATTATTTTAAGTACTATTAAGAAAGAAAAAAAGTTTATTAAATAGTTGCAAGATTCCTTTTGCTATAATATTTAGTTTTTCAGAGATGTTAAAAGATAAAAAATGTGTACGTTAAGCACCAATGAAATACAGTATTCTTATTTATATATTTTATCATTAGAGTTTTTAAAGACTATGTAACATTTAGGGAATTATACAAGCTGTGATACTATTTAAAGTATTTCATTGCAGCACACATTATATAAAGAATAAATTGTCTTATTAATATTTTGGTGAAATATTTGTACCAACAGTTAAATGTCAAATTAAAAGTGATGTTAAAATAGGTAACACATGGCTATAAGATATCAAATCAAAACAAATTTGTATCCACACTGCCACTTACTAGCTGTGTTTCAATACACAATTTCAGGTTACATGCATGAATTGCAATTTTCAAATGTGCTAAACAGAGTTAAGGAGTAACAAATTCAATAAAAACATTTTTGTCATTCTGAATAACACGTTACCTTCAAGGCTGACATAAACAATGTATATTCAGATTCCCAATCCCAATTTCTGTGGAGTGTTTTTAAGGCATGAGTGAATATCACCACAGAGAGGAAAACCCAGGATAGCTTTCTTAATACACTGTTTAAGAGAAAAATGGAAAATAAAAGATTGTCTACATAACCAAAAGCATTTTATCTTTTAGAGAGGAAAATCTTAATTATTTCTAAACATGTTTGAATTCATTCTCAAGTATAGGGATAATTCTAATCATCATTTAATGTCAGAGTGAAAACATCAAAATAAGTAAATATTCTCAATACAGAACTACCTCTTCAGTCTTCAATTACATTAAATATTCTAATATTTGTCTCTATTTCAAAAGCCTTATCTAGAATTAATGACAAAAACCTGATAAAACTGGTTTTTAATTGTTTTTTATATTTAAAGTTTCTTGTACTATTACCTACAACTTGAATATTAAAGATAATTAGAAAGAGTCAATCTTATCATAGGTTATATTTACAAATGTCTTAATGTATATTTAAGGTCACTGCATTTCAGACTGTAAAATAAAATCATATAAATATGCTAAAGAACATAGGATGAGATAGGTGTTATAAAGCTTTCCCAACTTGAAACATAGACAAACGAGGCAGCACTCAAGATGATAAACAAAATAGCTTGAAAGTATGACTTGTAAAAGTGAAGTAAGTGCTTATATGTATCATACTTAAATCTGTTGCTATTAAACATTAAATGAATTAACATTTCAATTTACCTTTTGTTTGATATCTTCTGCCATCCATGGGCTACTAAAATACAGAACCCCATGCTAGGAACATACAATACTCGTTCAGCAACAACAAATCCAACTGGAAAAAAAAGGTTCGATGCAGGAATAAATGGTAACGCCATTAAACAAAGTGCCTACAAAAAAAAAGATATTTTATTAAACTAAAAATATACGGACATTCAAATCCAACTATTTTATTTAATTTAGTGGCTGTGCCAGAAATGATGTATTTGCAAATTATTACAAATACTTCCTGGCATATATAAGTGATTTCAGAGTACCTACCAAATTAGGGAAATTAATAATCAGTTTTTATTTTATATTCTGAATGTACAAATCATGCCTACATGTCATAGTCTGACATATAATTTTAGGAAAACTTAATGAGCTCATAAATATGATGTTGAACAAAAAAAGATTCTAGTTCAAAAAAGACACTTTTGATGAATGAGAGGCAATCTCCTGATCAATTAATGTAAGAGCATGTGTAAAAATAAGAAAATTTCTTACCATTAAAACAGTCTTAGAGGAATCACCAGGGTATCTGAGACTGAATATTCCCAAAGCTCCCAATAAGCAAAAGAAAGTAAACGTGGCAAGATTTCGAATATCCAGAAATGACTCTATAAGTGGTATTGTTCCCATGGTCCAATCACAGCAGAGCTCTGAAGGATTTAAAAGAAGCCAAGCATTTACAGGAAGGAGGTAGTTAAAAGTTAGCTGCCTTGTGGGAGTTGGGCTTACAGCAGCTGGGTTATCAAACCTGTATAAGGAATGAAAAAAAAAAAAAAGTAATTTTTAGATACAAAATCAACTCATATATAAATAAAAAAAAATCAATAAAAGCAGCATTTATATGTAATCTTGTTAAGAAGACAAATATTTTTATGCATACCTCACACTCTTGCTAGAACTCAAAATGTCTAACCTCTATGAAATGTCTAGCAAAGAGGGGTGATATTTATAAAGAATTATATAAAAAAATCTAAATGCAACCACTAAGACAACACAACAATGATGTACAGCTAATAAGTCAACATGGAGCTAAAATAATAAAAAAACTCAATTCAGAAGATGAAAGAAGAGAAAATGGAGAACAAAGACCAGATGGGAACAGCGAGATGGCAGATTTATATCAAAATTTATCAATAGTTATGTTAAATGAAAATAACAGAAACAGCTCATTTAAAGACAAATATTTTACCAAACAAGAAAGGGAGACTCAACTGTATGCAGTCTACAAGAAATCCACTTAAAATGTAAAGACATAGATAAATAAAATGTAAAAGGATGGAAAAAGATACATCACATAACACTAACAAAAAATAACTTGATATCCATATTAACTTTAGACAGTGAATTTCTAAGGGATAAAGAAGTTCACTTAAAAATGATAGAAGGATCAATTTATCAAGATATTACAGTTCTAAATGTTTATGGACCTAATAGAGTTTTAAAACAAATGAAGGAAAAATCAACAGAACTGTAAGGAGAAATAGATAAGTCTATGATTAAAGTAAAAAATTTCAATATCCTTCTCACAAGAAGACAAAGTCATCAAGGATACAGAAGACCTCAACACTTAACCAATTTTGGGGGAATCATCATCTTGATAGTGTGTTTTTGTAAGTCTAACAAGTTGAAACATGAATTTGCACACTTTAAATATACACAGTTCTTTAAAATGTTAATAATACCTTAATGTTAAAACACCTCAACGTAAATCAAAGACTTAATCTTTGTAATCACTTAAAATCCAAAATTTGAAAAAATAGGATGGAAAAAATAGAAAGAACCAGAATTTCCTACCTGGTAAATACTGGAAGTTGGGACTGAATAACCTGGACTCTAATCACAACAAGTAATAGTGTACTGAACATCAAAACAATGAGTTTTATTAGTGTCTGCAGCATAGAAAATGGAATACTACCCTTTCCACGGAGAAACTGCCCAGCAGTAGCACATAATAATGGCAAAGTATACTGAAAAAGAAAGAAAATATTTTTAAAAACAAGTAACAAAATACTATGATGTTTTCAATGATGCATTGCATTCTAAATAACAGAAACTACAAACTTAGTATAATTAAAAAATATGGAACAATCTGTTGAACTGATAGTAAGACAGTCCAACAATCTTATCCAATGATGAATTATACTACACAGTACTGTTGTGTATTGTTGCAAACTGCCTAGAGTCCATTTAAAAAAAAAATCAGTCCCTAAAAAATTGCAAATGTGTTGGGCCTCCCCTGGTGGCGCAGTGGTGGAGCGCTGGGCTGCAAAGCTGCCCACAGACTCTGCAGTGCCAGCTGGATCCCCAGCTGCCAGCAAGGGTCCCACATGGCGCAACAGACCTCTCCTGAAATGCCTGCTGCTCCCCTCAGCAGTGTATTTCGTCAGTCTGCCTGTTCTGTTCCCCTCTCTGGCTCTGGTGAATTCTCTCACCCTCCCGCTCTTCTGACCGTACCCAGTGCTTGTAAATAAATAAATGAATCTTTTATTTAAAAGAAAAAATTGCAAATGTGATAAAATGTTAAGAAATTTTCAGTACACATAAGAAAAAGACAAGTTTGCTTCTTGCAAATTTTTGGTAGCATTACTGATAATCAGATCAATTTATATAACGACACATTGGAAAATATTGGGTTGTCAAAAAAGTCATGACTCAGTTTTGCAATGAAACAGAAAAAAATACGAGATGACTTTTCCGACAACCCAGTATTTATAATAATCTGATTCAACTAGGATAAAGACAGCAACAAGAAAATTTATATTTTTCCTTACCCCCTGGGCAATAAATACTTCATACACACAGCAAATTCCCACAACTGTTATTCCTTGTTCTTTACACAGTGTTGCAATGGCAACTAAAATCACTGTCAAAGCAATTGGAGTCCACACTGTAATTTAAAACAAGAACAAAAAAATAAAACTACACAAAACAATTTTGTAACATCATAAAAGGACATTTTAACTTAGACAACTATTAGTCATTACTGAAAAACTTTACTACTGATTCTGTATTCATTTATATTATTTTCTATTGACCTATAAATACTTTGTTTTAAAATGTATTTGAATTTTGTAATTTTTGTTTTATAACGTAAAACTCAAGATGTATTATTTGAATTAGAAAATTTCTGTGAAGAAAATTAACCATATAGTAACTTTTAAAACAAAGATATGGTGTCCAATTTATAAAAGAAAACTTACAGCCTTGAGATTCATGATTAAAGAACTATCAATTTAAAATGAACTCAAGTATCAAAAATAATCACAGATCTCTATATACCTGATTTGTAATATAATAAATTTGAACGTGAAAACTACTGATAATTAAAAACACTGAATTGTGAGTAATATTGAATCTACTGCTAACTTGTTTTGTGACCTTGGGTAACTTATCTGAACTTCAGTTTTCTTACTGGAAAATATCACTTCAATTCTTTTCCAATTGGAAAAAATACAGGGTAGTATGAATGTGCAATGTCACCTTTAATCAAAGCAAAAACTCAAATAAATGAATTAAATAAAGGTATAAAATAAGAACACAATTTGTGAATCTAATATAATTTCTCTCATCATTGGTCTTAAAAATAGTAATTTAACAATTTCTGAAATTTAAAAGTTTAAATTTAAAAATTCAATTTTAAAGCTCTTCACAGATTAAAACAAAAACTCCATAAGATTGTTAGGGATATTATTATAATAAAGGTATACTTTAATAGATGTTTACTTTTGCCTAAACAATACAATTCGCAGTCCATCAGGTGTTAAAGAAAGACTCTAGTAGAGGGCCTCGCTGGTGGCGCAAGGGGTTGAGCACCGCACTATGAAGCAATCCACAGCCTCTGTAGCACAAGTTCGATCTCCGGCCAGTCAGAGAGCAACTCACATGGCAAAGCAGACCTCTCCGGTCTCGCCAGCTGCTCCCCTCAGCAGTGTATTTCAGTCAATCTGCCAGTTCTGTCCCCACCCTGTCTCTGGTGAATCCTCTTGCCCCCCACATCTCTGGCCTATTTTTGCAGCTCTTGTATGCATAAATAAATATTTTTTTAAAAAAAGACAGTAGAAATACTGGTAGTTGTAGTATTTACAGGTAACAGCAGATAGAACTAAGAATGACTCTAACACCCCTGTATTCTAGGGTAATTTAAAAAAATTAGACTGGGGCCTCCCCGATGGCGCAGTGGGTTAAGCGCAGTGCTGTGAAGCTGTCCACAGCCTCCGCAGCGCTGGTTCAATTCCCGGCCAGCCAGGGAGAATCCCACATGGTGAGGCTGTCTCCTGTCTCACCCGCTGCTCCCCTCAACAGTATATTTCGTCAGTCTGCCTGTTCTGCTCCCCGCTCCATCTCTGAACCCTCTCACCCTCCCGCGACTCTGGCCTGTACCCAGCTCTTGTATAAATAAATAAAATAAATCTTTAAAAAAAAATCAGACTGTACAAAATCTGTAGTCATAATAAAATATAAATTACACTAACAAATTAATATTGCCAATATTGCATACTTTCGTATTTCTATACATGCTAAAGCAGTAAAATATATAAAGATAAATTATTTTATAAGTACACAGAGTAAATAAAAATTGCTTGATGAATTTTGAGCTATAGAAAAATGTCAAATATTAGACATTTACCTATGGAATTGTTGGGTCCTTTTGATTTGGTATATGACAAAAAAGCAGCCAGAAAAAAGATGGATGACAAAAGTTCAGCTCTTCCTACAACACCTGTTACCTAGAAAGGGAAATGAGGTGAGGGGTGGTTCATATTAATGAAGAGAATATTGAAAATTTAACTATAAATGATAGCAAAGGCAATTTAATTAGAAATCCATTGCCATGACTTTTAAGCACATTTTCTAAGACATTCTGTGAGCGCCCTCTTGTGGAAAATCTGTCTCTTTCATAAAAATTTAGCAGTGACTTTAATAGGTCTTTTACTAACTTATTTTGAAATAATAAAAGACAGCAAGTTACAAAAATAGTAGCAGTCCCCTGTACCTTTTACATCCAAAGGTAACATCTGAAATAGCTACATCTAGAACACTTCTTTATTTACATATGCTCTGATATATTTTCATCCCCTACTTAAATTTGCTTTACTATTTTCTGTACTTTGAAACATAAATATTGCCAAGTTAAAAACTTTTAACTAAAAGCTATATTTGCTTATATTGCATGTGAGTGCAGTTAAGAAATTATGGCTTATGTTCTTGAATGAATGTTTCAAAAATAGTTTTAAATTTAAATAAGTCATGCAGGAAACAATAGACTGTACGTTAAGAACTTAGACTTGCAGTAATTTAAGAGTCTTCAAATACTTATATTAATTTAATGGCTAATTATTTTTTTAAAAATAGGTGCGATTATAATCACTGTGTAGGCTTTTTAAAAAAAAAGTAAAAAAGCGCTAATTTAAATTATACTTACTGCTTCTGTGTGTATTGGGTGTACTGCAAAAAGTAGAGAGGCAATCATACTACTCCTGTTGTCCAGAAAAAGTCTGCACACTTTAAGAAATATCACACTAACCACAGCATGAAAAACTGTATTTAGAAGATGGTATGACATGGGTTTCAGTTCACTAAACAGATAATTTAAGCGAAATGTCAATACTGTTAAGGGACGATAAGACTTGTGGCTTCTCTCCTGAAAGAATTAAAAAAACAATCATTGGTTATTAAACAACTTCAGTGTTTATAATCTAATCATTGCATTTACTATTGAAAGTATATCTACATTTGTTGGAGACATAACAGTAAAATAATGAAATGCCCCAAGGATGATACAGACATTAAAGACACCATTATAATTTGTACTGTCCTATTTCCTTCGTAAAAAAACAGAACAATTTCCTTTCTATATAGTGGTCAGAGAATTAACAGTACAGGAAGAATATTTAAGTAATTCCTTTTCAATACATGTATTAAAAAGAAGATAGGAGGACAACAAAAGTGGCACTAGAGTTCAGGATTCTCTCAAAGGCCTGCACCCAGGTCTGTGACAAATACAAGTATTTATTGAAATGATGGCCAGATCTTCCAAAGGAACTACAAGAACAAAATATTTACCAGTAGAGTTGAAACAGCGATAACCAAAAAGGTACTGTCTAGTTGTTTTATGAAAAATATTTCCATGATGTATAAACCTGATTTTATTAAACCAAAATCCCTAAATACTACACAAGAGCAAAAATTTTTTAGATTAGACAACTTTGTTATGGTAGTCTCTATTGGCAATAAATTAAATTTTATGTGAATACTGAATTTCTTTATAAACTAGAAGTTACATTTAATGAGAAATATTTTTACCCTCAGACAAAAATCAAGGCAGATTTAAGAATATAATACATAGATCAAAAATACATAAAATATTACCATAGATTTTTTTTTTTTTGTAATTTTACATTATGGTAACTACACTCAGTTTCTTTGCTCTCCTATCTCTTACCACATTTTGCTGTAACTCTGGTATATAGGTATAGATTTAAGCATGTTCAAACCTACAAAAGGAACATTAGGATGCACAAGGAACAAACATTTCACATTTTGAAATGAGAAACATTATAATATCTCTCTGATTGTACACTATAACAAACCATGAGCACTGTCTACCTAGAATATTCTTTCCTGCTTGGCCTATTCCTAAACACCCTTCAAATTTCATCTCAGGCGTACAAAATTGTTCGTAAGCACTATAATGAACTGACATGATTTGAACCAGAAAGTAGAAAAGATTCTAAGAAACCTTGTGAGTGCCTGATATGTTACTGTGGTTCCACTTAACTGCCAACTGAAAAGAAGTCAGAAAATAGCAGGAAATAAGTATTTTTAATTGCAGTGTACATAATTGTTTTGCTAGGTCAATTATACAGATATACATATACCATGATAATGACCAAATAAAAGATAAATTATTAATATTATTATTCATATAATTCATTAGTAATACATTTGAAACACTACTATGACAATCAGCAGCTTAGTAGGTATCAGGTTTACTCTAAAAAAAATAGCTGGTTCTGTTATGAATAAAAACAATTCAGATTATTATTATATTGAGGTACATAAAGAAAAAAGTACTTGGAGTGTTACCTGGCAATAGAAACATGAGCAAGAATATACCGCATAAATAAGCTAACAATTCCCTGTCAATGTGATCTTCAAATAGGGATGGCAAAAACTTACTGAGTGGCTACATGCAAAAGTTACCTTAACATAGGTACTTTACAGGTCTAATGCCAGGAATATATGGCTCCATAAAGCAGAAAAGTTATCAAACATGGCAGTATCAAATAATCACTTTGTTAACAAAAAAATCTCCCATTCTCCCAAAACACACTCCACAAAACAAAAAAAAAGCAAACATACAAACAAGACAAAAAATAGTGATGCTAACATCCCACTCTGAGATAACTATTAACAACAGGCTTCGGTAGAGTTTTGATAATTTTTTAAAGTGCTCCAGGCAGATTCTAATGTGCAGCCAAAGCTGTAATCCATGAACATCAATAAACAAAGTGTTACGTATCTCAAGAATGGATTTCCTGAAGAGATAATCTAAACATAGACAGGCGAAGGGGGATGCAAAGACTCCTTACTAAGGCAGTAGTCACACAGCTCAGGAGAATGTCCTAAGGCCTCTTCATGATCTGCACTGGCACACAAATCCTTAGGGAAAGCATGCATGCCTGCACACAGGCTTCCAGGCTATCATTACATGATGACACAACCACTAGATCTGTGAATGTGCCAATTCCAGCTTGTCAAGAAACTGACACCTAAATGCTACTTAGAATAATTTTTCCCTAGTGCCACATTTCCCTGCAGGAAAGAATTCGTCCATCAGAAAATAGAAGGAAGTGATACTCTTCACTGTAACTTGTATTCTAATTTGTTTATTTTCTCCAAAATTATTATTATTAAATTTGTGTGTGTGTGTGCACTTACTGTTCTCTGAAAAAAATCACAAAACATAGTACGGATTCTATGAGATCTTTTTATCTGGTGAAATTTTCAGGCAAAATTGCAATATGATTAAAATCACAACAGATACCAGTGTAATTTTGGGCAATGCACACATACTACTAAGAGCCTCTGGGGATAAAGTGAAGGGTAAAAAAAATAAATTATCTAGAAAATAATACAAGCTATAATAGGGCCATATTTTCTTTTCATTATCAAGAGTTTTCTTTTTTTTTTTAAGACCTAAGTTGTATGTGAATAGGAAGGCTGTAAGAAAAACAAAGCCTGCTTATTTAATCAGAAAACATACATATTATGTGTTTGTAACAAGAGGAATGAAAGACTCCATCCCCATTCTTGAGAAGTATCCAAGTTTGGAGAATACAGAAAGGGGTCATAAATTACAACTCACAAACTATCAAAGAGTATTATGTATTTTAACAATAATGTGCCAGATACTAGTTAGACTGATTCATTTATCCTCAGGGTATTACTATTCTTTTATAGGTCAGAATAATGATTTGCCATCAAAAGCTGTATTTCCACTTATTTTTCACAACTGATATATAACAGAATGTTAGATTCCAATCTATATGATCCTGACCTTACAATTAATCCTAAATAGCATAAAATTGACCTTGGCAATAGAGTTACTAGCAAAATAAAAAACCCTGATGAAAATAAACTAAACTTTTAGGTATTCTCAGTATAAAATTAAAGTAACTATTAGGTAAAAGATATGACACAAATTTAAACTTTTTAATAAATCACTGCTTTTTTGCTATAGAAAAACTGTGTACTTACTATTTTATCTTTAAAGTATAATCTATTTACATAAATTATACATTTTAAATGTTTAGACATAGCATACGTAGTCATCTCTTTTGCCTGACTCACAAGAAAAAAAGTATATTTAGTATTTGCTTTTCATACACTTTTTTTTTTAATTTGGTCAAGGTTCACAATCAAGGAAAGGATAAATTAGTCTAATTATAGTACCTAGCACATAGCTGATAAAACATAACCATAATACCCTTATCGTTTGCTTTAGAGACGATAAATCATATCTTCAACTTGTTCTTAAGAATGTTATGTATCTCATAAAAACTTTTTTGGGAAAAATTCATACTTGCTATGATTACAACATTAGTAAAGAAAAAATAATAAACTATTCCAGACTATTTCAAATTCTGATATACAAAAAAGTAACTAATTTACCTCAGACATGGGGGTTAATAAACTATTCCAGAGTATTTCAAATTCTGATATACAAATAAGTAACCATTTACCTCAGACATAGGGGTTCCCCAGAAGTCATTCTGAAATAAAGTTTTTAAAGGTGTAGATGGATGTAGGTCTTTATTATCCAGTATTGCTGAAACATCATCAAAAACAAAACCACAGAAGAGGCTGTTCCAATAGCAGGCAGTAATCACACCTACTATTAAAGTTACTTCTTTGAGGTTAATATCAGCCATCTTTTCCACAACCACTTGTGGACAAATCTGGGGAAAAAATCATGAAGATAAAATAAACAACAGAAGTACAATTTTACTGTAAGTAAAATAAAGATTGACTATTAATTGTCCCAGAGAATTACTTTAAAGTCCAGCTCAAACATCATATACTTTCAAGAAGAATTAGTTGATCACCTCTCCTAATTCTTAAGACAAAATTGTTCCATCATATGAATTTTTATACCTCTGTTACAGTCTTTTATCATACCACTCAATCTTTGGAACTGTCTCTCCAGCTAACTGGAGAACGGACTCCTTATCAACTGTCACATGTCAGGATACCTGGGAAACAGATTAAAAAAAAAAAAAACCTGAAAAAAATAGCATGATAAATAGTATAAATGCAGCTTTGTGGGAATTTCTAAAGTGCAGAAAAAGTCAATATTTTAATGCAAAACTTTGTCTATAAACTTTATAATAGATACCTATGGAAAGGAAAAAACTTAGTATACATAGGGTTCAGTACCATCTGTAGTTTCACATATCCACTGGGGCTCCTGAAGCATCCTCCTTGGATATAGGGATACTACTATACTTTATGTAAGTGGCTATCAATTATTACCTAAATCAGGAGTCCAAACTTGTAGCCTGCAGCCTTGCTGATTAGTTTGAGCAGTTTTTAAAAAGTATTTGTCTTGAATGCCTTTAGGCTATCCGTACACTAGCCAAATAACTACATAATCCCATTGTCTTCCATATAGGTTAATTTGCTTGACTGATTATGTTAACTGTTTGGCCCTTCTGACAGGAGAGTTTATGACCAAGATGTAAATCAGTTTTTCTTTTTCCCACTACAACAAACACTTTTAATATAGAGTATAGGATTCACGTATGGCAGTTCATAATTAGCACACTACTTTATAAAGTGTTCAGTAGAAAGAAGTACATTAACTGGATACTGAAGAAATCAGCCCCAAATAAAAATAGAAAGTACTCTCAGGAAACAAGCTAATGATACTTTTCTAGTTAGAGCAGCTTCTTTAGCATAATTTAGTGTTATTTCTTGTGAAAGGCTGTATAGGGTAAATGGTTTTCAGGCTTTTCTGCCCTGCCATTAGGATTGCCCTGCCTGATGGGGCACCTGGATTTGTTACATTGGTATGACTGTGTTGTTTACTTGTGTGGGCCATGGCTCAGCATTGAGATATCCAACTAAGAGATGCAGAGGCAGGAAAGAAGAGGCAGGAGAGAGAAGGGGAGAAAGAAGCCCAGAGTGAAGACTTGCTGGGGGCCCCTGCCTGCAGTGTACCTGGTTGCTGCACTATATGTAAAGCTCAATAAAAGCCTGAGAAAACCACCTAGGGCTCCAGGACTCCTTCTTTATCCCAGTCTGCTCGGGTCATAGGAAACCTGCTCAGTGCCCTTCCTGGCACTACAGGCAGAATGGTTTCCCAAAATTGTCCACATCCAAATACCCTCAACCTGTTAATGTTACCTTGTGAGGCAAAAGAAACTTTACAGAAATTAGTAATTTGAGGATTCTGAGATGAGATTATCCTAGATTATACAGATGAGGCTATTCAATGGCATTAGAATTTATAAGTGAAAAAGACAGAAGTCAGAATAGCAGAGGTCTGAGTGCTATGACAGGCTTGAACCACAAGGTAAGGAACAATGGAAGTCCGGAAAAGCTGCCATGACCCAGCAATTCCATTCCTAAGGATTTACTCAAAGAATACAAAAACACTAAATAGGAAGGAAACTCCCACTCCCATGTTTATTGTAGCACTATTAACAATAGCCAACGTAAGTACCCCAAGACAGATGGGAGGGTCAAGAAGGTATGGTATTTATACACAATGGAATACTACCTGACAATCAAAAAAGATAAACTCATGCCATTTGCAGCATGAAGCTGGAAGGGATTACGCTAAGCAAAATATGCCAGAAGGAGAATGATAAATACTGGATGGTACACTTTATTGTACAGAATATAGAGAAAGTAAACAAAGGATCAAAGATAAACTTCAAAAGCTGACCACAGAACTAAGCCATCCAGAGGGGGAGGGGGAAGGAAAGAGGTGAGAAAAGGGACCAGGAAAGCACAATGGACTACATGGACTAGGGTGGATGACTATGGTGGTTGGTGCACTATGGTGACTTCACCTATACTTCCAAAACACTAACCAGGATGTGAGCCAATGGTTTAAAAGAAAGAAAAAAAAAAAAAAAAAGAACTTTGGGACTACCATCCTACAAACAGCACTTTGTGGACTGAAATGTCTATGCAGTATACTGAATGCATAAGAATACCTTTATTTGAGAAACATATACAAATATATATACATACATAGTTCATATATATATTCCTTCTTTTGATTGTGCTTGTAGTCATTCTTGTACTTACTTGTACTTACAGCTACGGTTGGATATCTAAAGGGTAGGGGTCTCAGGTTGAAAAGCTACTCTCTGCTACCTGTGGTCATATCCAGTCGGTCAGCCTGACCTTCTTTAAATGATTTCCAGAGAGCATAAAGGCAAGTCCCAATGCAAAACTCTTTTCAAGTCTCTGCTTACTGTGTATTTTTTACTGCCAATCAGACAAGATAAACTCAGAATCAATGTGGGATTGGTGATAAAAGGGCAAAATAATAGAAGTTTTGAAGTTTCTCTAAGGGAACATCCAACGATAGAAAGGGAGAGAGCTGGTTTTCACACATGGCATGAGCTCAGTTGTGGAGCTATATTAGGTTCTGTCCATAACAACTGCCTGCAAAGATAGACTTTATTTATTTATTTATTTTTAAAAGATTTATTTATACAAGCACTGGGTACAGTCAGAAGTGCGGGAGGGTGAGAGAATTCACCAGAGCCAGAGAGGGGTGCAGAGCAGGCAGAAGGAATGAATGAAGTACACTGCTGAGGGGAGCAGCGGGCAGCAGGAGAGCGTGCCATGTGGGACCCTCCTCCGGTGGCCGGGGAGCAGCCGGGATTGAACCGCTGCTGCAGAGGCTGCGGGCAGCTTCGCAACCCAGCGCTCAACCGCTGCGCCACCAGGGAGGCCCCAAAGATAGACTTTAGGAGAACAGGAGGGTGTTGCAAAGGGGCAATGATAAAGGGAGGTATAATTCAAGGGGGCCATTACTTTAACAATGTAATACATCACTATTCAATGTTAGTTGTGGGAATGCTATAGACTAGATATTTGTTTTCCTCCCAATTTATATTAAATCCTAATGCCCAATGTGATGGCATTTGGAGGCAAAACCTTTGGGAAGTGATTAAGAACTGAAGGTGAAGCCCTCATGAATGGTTTATCTTGTCCAGTAAAATAATTTACTATGTTTTATCACTATTTTAAAATTCAAAAAACTTTCTTTGGCCTATACAGTTTGCTAAGTCTGCATTTACAGTGACTCCTACTAATCTTTCCAGTCTCCTCATGTTGAGAAAAGACAAGTGTCTGCTTGTTGCACACAGATTCCTCTCCACAAGAATAAGTCAAAACTAAACATTTATGATACATAGGGGATAGTAAATTTCTCATGGCCATGCTTTATTTTAGATGCTGGAAAAGAAAGCTACTATTCATTTTCTTGATAAGGTAGCAAAAAAGGGAATGGAAATAACACCTAAGAAATATAGATTGCTTGGTACAAAGAACAGAGGTAGTAATTTTAAAAGGCAAGTCTTTCTGTTGAAATGATTTTTGGTCAGATAAAACTGTTTATAAAACCACAGAGAAAAAAGAAGGCCGGTCCAGGCAAGTGCTGCTGTAATTAGATCACTTTATAAAACTGTCACATAAATCCTTTCTCTTGTTGCAACTGATTCAGAAAATTTGATGAAAAATAATGGTGAGTTTCAGTGAGAATTTGAATTAAATTTCATGATTCACAGTTACGCATAAACATAATATAGTGCATTAGGACCCTTTTTCCTGCTATACCCCAGTGTCTAGCACAGTGTACAAGCTTACAAATATCATTAGAACGAGTAAAAGAATGAAATCTAAGCAGTATATTTTACATTTACTCAGGACTACAGCTGGGATCTGGGTTACATCCTTAGTTTCATTGATTATTAAGAAATTACTTAACTTTTATAATCTTGTTTTCATATCTAAAAACAAAAGTAAAAGCTTGCCATTAGGCCAGGTACCCTGAATTGTTGGGAATACAGATATGTCAAAGAAGGTGAAGGAAGTAAGGATAGAAAGACCAATCTAAACAACACAAAATAAATAAAATATAATAGTTACAATGAATAAAATTCTAACTTGCTGCAGTAAAAACCAGATTCCTACTTGGAATTACATACATAGTGTTAAGTATAATATGTGACATAATATGTACTCAAGAAATACTAGATTTCATCCCTGCTAAATTACAAATTAATAGCACTGAACACAAAACATTCATTGAAATTGAGGAAACAAGGTTACATAATTAAAATATGACATATAGATAGCAAGATTGAAGAACAAGCATGTTACAAACAGTGATTCCCAGCAACCCTGAGGAGGCAGAATAAATAATTCAGAAAATGTTCTTATCAGAAAAATTTCAATTCAATGACATTATTTAAATTTGATCAGTGTGTTCAACTTCTTCATTCCAGTATCTGAACTGGAAAATGAGGACAAAATAAGCATCTATTTCATTGGACTGTTTAAAGATTAAATCAGATGACAAAAACTATAGTAATCAAAATAGTATGGGATTGCATAAAAATAAACACACAGATCAATGGAACAGAATAGAAACCCAGAAATAATGCAATAGCATTAAAACAAACAATACAATTAAGAAATGGCAGAGAGGTCTTCTAAAGAAGAGAAACAAATTGCCAACAGGTTCATGAAAAGATGAAGATGATCAGTATCACTAATCATCAAGGAAAGGTACATAAAACTCCAATGAGCTATCAAACTGATTAAAAAAAATAAAGAAAATATAGTATATAGTATATATAGTAAAAATGAATAAAGAAAACATAGTATAGTATACACATAATGATGTATTACCCATAAAAAAGAAAACAATCTTGCCATTTACAACAACATGGATGCATCTTGCGGGCATTAAACTAAGTGAAATAAGTCAGAGAAAGACAAAAACTCTATAATCTCATTTACCTGTGGAAATTAGAAACAAAAGCTTATCATAGAAACAGATTGGTTAGAAAGTACAAATTTGTAGACATAAGATAAATAATTCCTGTGGATGCAATACACAGAATGGTGTGTGTGTGGGGGGGGGGGCACAGAATTTGGCACACAATACTGTATAAGGTCAATTATTAATCCCACAAATATTTAAAATGTAGCTCACAAACATGAGTATCTTTTTATTTTCTAGGGAGCTATTTCTTCTTTTACCCAAGCATATATTTTGGAGAGAAATCTATTATTTATTATCAAAGGAAAACTTACCATCAGTTACAATTATTATTATTTTTTAAATGGAAAAGGAGGAAAGACCAAAAAAGAGGGAAGGCACTGGTCCAAGCAGTCATTTGGATCAAAAATGTCATAGATTTCAAGCTTAGAGTTTTATTTTATTTTTAATTCTTAATATGGTTTATTTTATTTGCATCATCTACATAAATGACTATGTTCAAAAACAAAGGTTAAAAGCACCACCATAAAGAAGATATGGCCAGTTTCAGGTGCTCCTTTTCTCCTCACTCAACGAATGGTAAGCATTGTGGTTGTTCCTCTCACCCTTTTTTATGTTTTAAAGAAAGTTACCTAGTGGTGTATCACACTCCAGAAGGGCAGTGAGCAGCGGGAGAAGCAAAACCGGCACCACCAGGATCTATACACACCTGAGAAGGTGCTCCCCCCCGCCCCCAACCTCGGTAAACAGGTAAGTGACAGCAACAGGACTGGTGAACACTGAGACCCCAAATCTCCCCATTCCCACGGTGGGCCGGATTACGTTTGAAGTTTCTCCTCTCCAGAATCTTCGCTCTACACCAGCTCCTCACCGTTCCCTTCGTTCAATCCATGAAGGGAAAGGTGTGACAGGTAAGACGGGCGGGGTTTTCTCAATGCTCCCCTCTCCCCCAAACCATACCCTCGGCGCGGCCCCTACTCCACAGCATGGAGAGAGATTCTCAGACCAAGGAAGGCTCAAACTTTTTTCTACTTCAAGCAGGCAGCGCCCGGGGAGAGGCTGACAAACGCCTGTGGAGAAGGTGGGGTTTTCCTCAACCCTCAAGCCCAGGCCGGGCCCTTCCGCCCCACAGGTAGGCGCTGCTCCCCGCCGGGACCGCAACCCACAACTCCTCCCCCGCCGCTGACCGCCCGCCCGCCCGACCTCACCTGGGGGCGGCTCCACCGGGGCTGGCTTACGAAAACCTCAGGAACAGCGGGCCAGCGAGCGACGCCGCCGAAAGCACACTCATGGTCTGGCTCGTGCAGGTCAGCAGCACAGACGCGCCTCCGCCAGGGCGCCTCCCGCCGCCGGGGTCTTTACCTCGCCGCCCTGGTACCGTCGCAGCCGCCCGCATTGCACGCCGGGAACGGGCTGCCTCCGCTTCACAGAGACTTCAGTTCCCAGGATGCACAAGCTCCCGAGCAGAATTGCACTCTGGGATTTGTAGTTCTCACTGCAAGTCTTGGCCTAGGCTTTTCTACCCAAGTCCGGGGACCGACCTGGAACTTTAAACGTAAAGCACGATCTTACTGTCGTGAAATGTAGTCTTCCCGTCATCCGGGGCCTTGTTCGGACCTGGCTGGGGAGGGAATGGTGTCGCCTAGCAGCCACCGCCGCTAGTGCTGGCTCGAGACGTGTTTGGCGGGATCCGGTGTCCGGGTGGAACCGCGCTGGGGAGCGGTCAGGCGTGGTCCAGGGCTCGGCTTGGTGGGTGCGGTAGATGAGTTAGTGGCTTTGGCTGCCAGGCATGGTCTAGGTGGGTGGATCTTTGATCCTGATGAGCGGGAGCAGGAAATCTCTTGCCACGCAGATCCTTTAAGTCTCAGGGCCCATAAACTACGATGCAGCCTGCACGCCCTTTAGCTTTTGGCACTCACTGCATCTACTTTCTCAATTCATTCCCTGTTTCTCCGGGCCCACCTGCACTCATTTCAATCATTTATTGTTGTTTTTTTTTTTTACCTCTAGTTCCAGCTTCTCCTTTTCAGCCTAAGAAACACCCTGCACTTGGCACCATTAGTTATTTACGTGCCCAAACTTAAATTAGTTTTAACAAGGAATTTCTCTTAATTTAGCTCGTACAATATATAATGGTTTGTGCCAACTGCTGTAATTTTGATCGAGGATACTGTGCACACTTATCTGTGATGCAGTGAAGGAGCCATACTAAACACCGTGGAGTGTTAGAATGATATAATGTGCAAAATATGAATATGATTGCAAAATCAATATTGCTGTTTACTTTGAAAATGTTAATAGCGACCTGTTCTGTTACAGAAGGTAAAACACAGTGAAAGAATTCAAGATGCCACCTAATATAAACTGGAAAGAAATAATGAAAGTTGATCCAGATGACCTGCCTCGTCAAGAAGAATTGGCAGATAATTTATTGATTTCCCTATCCAAGGTGCTTAATAGATAGTAAATATATATAAGTACAACTATGATTAAGTTGACCCTGAAATCACAGTATGATACATCTGGAAGATTTCTTATATTTTGTTTCAGGATTATAAAATATATAATAGTTGCTTTTCTGTTACTTTAGGTGGAAGTAAATCAACTAAAAAGTGAAAGTCAAGAAAATGTGATACACCTTTTCAGAGTTACTCAGTCACTTATGAAGGTTTGTATGCAGTAGGTTTTAATAATAGCTTTGAGTATTAAAAGTTTAAGAATCTGTTCTAAAATAAGTTAATCTCTGTGAAAATACTTTGCACTCAAAGATGAAATATCTTCATATGTGGATTGAGCATTTCATTGCAAATATTGCTAGCTTCTGCACTCATGCTCCTAAAAGAATGTATAAGGAAACAAAATAAGTATGCTTTAAAATAATGTAGGGGAGTTCTATGTTAATTATTAACATAGTCCTGAGATTGACATGAAAACTGCAGGCTGTTACTATAGGGATTTGTTAGAAGGAAAAGAGATTTAGGTCTGAGAAAACGTGGTCAGGGGCAAGGACTGATAAGTAATTTTAGGTCAGTGGAAGGCAGTGGTAAAATGTTAGGGAAATTCTAGCGCTAGAGGCTATCATAAAAACTGAGTTACAAATGTGCTTATTCTTTACATTTGAGGAGACAAGTGCAGAAAGTTTATATTAGGTTGTAGAGGAAACAAACGTTGGCTATAGTTTGGAAAAGATTCTCAAGAGTCTTACAGGTGTATTTTGTGATATCAGTAATGAGGAGCCCTTGAATGTATCGAGCCACAATTGTTTGAGTACAGAAATAAGCATGTGGAGGCTAAAACAATGTATGTCAGTAAAACAAATTAGAGGGAGCTGAGGCTGTTTAGGCAGCATTATGAAAGGGTTTATATATGAAACTATGGGATAGAATAATGACAGTTGGAATAGACAAAGGGAGATAGTGGAAAACAAAGGGAAAAGTTGCAATGCTCAATATAAAACTAGAGGGAAAAAAGGACTCACAGATATTTCAACTGTTAGGAATCTAAAAATTATAGTTTTAAGTAAGAAAATCATCTATTCAACAAATATTTACTGACCATCTTTGTGCACCAGGTGTAGGTACTAAATAATGGATAGGAAACAAAGCACAATTCTTATTTTTAGTGTACACATTCTAGGGTAAAGGTATATTGAAATAATTTTTTAAATGTTTAGATGAAAGCTCAAGAAGTAGAGCTAGCCTTGGAAGAAGTTGAAAAAGCTGGAGAAGAACAGGCAAAATTTGGTAAGTGCCTTAGAATAAGTTTATTATGGCATTAAGTATTGAATTTATTCATCAATAAAGAATGAGCTGCTTTATATTTTAATTAAAATATTTCAATATTTTCAAAATTGTGTATGCTCAATTTATTTTGAGTCATTTCTAAAAATTTAATTTCATAGGTCTGATAGAAAATAATTATTTTTCTCTTATGGTGCCTTATTAATACAATCATGATGGAATCTTTTAAGAGAATTTTATTAAAATTTAAAAGTTTTGAATTAATTCTGAGTAATTGAAATATTCATTTTTTATAGAAAATCAATTAAAAACAAAAGTAATGAAACTGGAAAATGAACTGGAGGTAAGTCCTTTTGTATTCTCTAAGGTGTAATTGTTAATTTTATTATTTTGAATTATTTCAGATTTGTTGGCAATTATTGGCTGGAAAAATCACAAGCATGCACTGTGTTCTTAGTTATTTCTTCAGTCTTTATTTTACATGCCTGTTATCTACCTTAAGTTCTACTCAGAATTGAGTATCAATTGTGAACAAAATAAAAGCATTCAATAGATGCATGAAACTTAGAGTTTAGAGAGTGATGCAGAAGTGTAGGGTCAATGATTGTCAGGCTTTTCTGCCCTCCCGCCATTGGGATTGATGCTGGATCCCTGCGGTCCTGAATGCATGCCCGATGCAGGCACCTGGAGTAGGGTGTGGGGACATGTAGGTGGGAATCACCTGGGCTGAGACCAGGTTAATAAGGGTGGTGTTGCGGAATGGAACCACCAGAAGGAGAGCAAGCAAGCGAGTGGAATGGAACCACGAGAGAATGCCAGAGAGTCCAGGAAGAGGGAAGATTCACCGGGGGCTGAGAGGGCTGCCAGCCTCCTGGCCTCCCGGCACCCCTGCATGTCGTGTACTTGGTAAACTCAATAAAAACCTGGAAAAGCCATCAAGGGCTCCAGGACTGACTCTTCTTTACCCGTCTGAATAGGATCATAGAGATCCTGCCCTGTGTCTTCCTGCCTCTACAAGAGGGATTACTAGTAACTGAATTGCAGGAAGGCATGTGGGAATTTGAGGACTAGTGACAGAAGGGTATGGTAGAAGAATTAGCTTCTGAGAAAGCCAAGAGTCAAAATATGTGTGTATTGTTGAGGAACTGAATACTTTGAGATTCCTTAGAATTTGGGAAGTAGCATGGTATACAAATACATTAAGCTTTAAATGGAAGCTTCCTCTTTTAAAAGAAGAGTCTTCTTCCTTTGTGGTAGGAACAGAGGAAGAATGGAATGTGTTTAAAAGCTTTTATGCTTATAGGTTTAGTGCCTGAAAATAGAGAGGTTAAAGAGATGGTCCCCTGGTAAAAATCACAGTGGGAGATTTGTGGCCAAATATAAAGGAGATCATATAAATCTTGAAATATAGTAGAGAATGAGCTAGACATAAGGGAACCTAGAGTCAGACAATTTGAGTCAAATCCTCATTCTTTTACTGCTAACTCTGAATTTTTATGAATGAGGGTTTCTTTGTTCTCCACTACATAGTTAGCTCCTTGGAAAATAGGGACTACTTAGAACATTTATTAAATGAATTATGAAGCCTGTTTATTTCTGTTTTAGTGTTTAGCCAGGCAGCTGCTATAGAGTAAATAGAGCAGTTGAAGGTTTTGGAAATAAAGTAGTTCAGGTGATGATTATGCAGTTGTAACAGAATAGACAAAAATTCAAGAGGTGCAGAAGATAGAGGAGTGAGAGGTTAGAGAGGAGTCAAGGGGTTAGAGAGGGTCCTGTGAGGTCAAAAGGCAGGTTTGTTGAGAATAATCGAGTAGATATTCCCACTTAGAGAAATTACTGGTGGTGGCATGGGAGTAGAAGACTTTGATAAGTTCAAAAAGCAAATGAAATAGTGAGACCAAATTGAAAGTTATTTGGATGCAGAAATTGCATGGAATGTGGCTGGTGGTGGGGGCAGTGGTGATGGTGGGGAAGAGCTTAAAGGAATACTGCCAAAAACTTTTTTTTTTTTTAAATAATAAATTTTATTTTTATATTCCCCATACAGTTGCAACCCCCCCTTTCTGATCCCAATCCCTCCCTTCCCGCCCTCCACCCCCCCAAAAGTGTCTCTGTTTCATAGTTTTTTGTTGATTCTGATTTTCACTTTCTTATAGTTATTCATTTTCCTGGTCCTTTATTTAAGTTTTCTAGATTCCTGCTATGAGTGAGACCATCCGGTATTTTTCTTTTTCTTTTTGGCTTATTTCGCTGTGCATGATCCCTTCCAGCGCCATCCATGTTGCTGCAAATTGCATGTGTTTATCTTTTTTGAATGCTGAATAATATTCCATGGTGTATATGGACCACATCTTCTTGATCCAGTCATCTATTTTTGGGCATTTGGGTTGTTGAACATTTTTTCATATGCCTATTCTGCCAAAAACTCTTAATGAACTTTGAGATGGAGTGACTGGGAAATTGGTAGTTTGCTTCTACCTTGGGTGGTAGGTATTGGATAGCTGGGTGTCATGTAAAAATCAAAGAAGCTGGAGTTTTTGCAGGATATTACAGGAATCATAGTCTAGAAATTGCAAGTTGGGGTAAATCAACACCTCTTTTGGCATTGAGGTTCATGGTTATAAAAGAATGAGCATGTCCCAAATAAAAGAGTTCCAAAGGAATTAGTGTACTAAATGGGTCAAATTGTAGCTAAGGGAAGGCAGTGGATAGGAGGATTCAGTAAAAAAAACAAACTAATGTAAAATACTAAGTTTTCTTGGAATAGGAATTTTGAGAGAAATAGAAATCTTTTTGAAAAAGGGAATGAGAAAAAAATTTTGTTAAGGTGGAAACGAAATAGAACTATGGGGCAGGGATGAATGTGAGACAGGTTAGTTGACCAAAGAATTTGATGTTTTGGACCATGACCCAGGAATATGAAGTAAAATGGATACATTGACTACAAGATTTTCAAAGATAATCTAAAGTCTTGGCTATCTAGAATGTGGCTGTTTATATTTAACTTTGTTAAAATTAAAATTAAAAATTCAGCTCTTCAGTTGCACCAGCCAGATTTCCAGTGCTCAATAGCACGTAGCCATGTGTATGCAGTGTGCTGTACTAGACAGGCAGAGAAAATTTTCATTATTCTGGAAAATTGGATACTTTGGTTTATATATTCCATGGTGTGAGGTAAAGGGCATGTTCAGAGCATCAGGGGTCAGTAACTGGGGTGGAGACTTTAGTGATTTATAGCCTAGTGGTTTATAACCTGTTTTCAGAGCTTTGAGGCTAAGAGGAAGCCTAGGTCGGTTATCACCTATGTTTTGTGCCCTTGCTGTACAGTATCGCTCAGCAGCTATAACAGCCTGAGTTGTTGACAGTCAATTCTTCATTACTGGGAGACTCGGGTAGTCTAGAAATTTAAGCTTAAATAAATAAACTTTTTTAAAAAATGAATTTTAAGCTAACATGACTTTAAACATCTGATGCTTTCCTATAAAATATTTAAAATCAAGATAATTATTTGTTGTTGATTATTTGAATCCTCACATACAGTGGAGTTGATTTATATTTTTGGTTTATTACTTTAAGATGGCTCAGCATTCTGCAGGTGGACGTGATACTCGGTTTTTACGTGATGAAATCCGCCAACTTGAAAAGCAACTGGAACAAAAAGATAAAGAGTTAGAGGATATGGAAAAGGAGCTGGAGAAAGAGAAAAAAGTTAATGAACAAGTAAGACACAATTAATCAGTGAATTTTTTTTTTTAAAGTCCTTGAGTTACTTTATTTTTTTTAAAATAAATTTTATTTTTATATTCCCCATACAATTGCAACCCCCCTTATTTTGACCCTAATCCCTCCCCTCCCTGCCCCCCACTCCCCATAGAGTGTCTCTGGTTCATAGTTGTTTGTTGATTTTGATTTTCACTTTCTTATAGTTATTCATTTTCCTGGTCCCTTATTTAAGTTTTCTAGATTCCTGCTATGAGTGAGACCATCTGGTATTTTTCTTTTTCTTTCTGGCTTATTTCACTGAGCATGATCCCTTCCAGCGCCATCCATGTTGCTGCAAATTGCATGTGTTTATCTTTTTTGAATGCTGAGTAATATTCCATGGTGTATATGTACCACATCTTCTTGATCCAGTCATCTATTTTTGGGCATTTGGGTTGTTTCCAAAGCTTAGCTATTGTAAATAGTGCTGCTATAAACATAGGGGTGCAGGTGCTCTTTGGAATTGATGTTTCTGTGTCCTTTGGGTAAATACCTAGGAGTGGAATTGCTGGATCATATGGAAGCTCTATGTTTAGTAGGTCCAGAAATCTCCACACATTTTTCCATAGTGGTTGGACCAGTTTGCACTCCCACCAACAGTGCAGGAGAGTTCCTTTTTCTCCACATCCTCGCCAACATTTGTTGTTACTAGTTTTTTTATGTGCCATTCTCACTAATCAGTGAATATTAACTTTATCTAAATAAAATACCTGATTATGCTTTTTAAAATTATTGGTAACACTCTCAATTTTTATGTTTGTATGGAGAAGTGATGCACACTTTTCTCTAAGGTTTTATATCACTGTATTATCATCACATCTTTAAAATACATTAGGGGGGCCTCCCTGGAGGCACAAGGGGCTAAGATGCAGCACTATGAAGCTCTCCGCAGCCACTGCAACACAAGTTCGATCCCTACCCATTACAGATGACTCACATGATGCAACAGACCTCTCCTGATTTGCCTGCTGCTACGCTCAGCAGTGTATTTCAGTAGATCTACCTGTTCTATTCCCCACTGCCTCTGGTGAATCCTCTCAACCTCTGGCCTGTACTCCAGTTCTTGTATGCATAAATAAGTAAATCTTTAAAAAAATGCATTGGACATGGTGCTTCTGGTGAACAGGAGATTTTTTATATATGCAGATACATTTTTCTCAGAACGTTGGAGTATTTTACACAAACATACAAATGATGATTTGGTATGAAGAAATTAATAGACACTTATAAATAAGTGATTTTTTTACTTGCCAGAGTTTATTTTGGGAAAAGATACTTCTTTTTATTAGTTTACTTATAGTATTAATAGACTTGGAAATTAATCTTTGAATGATATATTCAATACTAGTCAATAACATTCCTCGGTTTTTAGGTATGCCTTTATAGATTCTTGAGAAGTTGTTTTAATTCAGCATTTTGTAAAGCAATGCATATTTTAAATCAGACATTTCATCTTTTATATAAAATAGTTTGTCTCTTAAGTTGTTTCTTGTTATTAATAAAAAAAACTCAAAGTTAAGTTTAATTTGAGGAGACAATTGTTTTTGCAGAAAAAAATTTATATTTCCTGTCAGAAAATAATGTATTATTTTGCTTCAATTATCAGTAAGTTTAGTGCAAAATTTGAACCTAAGGGTGGTAACTATCCCTTCCTGGATGCCCAGAAACTTTTTCATCGTCCTACAGAAGGTCTCTGTTATGTTACATCCTGATAATTTTATTTTGTTCATTGTTTTCTCAGAAATAAAGGGTTGTACAATTCAAGAAAATAGCAGTGCTTGAGATATTTTTATTTAAAAGCAACACATCATAAATTGATTTGTAAGAAAGAATCCTTATTCTTGACATATCTATTTTATTATATAATTTAGAAGAGTCTTTAAAAGTGAACAATGTGTATGATTTTCAAGGTGAAAAAAATATGGATTGATGCCACTTGAAGGTTAAGACTAAGCTTTTAGAGGATTATCTGTTCAGCTGAGGTAGTAAAACTATAATAGAACAATAGAGTTCTTAATTTTTGAGGATCCAACCCATGAAATACAGTAATAGAATTGTGAGGATTGTCTGTCTACATGGATATTGTTTTGTCTAGCTTATTAGTCAGCTTCCCATCATTCATAGCATACCCTTAGGTATTTTGTTCATTCATACCTTAGACTTTATTCATTAGCACATGCACAGAAACCTTGAAAATAATGTGTATGTGCCTGTCCAACTGCTAGGTTCCATGAGATGGAATCTGGAATCTGGAATCTTCCTTACCCTCAAGTCATTCATTTTATTGATTATTTTTGTTATACCACAGAGTGTGCCAAATAGTAGAGATACAGTGGACAAAGACATTCTTGATTCTCAAGAATATTCATTATAAATAATAAATGTAGATTAGGATTAATATGCAAGGATATAAGGATACCTAAATCAATCTTGTGGTTCAAGATGAAAATGCATACATTGTGCAAAAATGAAAAATGATGTAAAAAGTACATAAAATAAAAATGCTCACAAAAAAAAAAAGAAGTGGTCTGTAATTGAAGTTAACCTGGAAAAGAGCATGTAATGTTCATCATGGTTAAGGAAACATCTTCTGAATAGAAGATTTTGCTAAGGTGTAGAGGTAAGACATAGCATGGTGAATTCAGGGAACTGCAGTTATTCATTTTGAATATAGATAAAAATAACGTAGAATCCTTGCTATGTGTCAGATACTTTTTATATGCATTAATTTATTATTACTTATTTGATGCTTATTATATGAGGTGGTGACATTTCTCCCATACTATATATGAAGCAATTGAGACTTGAATGAAATCATCTGTATATGGAAAAGAAAATACTTCAAAATGTTTTGCTTTTCCATGCACTGAGCATTGCATCATGCATCATACTTAATTCTTCTGTCAATATATGAGATGAGAAAACTGAATAAAGAACTATTTACACTTTACTAGAAATTGGTGGCAAATTGAAAGGCCAATCCTGGCCTTTCTGGGTTTCATCCAGATTTCAGGTTGCTGTCTTTTAACCATTATGTTATACTGCCTTGAATTTCTGAGTATTTTAATACTCAAGGAAGCAAAGAGTATTTTAGCCCTGACGTAGGAGAACTGTAATATGATAAAGATTTGGGACAGAAAATTATTGTTATGTTCTGGGATGGAGGGAAGGGGGTAATTTTTCTGTTAGTGTTTTTGTCTCTGTATCCTTTGATTAGAGTTTTATTTCTTGTTTTACTTTTAATCTTTTAAACTTGTACTATCCTTCCTAATCCTTGGTTTTCAAAAATTTAGATATTCTTGTCTTGGGTCAACAATGGGTCCTTAATAGTTAAACATTCCATTTTTTTTATGAACAGAGTTTAAAATTTAAACTGATTAGCTAAAAGCCTGGCTTTATATTGAATTACTGCTGAATTTTATCTTTCTACTTTTTAGTTGGCTCTTCGAAATGAGGAGGCAGAAAATGAAAACAGCAAATTAAGGAGAGAGGTTGGTAAACATTTTTAGTAGTTATGATGGTTTAACAGATATTTGTTTAAAAGTTTTTCATAAGCTTTTACTGTAACCAGAACTGGAATCTTTTATATAACTTTTTTCCCAACTGACTGATTTTATGAGATGACTTTGTCTCAAGGAAATAGAAAATTGAAAGGTGAGGCCATTAAATACTATATTCATCTTCTACATTTATGTGGGTTAATTTTGCTTTCTGTTTTATAAGCAACTCTTTGCTAGTTAATAATGAATAAGTGATAATTTGTCTCATTTATCTTAATTTATAAAGCATTCTTTAACAGTTTTTGTTTTTCATGAAATCTTATAAGTTCTGATTATTTGGCTTTTTTGAGCCAAATAATGCATGTACATTTTTATCTTGCTAGGAATTCTTATTTTTGAACATAAAATGTTCTTTCTTTTGGTTGATATTATTCTTGTTTTCCTTGGTTATCCAAAGTGATATCTCCTTCTCTTAAATTTCTCTTTTTATTTTCTTTAGTTTCTGATTCTCACTTTTAATTATGTTACCTTTCTCATTTCTAATTACTTTTGTCCTGTCCTTTTCTGGAGAACAAACGTCTAAAGAAAAAGGTGAGACTTTACAATGGGTGGAAAAACCTTGGAATTTAAAGATATGTTTTGAGTTCACTATTTAGAAGATACAATTTTGTATCTTTGGATAGTTCCTTAGCAGAATTTTGTGTTTGACCCACCTTCAGAATGAACAGCTTCGCCAGGATATTATTGACTACCAGAAACAAGTAGACTCACAAAAAGAAACACTTCTATCAAGAAGAGGAGAAGATAGTGACTACCGATCACAACTATCTAAAAAAAACTATGAACTTGTCCAATATTTGGATGAAATTCAGGTAAAATGGCAAGGATTCCTATAAAACTTCAACTTGATAATAATGTAAGTTTAGTATTTAGTCCTACATTTTAATTCTTCAATATAAATCTGCAACTGTGTACTTGCAAACATGAAATATAGTGCATCTTTGAAGTTGCAAAATTGCAAAATTTTCTTTTATATGTGTATCTTGAACATTGTTTAGGAAAAGTTGAGATTCTTAGGTATAGTTTTCATGACATTTAATTTTATATAATTAGTCAACACCAATTAATACTAACAGTCTGTGAAGAATTCTCTTTTCTCCAGCAGACACTTATGACTTACATTTCAACTTAGTTTAAATTTCAGTTTCTTAAGTTATTTTTAACTGTAGTACTTTTAATTTTCTTAGACTTTAACAGAAGCTAATGAGAAAATTGAAGTTCAGAATCAGGAAATGAGAAAAAACCTAGAAGAGTCAGTACAAGAAATGGAGAAGATGACTGATGAGTACAACAGGATGAAAGCTATTGTACATCAGACAGATAATGTAATGGACCAGTTAAAAAAAGAGAATGATCATTATCGTCTTCAAGTAAGAATTCCTGTTTGACTAACTTGTTTGCATAGATTTCATTTTGCCTCATTACTGTTGGCTTGAAATTTAAAAAGTACTTTTATCTGTGATCTTATTCTGTAATATTTATATATTTGTGCCATATTTATATATTTGTCCATATGTGTTTAACAAAATTTATACATACCTCATAATACATAGTTGATACCTGAATGAATGTGTAGATAGCAGTCCTGCCAAGTTAATATTATGGGGCTTTTCTACTAAAGACTCTTGGAAATCTGGACCATGAAGTTTCATTTTGTGCTTTAAAATGAATACGCTATAAATATCATAATCAATACATTATTCACTATTTACATGGATTAAACCTGTTTAAAAAATATGGCTGTCTGTGTAAATATGTACATACAATGAATATATATGGTACTAATTTGTAGCAATACTGGAAATTGTGTCCTTTTAGGTGCAGGAGCTTACAGATTTTCTGAAAGCAAAAAATGAAGAAGATGATCCTGTCATGGTAGCTGTCAACGCAAAAGTAGAAGAATGGAAGGTGCTTTTTTCAATCACTATTATGACTTTTTCATATGTATTTTATTTATTTATTTTTTTTAAAGATAATACCTTTTTTTTTTTTTTTTTTTTTACAGATTTACTTATTTATTTATACAAGCACTGGGTACAGTCAGAAGCTCAGGAGAGTGAGAGAATTCACCAGAGCCAGAGTGGTGAGCAGAACAGGCAGACTGACGAAATACACTGCTGAGGGGAGCAGTGGGCGGCAGGAGAGGTCTGCGCGCCATGTGGGACCCTCACCCTGTGGCCTGGGATCGAACCCGTGCTGCAGAGGCTGCGGGCAGCTTCGCAATCCAGCGCTCAACCACTGCGCCACTGGGGAGGCCCTCATATGTATTTTAGATTTCAGTTTTTTGGTCTTAGTTTTCTTCAAAACAAAGTTAGCCAGTTTATGCAAATGATGTTCTTATTAGACATTTTTAAGTATATCAAATGTCTTAGAAAAGCTCTAATAACTCTCCTGTGTAATGCTCTAGCTTACTTCTTGTCAAATGAGATCTTCATATCAATGAGTTAAATTTTAAACTTTTTGATAGAAATCTAAGTCTAAAATGTAATATATTTAAAATATATAATTCTAAATAAAATTAAAATTCTTTTCACATAAATGACAGTTACTTTGTCTATATTAGTTATGTAATACCAATAATTTTAGTTTTTCTGACTCTTATGTCAGGTTAATAAAAGTATTAACAGTCAGTGGGAATGGGAATAAGGAAAGGGATCTTTCAGAATCATCTGAAAAGTCTTTTCAGAAGTCTTTTTGGGCCTCCCTGGTGGCGCAGCCGGTGAGCACTGGGTTGCGAAGCTGCCCACAGCCTCTGAAGCGCGGGTTCGATCCCCAGCCACCGGGTGAGGGTCCCACTGGTGCGCAGACCACTCCTGCCGCCCGCTGCTCCCCTCAGCAATGTACTTCATCAGTCTGCCTGCTCTGCTCTCTGCTCTGACTCTGGTGAATTCTCTTGCCCCACCCCTACTTCTGACTGTACCCAATACTTGTATATATAAATAAATAAATAAATAAATAAATAAATAAATGTTTTAAAAAAAAAGTCTTTTCAACCTCATCACCCTGCAACCCAGCTAAATTCCTCAGCCTTACCATATCAGAAGCTAGGGTTGTAATGATTGTGTATTTTGAAAATTGACTGATAGGACTTTTGAATAATTTCTAACTGTAAAAGCTAACACTTCTATAGTTAGCATTCCTGATCAGATTCAATTTTGTTGGTTCTTTGGAATTGGTTGTCATCTAGTAAGTTCAGATAAACTGCATTTTAAACAGTGGAAACAGTAGCAATGGAGATGAAGTCTACAGAATCAATCAGAGGTCAGTAAAGTTTCTATAAAAGACCAGGAAGTAAATGTTTTAGATCATCTTGTCTTTGCTGCAACTGTTCAACTCTTCTATTATAGCATGAAAGCAGCCATAGACAATACACAATTGAATGAGCAAGGCTGTTCCTAATAAAAGTTTACAAAAAATAGGCACCAGTCCAAATTTGATCTGCGAGACATAGTTTATTAAATCCTGGAAAAAATAGTTTTTACCATGTTTGATATTTAGGGGAGAGATGATCAGATATGTATTCATCTGCAATTAATTTGCTTCTGCTTAACATCTATTTTATATTCCTTCTGAAAAACAGTTTCATTTTTATTAGAGAAAATATTTTATATAATAAATGCAGTTTCATTTTTATTAGCTACACAACTCTTATTGAATTTAAATTTTCTTGCAACTCAAATATTGATTGATCTGTTTTCTAACCATGTACTCTTGTTTTAATTGTTATATTTAAATATTTGAAAAACTTTGGTTTTTGACCCTTCCTTATAAACATGTTTTTTATGCAAATTTTAGAAATAATTCTTAAAATAACTATTAAACTGAATATGGGTTAAATCTAAAAATAATGTATAGATTGAATTTGATGTGTGGTCTTTCTAGTCATGAAGATAGTTTCATTCATTCCAAATAGTTTCTGCATCTCAATAATATTTTAATGTTTTTTTTCATAGAGATTAGCTATTCAATACTTTTTGTAATTCCTTTGTCATATTTATAATCTCTTATTTAGGAATGGATTTTGAGAGCCTGAGTTGTCTTAACAATGGAATTCCTTAAAAAAATGTGAAAGTTACAGGGTACAATTTTCACTTACATTTTATTTGAACTTTAGGTTGTGTACAGGAAAAGGAACAATGATTTTACCAAAAGTTGCTGATATTTTCTCACTTCAAAGAATTTTATCTCCTGAAATCTGCTAATGGTGTATATTATCATATTTACCTTTAATGAGTAATGGTTTATTAATTTTCTGCTTATGTAACAGACCGTATTTTTTTTCTAGTTAATTTTATCTTCAAAAGATGATGAAATCATTGAATATCAGCAAATGTTGTATAACCTGAGGGAGAAACTAAAAAATGCCCAGCTTGATGCTGATAAATGTAATGTCATGGCTCTACAACAGGTAAAAAATCTCAAAATTTGGTTTACCAACCAGCTTTATTATATTTTGTTTTCTTGTATCACCTATGCTTAATCTAGTGACTTGCACTATTGGGTGTACAATAAAATTTTACGCAGTTTATTACACTATCCAGTCCCAAGAAAAAATGAGAATTAAGGTTAGAGTTAGGGATATAGTTATTACAGTTGTTTTTCTGTGTTATATAGATAATGCACAAATTGTTTTAATTGGCTTTAATAAGTAAATGTTAAAAACTTAGAAATTTAAATATATCAACAATCTTAAAGTTTACTGTATTGTAATGCTAAATATTCTATGCTAACAGTGTGGTTTTAATGACTATACTACATAAAGATTTTATTTTTAGTACAAGTATATTCATTAGAAGTTACTCTTTTATCATCTGTGCTCCACAGTCAAGATGGAAATTTGGGAAATATTGATGAATAAGAACAATTGCAAGGACTGTATTTTTCTTTTTTTTTTTTTTTTAAAGATTTATCCATTTATTTATACAAGCACTGGGTACAGTCAGAAGCGCGGGAGGGTGAGAGAATTCACCAGAGCCAGAGCGGGGAGCAGAGCAGGCAGAAGGACCAAAGTACACTGCTGAGGGGAGCAGTGGGCGGCAGGAGAGGTCTGCGCGCCATGTGGGACCCTCCTCCGTTGGCCGGGGAGCAGCCGGGGATCGAACTGGCGCTGCAGAGGCTGCGGCAGCTTCGCAACCCAGCGCTCAACCGCTGCGCCACCGGGAGGCCCCACAAGGACTGTATTTTTGAATGAAGTGCTCTTACTCAAGTTGAGTAAGAGAGCAAGCACAAAGCAAAACACAAACATGAAATTGGAAAATAATGGAATTGGATAATGAAGAAAAGTAATGTAAAGCAATTCATAAGAAGCTATATATTAGAATTGTGGAATTCTACATGCCAAATTGTTAGCCACTCTATCCATCTTTAAGTATTAGAGTAACAGCATTATATCTCAGATTGTCTAGTACTTTCAAGTATTCCAATAGTAAAAGGCATAGTTTGATCCACAAAATATACCCTGCAGTCTTGTTGAAAAAAGAGCTACCTTTTGCTGTATTTAAAAAAAAAAGGATGTTAATATTCAATGAAAGAACAACATGTAATATTCAAAATGTCTTTTAGGGTATACAAGAACGAGATAATCAAATTAAGATGCTCACTGAACAAGTAGAACAATATACAAAAGAAATGGAAAAAAATACTTTAATTATTGAAGATTTGAAAAATGAGCTTCAAAGAAACAGAGGTATTTCAATATTATATAAATATGTGGTTAGTTTATTAAATCTAAAAGTACTTCATTTTTACTAAAATTCATGGATTGTGTGGTTACTGAATTACATTTTCCCTATTTAAATTTTTTTTTTTTTTTAAAAACTATATAGGATATTTGTCAACTACTTTGCATGTGTTCCTACTATTTAGATTTCTAATGATGGATATATTTTCTAAATTTTCTCTGATAAAAATTACACCAACTTTTATTACCATGTCAGTGGTTTGAAAATGGTGATTGTGTATTTTTAACTTCCTTTCTACTAATAAAGAATGGAAGAGAAAAATAAATTAATCATATAGCAGCACTGTAGATAGTTTTCAGAAGCCACATATTAGAGTTCTGGAATTCTTACTTGCCAAATTGTTAGCCATTATATCTACTTTATTTCAAGTGACCATGTATGTGGCTAAAATTATACTTCTATTACAATGGACAAAGTGAAATTGACCTTTTTTTTTGGAACAGATAAATAGTAGTGTCTGCTGAGTCATTATTGTTTATAAAGTAATGTTTTGCAGTCTTATAATCCATACCTTTTGATTTGGGAAGAGCTAACTGAATTTTACTCTTTTAGTTTGTTTTATTAATAAAATCAAACATTTATTTGTAAATATCAAGTTATATTAGGGGACTTTTTAAGTGGCATATTACTTTTCCACTTATTTGAACCAGTGATTTAGAGGAATATGTAGTAAATTCAGCTCATTTATGATTTTATTTTTACCATATAGGTGCTTCAACACTTTCTCAAGAGACTCATTATATGAAAATTCAGTCTCAGGTTCAAATTTTAGAGGAGAGAACTAAAGAGGCTGAGAAAATGGCTGAACTAGCTGAGGCTGATGCCAGGGAAAAGGATAAAGAACTTGTTGAGACTCTGAAGCGATTAAAAGATTATGAATCGGTGTGTATTTTTATCTTATCATTCAAAGAGCTTAGAATTACTTTTCCCACTCAGACTGTTATGACCATTAACTGTATACCATTAAAATCATTCCATAAGTGTCCCATGATAATGATTCTTCTATTTGATTTATGCTAAACCTTTAAAACTTTTGAATATTTACTTTTTGGCAGGAGAATTGTTTGCAAATTATTTGATGGAAGCATTTTTACCCAGATAATTAGCTGTAATGATGCAGCAGGATAGATTCTTATCTTGTCATTGTGTCACCAGATAGATGTGATACCCGTGGTTAGTTTGATAAAAGTTATTCTGGGACATTTGCCATCTACTGTGCCAACATACACTTTGTACTTTTTGTATTTTTAAATTTTATTACAACGAAGTCAAGAAATGATGACTTTTATGTTCTATTGGTATTGATTCACTCTTAGCTTTTTTTCTGTATTTCGTTAAGTGTTTTTGTGAAACATTTTGAGTCACTGACAGTAAGATGCTATACTGGGAAATTACAACTAGTTCATTTTCTGGTTTTGTTACTGGGTTTGTTTTTAAAAAACACAATTAAAAAACACAGTTTAGTGATATATAAATCTTAAATATATGTGTATTTTCCCTAAGGGTTAATAAAATAAATTCATGAATTTGATAGTTTGTTCATGTAAGCTAGTCATGTTTAAATTAGATTGAATATTTTTCAGGGAGTATATGGTTTAGAAGATGCGGTTATTGAAATAAAGAAATGTAAAAACCAAATTAAAATAAGAGATCGAGAGATTGAAGTATTGACAAAGGAAATCAATAAACTTGAGTTGAAAATCAATGATTTCCTTGATGAAAATGAAGCACTTAGAGAGCGTATGGGTAAGTTATTTTATGATAGTTTGTTCAACCCTAATTGTCAAATCATTTTTTTTTTAAGTTTAATACTCTCCCCCCCCCATAAATCCTTCTACAAGAAATGTAAAATGAGTGAAAGTGGAGCTGATTTAGTTGAAGTGGGATTGGGGATTTGATGGGGTTGGGATAATGGGTGGGCAGGCCTTTAGCACACTTTATTCAATTATGAGATGATCTCAGTATTAATTGTTTGTTTAATAACTGAAGTCTACAAAGTTAATACATGTTAGAGTTAACCCCCTCTTTTTTCCAACAAAAATATGGTTCATAAGACCCATGTTAGTGTAAAAAATGTTTTTCATTGAAGATGAATTCATGAGGACATTTAGAAATACTTTTTAAATCTATTTAAGACTTTCACGTACTTAACATTTATAATTTAGACTGCTTAAGTTTTGCTCTGGTTAAGTGTTTTAAGATTACTGTTTATTCTAAAAAGTAATATAGCTTGAAAGTAATATATAATGATTTAATAGATAGTACATTGGGGAATATTACTAATTTAAATATTAAGTTAGGGTAGATCAATCAAAATTGCCTCCTTAAAATGAAAATAAAGATCTAAATATTGATTTTTTTTGTACTTGTTAAACAACAGTAAATGCTTTCTTAGAGTTAAAATGATCATTTCTAAAAACTGTTTTCTAGAGGAAGGGAAAATATTTTATGCAGATTATTTACTTGTAATGAAGTATCTAACTAGAACCCAGATTCACACCAGGCTCTCAAGTCAGACTTCTAATCAACTTGACCTAAAAGATCATAGCCATCATGTTCTTAATGATGACGGAGCTATCTAGGTAGCTGTCATAAACACCATATTTTCTATATTTGAAAAGCTTCTATATAAATCTTGGTTTGTAATTATTTGAGTAAATCTTAATATCTGGTTTTCAGAGCATAGCTGCTTAGTGATAGAAATTAGGAGATTTGTACAATGGAAATTCATACTAATAGTGATGACATAATGGACATTGATATTAATAATGACTACTATGCCAGATAGTTCATTAAGTACTTTACTTGGGTTAATTTTATTAAACCCCTGAAAAGCCAAAAATAAATACAGTTTTATCTCTATGTGTTGGTTAATAATTGAAAGTGGGATTAACCTCAAGTCTGTTTTATTACAAAGCTTCAGTTCTCTTCTTTGATAGCCTAACATAGAGAAGAAAGACAGATTTTAGTAATAATTGTGATAAATTTTTTTAAATTTTTTTTTTAATAGAAGCATGTTTTATTTATTTATTTATTTGTTTGTTTTGTTTTTTTGTTTATACATGCACTGGGTACAGTCAGAAGCGCGGGAGGGTGAGAGAATTCACCAGAGCCAGAGCAGGGAGCAGAGCAGGCAGAAGGACCGAAGTACACTGCTGAGGAGAGCAGCGGGCGGCAGGAGAGGTCTGCGCACCATGTGGGACCCTCCTCCGGTGGCCGGGGAGCAGCCGGGGATCGAACCGGCGCCTCAGAGGCCGTGGGCAGCTTCGCAACCCAGCACTCAACCGCTGCGCCACCGGGGATGCCTAATTGTGATAAAATTTTAACTTGTAGGGTTATAGTTTAAAATCTCTTCAAAATCCTTACACAAAAACCAAACAGAACACCCCATTCTTCAGTGAAGCTGGCTAAATAAATTATTAGGCACTTGCTTGATGATAGCCAATTGCTAAATGAAGTTTTTATAGTTCATTTAGATATGATAAGTTTTTAATCATATTGCTCTATTTTAGGTCTTCAACCAAAGACAATGATTGATTTAACTGAATTTAGAACTAACAAAAGCTTAAAACAGCAGCAGTACAGAGCCGAAAACCAGATTCTTTTAAAAGAGGCAAGTGCTCTCTTGAAGTGTTTTTTATTCCTTCATTAAACTAAAGAGAAATACTAATAATTTATGCTTTGCAGATTGAAAGTCTAGAGGAAGAACGACTTGATCTGAAAAAAAAAATTCGCCAAATGGCTCAAGAAAGAGGAAAAAAGACTGCAAATTCAGGTATACTTAGTTATTCCAAATCTTCAAATGAATAATTGGAAAATGAATTGCTAATCTGAATTTTTCTGTATAAAAATATTATTACTATATAAGCTTACTGAGTGAAAATAATGACCTGATGAAGAGCATATAAGCACTGTCATTGGGTTCAGTCCTACATCTGAAACAAGTAAAAAAAAAAAAAAATAAGCAAGTAAACAACAAACTTTAGAATCATGTACTTTTGAAAAATTTACAGTATCCATTAATTTCTAGACAAGCCAAATATGTTGTAATTAATGATGGAACTTCATAATTTTTATGTTCTATATTGCTATCAGTTTCTTTTTCTGCAATGCTCTGCATTTAAAACTTTGTAAATATTCTATACTAAGTAAAAGTAATGTTACATTGAGTAAAAATTAGCTCTTGAGGGGTTTACTTGCTATCAGGAAAACAGTTAAGTTGTGTAATAGAAGTTGCATTCCCTTTTTGCAGGAGAACCATATGTAAGGAATATTTTATAATTTGGCCATAGTCAGCAAGTATCTGAATAATAGACATTTTGTTTATTTTTTGATAATACCTTTAAAATTTTCTAGAAGGAATAAACTTCATGATTTATTAGTATATTAACGAATTTACCCATCATGATTTTTGCTTCTTTATATCTATGCTATTTTAGTGCTTACTAATTAATATGTTAATGTAGATTGGGCAAAGAATGATAGAAAAGATAAAATTCACTACTTTTTAATATTTAATGTGAGCTAAATCAGAAAGTTGTATAGTCCGTAGGTGGATTAAGGATTTTTGGAAATTATTATTTTACCTGTAGTTTGAGTTAAAACTTGATTGTAGTTTTTAAAAATAAAGTATTAGAATAATAAGAGTTATTTTTATGGTTCTAATTCTTCCTCTATTTGTAGGATTAAATGTTGAGAATGTGAGCCCAACTGAAAATTATTCTCAAGAGAATAGACTAGGAGAAAGAAAATTTGATTTTATGAACCTCAAAAATATGAGTGAAACACAATCAAAGGTGAGCAGTGAAGTATTGACATGATGAGCAAATATAGAAAATGTTTTCATTACTTTTATTCTTACCCACTTTATCTCATTTTAGACATTACTTTTTTAATAGTTGTTAACTAAAAAAAGTTTTTATTTTAAATAACCTGCTGATTCAAAGATTGATTAATAAGATATTATTTACTCTAAATGCAGATTAGAAGTTCAGATAAAATAGAACTGCTGCATAGGAGACCATTCAGTATTCTACAGTCATATCAGAATGAACCACAGGAGAATATGACCACAGGACCATTATCAAGAATACTATCTGAAATTCATCACAGTGTAGAAAGTGAAGTGAATCCTGTTGCTTCTTTAAGTAGACATTCTTCATCTATACAAGTAAAAGATAACTATTCACTTCCAGGATCTATTACGATAAGGGAGATTTTTAAAGCACCCTGTCTACAATCTTTAAAAAATCTGGAATCATTAGTTAATACCTTTAGTAGGGAGAGTCATGAAGACATAAATGATTACTTATACTCTTTTTCTGATGACTCTATGAAGAAAGAGTCAAGAAGCCATCAGGCGCTTGAGAAGACTAGTTTTACACAAAAAAGTCAGTCAACTGAGCAAGGCTTATCAGCAGCATCAGACTTACTGCAGAAGTTATCACTTAGGCAAAAATGTGCAGTATTTTCTCAACAAATTCATGTTAATAGAACTGACATGGATAAATCACAAGTAGCAACATCAGAAGATGAAAAGACTCATAACCGAGCAAAATATGCTGATTCCAATTTGAAAGAAGATATCAAAAGAAGTGAAGTACCCTTACAGGCAGAGATCTTGAAAAGTAAATTTGAAGTTAATCTTTTGGACCCTGTGCCTATTATTGCACAATCAAAATTATCTCAGATAGATCCACTTGAAAATCTTATAGAACAGCTACGGAGAGAACTAGTATTTCTTAGATCTCAGGTGAGCTTTCCTCCAAATTACCTTGCTGGGATCATATTTTTACTAATTTTTTTTCTGTATGTAATAATTATAACAAAGTTCTCTAATAATTTTAATAGATTTTGTATGTTTCCAAATTATCAATACTTTATACATACTCTCTTTCAAAAAATCTAAAATACAGTGCATCTGATATGAATTCATTGATTTGCCTAATTTATTAACTTTTTAGAATGAAGTGATAGCACAGGATTTATTGATTAAAGAAGCACAGAGTAGAAATGCAGAAAGAGAGCTTGAACGTCATAGACGCCAGGCAGAACAGGTATTGTAATGGAAGATCATTAAAAGAGATGATTATGGTAATAAAGACAACACCTTCATTATATGTATTTGCCTTTTGTCACTGAGGTAAAGGGAGGGAGGTGGGAAGATAATCACCATCTGTTTAACCTTTCAGTTTTATTTTTATGATTGCCACTATGTCTCTACAGCTTGTTATTGGTGTGTTGTACCTTAATTGATCCATTTTTTTATAACTTCAAAACTATAAATTATTGTACTATTTTGTAAAAGTTATTTTTTATATTTTGTTTAGAATGAATTTCTTTCAAAAGAACTCACTGAAAAGGAAAGAGATTTAGAAAGAAGTAAAACAGTAATAGTCAAATTTCAGAATAAATGTAAGTTACTTCTTATTTTTCAATGTGTATTTATCCTATACTAAAATCTTATGACTGAAAGGACTTTAATGTATTCTTTGTTTTCTTGTATGTTTTAGATCTATTTACCTATAGCATGTGTAGATTTTTAGCCTTTCATTCATCCATTTGGCTTGCCAAATTTATTCTTAGAGAATTTATTAAACTAAATTTCTGTGGCAATAAATCTAATTTTCCCTTTTTCTCTAATTAAAGTAAAGTTACAAAAACAGATTTAAAAGACTTAATATAAGTGAAGGCAGCATATGCTTATAATTTATTTTTGCTATGGTGTATATATATGTACTTTTATAGGCACATCGCTCAAATTGGTATGCCATTTAACTTCTCGCACATTGGACTTATAGTTGAAGTTTTTTCTGTATTTACATTTGCATTTTACAAATGAATTATTTTTTTCTACATGTAAATTTTTGTCATCTGTAAGAGTAGTATGAATTGTGAAAAGATCTATTCAATCAGTGAGAAAAATATGTCATTTTAGTAAAAGAATTAGTTGAAGAAAATAAGCAACTTGAAGAAGGTATGAAAGAAATATTGCAAGCTATTAAGGAAATGCAGAAAGAGCCTGATGTTACAGGAGGAGAAACATCTCTAATTATCCCTAGTCTTGAAAGACTAGTTAATGTAAGTTATTTCTCTTCTTATTAATGGTTTTTATTTTGGTTGCCTTATCACTGTAAAGATCTTATTTCACTGTCTGTTGGTCTCTATAGTTTCTGCTAAGATATTTACAGTCATTTGAGTCATTGTTCCTCTCTATGTGATATATGAATTTTCTCAGGCTTCTTTCAAAACTTTACCTTTACTATAAAGTAACTTTCTGTCCATGTGTTTATGTGCACATACATTTGTAGGTGTGATTGTGCATGCATCTCTTGTTTGAGGTTTGCTGAGCTTCTTGACTGCTTTTTACTTGTGCTATTATTCACAATTGGTCTGTTAAAAACTTCCTGAGTCAATCATTTTACTCCTATCCATTGTTTTCCAGTGTACCAGTCTACTAGAATTGGTTAATGCTTGTTAACTGTTAAATTGCTAAACTTGGTAATACTGATATAAATTAAGTTAGAATTTTGTAAATTTAAAATTATGAATAAGAAATAGATATGGCATCTTTTTTTGTTATACAGTGGGAATAGTAAAATATCTAAGTGTCAACTTATAAGTATATTTTTCTTAATAGGATTTTAGTGTTTTTCTTCACATTTCTTAATTTAAACATATCAGGCTATAGAATCAAAAAATGCAGAAGGAATCTTTGATGCCAATCTTCATTTGAAAGCTCAAGTTGATCAACTTACTGGGAGGAATGAAGAATTAAGACAGGAGCTCAGGGAATCTCGGAAGGAGGCTATAAATTATTCTCAGCAGTTGGCAAAAGCAAATTTAAAGGTGAGTTTTATTTCATAAAAGAAAATTCTAAGCTTATGAATATAATTTTTATGTGAAATTTTCAATTTTTTTAAAATGAATGTAAGAAATAACCCCTGAATTAATTCCTTCAACATCAAAAAAGCTCCTGCTTAGATCTATCTTATAAAAAAGACAAATAAGTCTTATTTATAAAAAAACACTAAAATTCTGTTTATCCATAGGCATTTCTAATTAGAAATTAAAGTGTGGTTTAATTAATTCCTCACAAGGAATTAACAAACATATTCTTAAAAAAATACATTCAGTAGGAAGTTAGGTTACTACATTTAAATTTGTTATTCTTTGCATGTAAAGGATGTGATTCTCATTCCTGAATTGTTCGTTTCCAGATAGATCACCTTGAAAAAGAGACCAATCTCTTACGACAATCCAAAGAATCAAATGTTGTTTTTAAGGGAGTAGACCTACCTGATGGGATAGCACCATCTAGTGCCGATATCATTAATGCTCAAAATGAATATTTGATACGTCTCTTACAGGTACTGAAAAATTTATGGGTAAATAACAAATCATTGATACTGTTTTTAACTTAGTCTTCATGTATTTCAGCTCTCAAAATGTTAACAGTGAGATATAATGAGTTTTCATGATAAATGGAATATCATTAATAAGATCAATTTATACCATTCATCTGCATGGGGTGCATGCTGACACAACTTGATTATTTGTGTGTCATTCATAGGAAATATATGACTGACAAGTAGAATAGCATGCTGGTACTATTAGGTCATAATGTGTAAGTAAGGTGATCACTTTTATTTATTGCTGATTGGAAAAACAACTCAAGTCAATAAAATCTGAGCAGTTGTTTTAGTATAATGATTAGAATTGTTCTGTTTTTGTATTCAACAAAAAAACGCTTTTAAGCTTGAGATAAAATTCATGTCTTTTTATCGTTATATAAAAGAAAGGTATAAGAACACTGGTAGATTAGAGAGTATCAATTGGGAATAGGAAAATCTGTCCAAAGTCGTAAAATATCTGGCACTGGCACTCACAGTCCTAAGAGAATGTGCTGTAAATCACAAAGCCACACCAGTCAGACTCGACCTCAAATGTTGGCTCTGCAAAGTTTAGAGTACCTGACAATAAGCTTGACTAATGAATTTCTTAATGTTGAATAAGTTACTTAAGCTTTCTAAGTCACAACTTCTTATCTTAAAAATGAAATAATTGGAAGGATAATCTGAGTGGAGGCATGGTTATGTATTTGTAGGATTTTTAGGACTGAGAGTCTGATGAGAGGTAAAGTTGTAGCTATCTGATAATTTGTGTGGTTACTACAGCTACCCCATACAATAAAAATAATGTTACCTGTTTTGTGGTACTTCTCATTCACACATATCATGTTTTTTTTTTTTTTTTTTTTTTTTTTTTTTTTTGTGGGACCCTCGCTGGCGGCCCGGTAACGAACCGGCGCTGCAGAGGCTGCGGGCAGCCTCGCAGCCCAGCGCTCAACCGCTGCGCCACCAGGAGAGGCCCCATGTTATTTCTTATGCCTTAAACTAAGATGTTCAAAATGTCATGGAAATGATCGGTGTTGCTTTATAGAAATAGTGACAGTTCTCTTTTGACTTTTATAATTTTGTTAGAATTTGAATTTAACCTTTGAATTCATTTATTAAATATTTTTCATTATATTAACATTATTGTACATCATTGTTTGCATTATAGCCTTATAGGATCCCCCTGTTTAGATGTTGTTGCTGTTAATGTGCCACCACCAGAGAATAATCCATAGTCCACCACCATAGCTCCCTCCTCCCTTTGTTCTAGTCCCTCCCCTTTTACCTCCTCCTCTGGCTGTGCCCATTCCACGTCAGCTTTCAAGGGTTAGTTTGGTTTGGCTTTATCTGATCCTTTTGTTTCTCTATATTCCACATACAAGGAAATCCATCTAGTATTTGTCGTTCTCCTTCTCAGTGTTTTCACTTAGTATAATCCCCTCCAGCTCCATCCATGTTGCTGCAAATGGCATAAAAGTGTGTTCTGATGCTTTCACATTTTTATTTCTAAATCATTTTTAGGAGCTAGAACATAAAGAAAAGAATTTAAAGAATTTAGAAGATTCTCTTGAAGATTATAATAGAAAATTTGCGGTAATTCGTCATCAGCAAAGCTTATTATATAAAGAATATCTAAGGTATAAGTATTAATATAACTATACATAATTGCAGCACTTTCTTATTCATGATGAAAATAATATAAAAGTATTTAGATATTTTGTTTTAGTCGTTCCTCCTCCTCTTTCTCTCCACTTTGTGTCTTAGTTTCTTTATGAACATTTTATAGATGTCAACTGTTATTATCATCTTCATCATCACTGCCAGCATTACTCATATTTTCATAAGGAACTAACATTCTCCTGTCTCCAATTTTGTTTATATCAATAGAATAATATCCTTAGTAATTGGAATACCAAATCAAAGGTGATTTAAACCCTAAGGGTGATTATTATCTGATCTAACAAGAAACCCAAAGTTAATTACAGGATAGGTCCTATTTAGGGGTGGTCACTATACTCTCACTGTGGTTATAAAATAGTTGCAGGAGTTCAAAGAAGATATAAACCACCACCACAGGATGGGGACTTTTTTTTCCACATAACTTTGTAGTTTTAGATAAACTTTTTCCAGAGGCTTCTGGTAGATTATGGTTCAGATCTCATCAGTCGGAATAGGGCTAATGAACTGTCCAACTGATGTCCAATTCTGAGCTATTGAGTAGCAAAGATAATGATGCTGATGCCACTATAATTGGTATATGCCAAGCAGATGGCAGGTGACAGTGGTATGACTCTTGGGTAGGCAGTAGTATATCCCAGGACTTCTTTTATGTCTAATGATTTCTAATCTTCTTTGTATTCTAAATATTGTGCAAATATTGAACATTCAAACAGAAGAGTAGAGTGAGAATTCTGAGGCTTTATTTCCAGAGTTAGCTTAGGATATGGATGATTTTCTTCATCATTTTCTATTTTTTAATAAATACTACAATATTAAATGGCAAGCATCTTACTGTCACAATTCTAAGATGATGATTCATGGAATAATGAAAATAATTTGATAAAATAATTCTTTATCTTGCATTTATTAAAAATACTATTTTCAGACTAAGTAAGTCCTTTTGGCATGGACTTCTTATGTTGTCAGATGAGTAATAGCTATGTGTCTTATTTTATGAAAAATTTAAATTTTCGTAACCTATGGTTTACTACATTAGGTTTAGTATAGTTATTTTTATTTTTTTTAAGTGAAAAGGAGACCTGGAAAACAGACTCTGAAACTATGAAAGTGGAAAAGAAAAAACTTGAGGATCAAATCCAACAAGATGCTATAAAAGTAAAAGAATATAATGTAAGTAAAACACTTCGAAAATCACTATACAATATTGAACAAACTATACTAGCTTATTCAACAACTAATGAAATGTATCTTTGTACAGAATTTGCTCAATGCTCTTCAAATGGATACAGATGAAATGAAAAAAGCACTTTCAGAAAACAGTAGAAAAATCACAGTCTTGCAAGTGAATGAAAAGTCACTCATACGGCAATATACTACTTTAGTAGAAATGGAACGGCAACTTAGAAAAGAAAATGGGAAACAGAAGAATGAGTTAATGTCCATGGAAGCTGAAGTTTGTGAAAAAATTGGACATTTGCAACGATTTAAGGTGCATTTATTTTTGCTTCATCTCTGAAAATTTTCAAATGTGAAAAATAAAGTATAGTATAATAGACACCCATCACCTACATTAATAGTTAACATTTATTAACATTCTGCTATAATTCCTTCATCTCTTTTTTGTAGGGACATGGGTATTGTAGACATTTTCCCCCTAAATATTTTAGTGTGCATCTCTATAAAACAAACTGGGTTTTTTTTTGTTTGTTTGTTTAGGTAAATAGAAAAACTGTTATCACACCTACCAAAATCAGTATTAATTCCCTTATGTTTTATAATATCCATGTTCAGATTTTCTCAGCTGTTTCAGAATCCACTCAAGGATCCTGCAATATATTGGCTGTTAAATTACAATAAGTCTTTTTAATTTGATTCCCTTGCAGACTTCTTTATTTCTGAAAAATGTTGTTTTTTGAATGTAATTTTATTTCTACCTCTATCCATTGTGGTCACTAAATGTTAGTTCTGAAGCCTTGCTTTATATTCACTTACACATAAGCAATGTTCTGTATTTTTCAAAAATACTTTATATTGCTTCACTGTAAGAGATGAAATGTCTGGTAGTAAGCAGAAATAGGTGAGCTGTAAGAGTTTTCTGAATTGATATTCTGTGATTCTATTGTCAAAAGACCAATTTTTTTTAATCTTATGAAATTTAGAAAAGCCATCCAAAAATGAATTCTGAGTGATATATCATTTTGCTGCTGTGGCTTATGCTTTCCTCAAATTAACTGAATTTTATTTAACTATAATAGGTTATAAAAGGATTCCATTTATTTTTATTATAATTAAAAATTTTCAAGAGTATTATTTCTTTCATGAAGGAAACGGGTAATTTTTGATTTTCTTACATGGTAAATCTTATTTTTAAAAATGACTCTAAAATCTGTTTTTGCTTTCAGGCGTATTCTTCTCAAAAGTGGCTAGTATTTCATGAGAAAAATTACACCAACCTAACTTATTTCCTTATTTACACAGGAAATGGCTGTCTTCAAGATTGCAGCTCTCCAAAAAGTTATAGATAATAGTGTCTCTCTGTCTGAACTAGAATTGGCCAATAAACAATACAATGATCTCACTGCTAAGTACCGGGACCTTTTACAAAAAGATAATATGCTTGTTCAAAGAACAAGTAACTTGGAACACCTAGAGGTAAGCTAATGTGATTTTGAACTTTGTATTACTAGCTACTCTTCTTTGGTAATATCTTGTATACAGGTGTGGAATGACTTCTGGAGAACTTCATCTAGGTCATCCTTCGTAGCCCACTTTCATGATTAAACTGAATCAAATTCTTCCTACCAGGCACTTAAATAAAAAAGAATGCCATGGAACATATTGAATATTACAATCAAAGGAGGAAGTATCATTAAGTACCCATACCTTTTTCTTACCCCTTCAAGTGTATATTATTCTTTCACAGTCCCTAGTTTCTGTTCCTTGGAATGGCTATAACTGGGAATGGGTAAAATATTAATGACTCTTCCATCAATGAGCTCAGCAAATTCCCATTTTTAGTATCACAGAGATGCAGAAGAGTAGGATGGAGTATCTTAAGTTTTATTAAAAGTCTGTGAATATGGCCCAGAACTGCTCTCTTCTGACCACTTGACCTCCCTACCTTTTACAGTAGGCAAAACAATCTGTTCATGAAAAATAGGAGTGTATGTATTTTGTCTTACTCTTTTTAATGATACTATCATTGGAGTGACATTTTAAAATGGTTTTTCAGGCCTCCCCTGGTGGCGCAGCGTTTGAGCGCTGGGTTGCGATGCTGCCCGCAGCCTCTACAGAGCCAGTTCTATCTCTGGCCACCAGCGAGGGTCCCACAAAAAAAAAAAAAATTTTTCATGGGCGGGGGAGGGAGGAACTTCTCATTTTATTAAAAAAGATTGTGCAGTTTTAGAGAATATTTCATAAAGTTAAGACAGTATTGCTTCTGTGCTATTAGTCTGATTTACAATATAGTTTCTCAGTGATGTTTCTGTTTTATTCAGTGTGAAAATGCATCCCTAAAAGAACAAATGGAATCTATAAATAAAGAACTAGAGATTACCAAGGAAAAACTTCACACTATTGAACAAGCTTGGGAACAAGAAACTAAATTAGGTTAGTATCGTACTCTGATGATGCAAAATGATGTCTAATAGTCAATATTTTCCCTATAAAGTTCCTTTTCTATACAAGATGAAAAGGAAATATTGATAAAATTGAACTATCTGCCTAACAGTTTACTTTAGTTGATGAATAATACCTTGTACTAATCTGTGAATATTTGTTTTTAGTTTCTTTTTTTTTTTAAGATTATGCATTAAAAATTGGGGTACAGGCCAGAGGTGCAGGGGTGAGAGGATTCACCAGAGACAGAGTGGGAAACAGAATAGGCAGATTGACTGAAATACATTGCTGAGGGGAACAGCAGGTGAGGCAAGAGATGTCTGCTGTGCCATGTGGGTAGCTCCCTGGCCAGGGATCGAACTTGTACTGCAGTGGCTGCGGATAGCTTCATAGGTTGCATCTTAACCCCTTGCGCTACCAGGGAGGCCCTGTTTTTAGTTTCTTATGCCAGATTTGATGTAATGAAGCTATATATGCTTAAAATTTATAAGTAAGCACTTGGCATTTTGAATCATTTAACAATCAAGACTAGTGATAATTTTGAAATACCTGTTTTTAATAATAGTATTATAAGTTATTTTATTGTATATAAAGTTATACTGGGTTAACTTCACTTTATATTTTTAAATTAAAAGATCCCCATAAAACATCAAAGAATATTTAAAAAGAATTTATATTGTCTATATAGTTACATAGATAATACACTATATTTTGTATTATCTTATACATGCTTACACATTTTATATACTTCATAGTAAGAATACTATTATATTCTGCTTTCATGTAGTAGATATCAAAAATATTTCCATGTTCTATTTAACGTAGTTTTAAGTAAGTTATTAATATTCATTTGTTGCTTACTGTGAGTGATTGAATTACTAGCTTTCCTTATATTTACTATTGCTTATTGTGCTGCAGATATTACTGGCTCAGAGGGTATTAAAATTTTTTTGATTCCCTTGGAATTTTCATATTAGTTTTTCAAATGGTTATCCTTGTTTTCAGCATTTAGATAATTTTATATCATTAGCATTGTGCTTTATAATTTTCAAATAAATTTGATGCTTTCGTTTTCTAGACCTAGAGCTCTGCCTCTATTCAAGGTTTTACAAGAGAGAGCTGCTTTATTAAATTCGTATCTGAGACATACAGAGAGACCTAATATTGAGAAGTCTAAATAAGCTATTATTAGAAATATAATTTTTAATTTTTAAGAGATTAAAAGTGAGTTGACTCCAGGTAGCTTCTACATGAAAGAAAAATCATATTTAAACTAAGATATAAAGAAGATATTACATACAGTTTTAGTAGGTTCTCTGTTCCCTCTCTTAGGAAGTGCTGAATTCCATATCGAAATACCTTAATTTTCAAATAGCTTAATATCTACCAAATGTGTGACTTTATATCATTGAAGTTTTAAAAACATTTATTTCCTGTTGCCCTTATATCTTTGTTTAAATGTATCACTGTATTCGCTTTCTTCATGTAGAAATTGGTTGTTGTTTGATATTGTTTGTTAACTTCTAAGAAAACTCCAATCACAAGAACACACATGGCCTGTCCATTACAGCTCCTGTGATGTGCCTCCAAGCTTCATTGTCAGAGTTTAGCATAGAGTAGAATGGAGAAGAGATTTCATGTTCTTTGGATACTTGTACTAGTGGATTTTTTTTTTCCTTTCATTTATGGTGTTTAGGGTTGCCTGATTAAGTCTCTGTTCTGTAATGGATTGGTTTACTAATAGTATTAGCTCCTTCAGTAATCTGATACTGTTAGTTATTTGATCATTGCTTACTACAGCTACTCTAAAGTTATTTATTAAAAGAACCATAGAACAAAATGAGGCAGACACCAAATTGTATTTTCTGTCTGTATATAATATCTATTAGCTTCAGGTTTTACTTTGTAGCTTGATTTTATAAGACTTTAAAATTAGTCATTACACTTATGTTTACAAAGTAGTTTTGCCTTACTGTTTACCTATTTTTCTGTCTCCTTTCATGTAACAAAATATTTTTACCCTTTTTTTGATTGCCTACGTGTTCCCTACTTACTCCGTATCATCTTTTGCATTGTTATTTCAGTAGTTCTCTGAGGAATATTTTTTATTATGAGACTGATGAAGAATATAAATTGCAGAGAGATTAAATGAGACAGACATCATACAGACAGGAAAGTAACAGAACTAACACCAGAATCTAGGTCTTTCACAATTCACAAGGTTCACGTGTTTTCTACCAACCAGATTGCCTCTTTATATATAACATATAAAATCTAAAATATATGGGATATAATTTTGATAAGAACAGTATGTATGAGATTGACATAAGTATTGTTGCATGTAGGAAATGAATCTAACATGGATAAGGCAAAAAAGTCAATAACCAACAGTGAGATTGTTTCTATTTCAAAAAAAATCACTATGCTGGAGATGAAGGAATTAAACGAAAGGCAGCGGGCTGCACATTCTCAAAAAATGTATGAACACATAAGGACTTCATTACAGCAAATGGAAGAACGTAATTTTGAATTGGAAACCAAATTTGCTGAGGTTTGACATTATAATTCTTATATTAGAGAGTAAAGAATTAGTCTTGGTAGACAATGTTTTATTGTAAGAGGTTTGTCTGTTTCTCTGAAGTAGAATATTCATATGGTAATGGATAAATGAATGATGTGTTTTCAAATCTGAAATATTTTTGAAGAAAGCAATGTTTTCTATGAATTAATTCATCTTCTTATTTTTCACCAGCATTACATTATTATATTTAATGTGCAAAAAGATATTACTTATTAATGGTATTGCCTCCCACTGGCATCCATTAATTTTACCAATATTTGTTGAGTTTTTGTTTTGTGCCAGACACTACTTGGGGGCAGAAGGGTGGGTTATTGAAAATAAAATAGAACCTCTCTGCCTTTGGGGATGTTGCATTCTAATAGGCGGTTTTAACATTTTCATTATGATCATAATTATTAAATTAACTGGTAATAATATAGTTTATAATTCAATGATTTCTGATGGAGTAGCACTCTTATAATATTTGTGTCCCTTGAGAAATTAGCATATTTTTCAAAGTTTGTATGTCATTTTGTTTATTGTAACTGAGTCACTAAATATCATTAATAACTCATTTAGATTTATTTATAGATGATATAATTAATGTATGAGTGTGCCACATTCCAAGCAAATTGAGAATATCAGAGATTCAAATATTACCAGACGGTGGTTGCCTAACATAAGTGACTTTGAGGGGAATTGACATTTTACCAGAGTTTCCATAATTTGCTCCTACTCTTTCCCACTTTACCTTGTTCAGTCAGTTCTTAATACTTCACACCCAATTCAAATATCGACTAATGCAAAGTAAAGAAGACTTTAGTACTTAGTCTTCTTTAGCTTTAGTCTTCTAATTTAGCTTTACTAAGCTAAATTAGAAAAAAGACCTTGCCTGAAACTGATGTTTCTGAACCTTTTTTGTGACTTTTTCTTAGCTTACGAAAATCAATTTGGAAGCACAGAAGGTGGAACAGATGTTAAGAGATGAATTAGCTGATAGCGTGAGCAAGACAGTAAGTGATGCTGACAGGCAACGGATTCTAGAATTAGAAAAGAACGAAATGGAGCTAAAAGTTGAAGTGTCAAAGTAAGTGCAAACTTTTATATTCAAACTTTTTAGTCAGTTATAGTTGTGTCTCCTCTCTAATTTGACTTTAGAATACAAAATACAATGCTACAGAGGTGGTAATTGATACTAGCTTCTTTTTATAAGAACAGAATTAAATAATATTAGCAAGGATGACTTTTTAAAGGCATAAATTATACAATTGAAGAGGAAATTGCCTCTTAGGAGTCACATTTTTCAGTCCAACAATAATTGCAGAAGGAACTGAAATTGGAATCAATACCCCATGATTTCCAGTACTTCCAAATACTGATATTTTTGAGGGGGAAGGCAGTGGTTTCTTATGTAAACATGTTGGTTTATGATACCTCTTCTACTTGCTTTATAAAATGCTGTAATAAAGTAAAAAATTTCAGACTTTAATCCTTGTATGTTGGGAATCTGCTGTATACTGTGCTAGGTGTTAAACAGACATTAAGTCACATTATTATTCTTAATAATCTGAAGTCATGTTATTTTTATTTTACATGTGGAAACAGTTAATTAGCTCAGAACACAAAATATATATAAGAAGTAAACGCTGTGGGCCAGGTAGATACTGTTTACTTTCCTTTGTAATTAGGTCCCACTGTAGTACAAATGTACAAGGAGCACTGAATCAACCTGCCAACCACAGATAATAGTAAAGATGTTTTTATTGACTTAACCATAAAGTTATTGCCATTTTGGGGGAGGCTTGAGGAATCCTTTTGGGGATATCAGTCATTCCCAACCTTTTTTACTGTGAAGAGGACCTTTTTTGTATTAAAAAATAAGATGACCTTTTTTGTATCACTGTGTAATAATGTACCTGGCGATCTTAGGGATTTAAATTTTTTGTATTCTTACCTGTACAGTTTTGTTAGATAACCCTAATACCTTATTCTAACTTATCCCCCCAAAATAACAGCATAAATGTTTTATGAAGACAGGTGGTGGAGAGGCATTCTTTGACCATATACATTTGGAAAATGCTGTATTATGTATAGTTTGAAATGATTACTTAACTTTACTACTTTTCAGAACTTATTTAGAAGTTCTGAAATAAATACTTTTCAGTATTTAGAAATGTACTTATGAGAAATGTACTTATTTAGAAATGTACTTAATCATTCCTGAAATATCTTATCACTTCCTAGACTGAGGGAGATTTCTGATATTGCCAAAAGACAAGTTGAAATTTTGAATGCACAGCAGCAGTCCAGGGAAAAGGAAGTAGAGTCCATCAGAATGCAGCTCTTAGACTATCAGGTCTGTATGTATTGGTTCTTCTATATAGATTGTTTTTTTCTATGTTCAAATTAGGTAACGGGATAGTCTTAATCAAAGAGTACTTCAAGTAAAGGGTTCTATTCTTGTTAATTGTTACCTGATTAGGAAAACCCATTAATTTGAAATGGTATTCATAATCCAGAAAAACACTGAGATGCCTAACATGTATTATGTTAAATAGTAAATTTTTCATAACAGTATTTTCTCTTGTATTTATATGTAGCTTTTCAGTAGTCCCACATTTAAGATTTTTTAAATTTTAAAGCTATTTAAAAAATACTTAAAAAATTTAAAAATAACTAATGTTATTTACATATGGAACTTAAAAAAGAAGTAGAATGTCAAAAATTATTTAGTTATACATCAGATTTGGCTTTTAAATATGTTGATTCTAGTTTTTTTTTCTTTTATGATTTTTTTGGTAATTTGTATTGAAGTGGGCTCTGATTTTTGTAGCAAATCATGTACCATACTCTTTTACATTTTATTTGGTACACTGATTTTAAGTGTACAATAAGTTTCACTGGGAAAACTTGAAAATTAATATTTTTTTTTTATATTAGGCACAGTCAGATGAAAAGGCACTAATTGCCAAGTTGCACCAACACATTGTCTCTCTTCAAGTTAGTGAGGCTACTACACTCTGTAAATTGGAGTCGACTGCATCTAAACTGCAGAAGGTGGAGACCTGTAATTTACGCTTAGAGCAGAAACTTGATGAAAAAGAACAGGCTCTCTATTTTTCACGTTTGGAGGGGAGAAACAGAGCAAAACATCTTCGCCAAACAATTCAGTCTCTACGACGACAGTTTAGTGGAGCTTTACCCTTGGCACAACAGGAAAAATTCTCTAAAACAATGATTCAGTTGCAAAATGACAAACTTCAGATAATGCAAGAAATGAAAAATTCTCAACAAGAACACCGAAATATGGAGAACAAAACATTGGAGATGGAATTAAAATTAAAGGGACTAGAAGAATTAATAAGCACTCTAAAGGATGCCAGGGGTGCCCAGAAGGTAAAAAAATTCATTATAAGCTCAGTATTTCCAGAAGATTACACAATAACTTTAAGTTCTTAGTATGTGCCCATGTGAAAAATACTTAATATATGACTAAAACTCCAATTTATTAATTTGGATTTTATAAATTAGGAGTTTGGGCTGTGGGAATGCCTTTAGGCAGTGGTTTTAATGGATATGCTTAGATTGTATTAAAGAAGTTTAAAAACCATAGAAAAATTCATATATATGTTAATTAAATATAATATTAAACAGTGATTATCAATTGAAATTTCTTCATAATTATCCATTTAAATTATTCACAAGTATAGGTCCATATTTATTTATTTTTCAACTGAAGTAACATTGGCATACAATACTGTATGTGACTCAGAGGCATTGAATCACACTTCCTCAGATGCCTGTCCCCCACAATGCTCCCACCACTAAGGCACCATAGTCCACTGTACCCCCCTCATTTGACTTTATCCTTATTTGAAAGGAATTAAATGAAAAATATATTATCTTACAGCTAAATTTTATTCTCTAGATTAGAAATATTTAGGGTTTCCATTTTTGAAAGTAAAATCAATGCTTTCATTATAAACTTACAGTAAATATCCAAATATATGAAAGTGACTAAGTGAAAGTGAATGTTAGTGACATCTGTTCCAAAAGAATTTGAAGAATGTTTTAATGCTAAGATATCACCTTTTCTTAGAAAAGTCTACTGAAATTCTAAAGAAACTGCCATGTAGCTCAACCATGGAATCATTTTTATTTTATTTTACTGCAGAATTTCCATTTCAACTAAAAGTATTAGGATTAATGGAGAAATATATTTTTTACATAGTATTTACATTTTTGATCTTTAGGTAATCAATTGGCATATGAAAATAGAAGAACTTCGTCTTCAAGAACTTAAACTAAATCGAGAATTAGTCAAGGATAAAGAAGAAATAAAATATTTGAATAATATAATTTCTGAATATGAGCATACAATCAGCAGTCTGGAGGAAGAAATTGTACAGCAAAACAAGGTTCATTTTATATATTTTTATTATTTCTGGATTCCCTAAATAGAGATACCTGGCTTCATTTTTCTCCATGTCACTCATCACCCTTTGACATATTATTACATATTTATTTACTGTCTCCTCACTACCATATGTTTCATGATGGAAGGGACTTGGTTCTGTTGATTATGATGTTTATATTGCCTGGAATAGTGTATTGCATCTACTACTTAAATTTATTTTGCATGGATAGATATATGATGGATGAACAGGCTGATTGAAATCCTGACTCCAGTTCTGCCTATATCTTAGGCAAATTGCTTCACATTTCTGATCTTACTTCCTTTTCCATAAAATGAAAACAGTGATAGTGACTAAAAATATATATGTTCATTAAATATAATTATTATTAAACAGTGATTATCAATTGAAATGTCTTCATAATTATCTGTTTAAATTATTCACAAGTAGTGGGTTGTAGTGAAGATTAAATAAGATAATGTATGTTAACTGCTATATGTCTGGTACATGGGTTATGTGTGTCTGACACAAACTTTTTTTTTTTCAGTTTCATGAAGAAAGACAAATGGCATGGGACCAAAGAGAAGTTGAGCTGGAACGTCAACTAGATATTTTTGACCGTCAGCAAAGTGAAATACTGAATGCAGCACAAAAGGTATGTATGATTGAGACTGTTCGCTATTCGGTAGCATGACCTGTAATGTTAATCAATAGCAGTATCTTCTGAAGCCAGGTGGAATTTTAGTTGATGTTATCTTTGTACATTTCAAATATAGGTGGGGTTTAATCATGTCTTGTCATGTAATAGTAAACAATAATACGTTTTCAATGCTGTAACTATATTTCTTTTTTAATGCTATTTCTTAAAAGTTTGAAGAGGTTACAGGATCAATGCCAGACCCTAGTTTGCCTCTTCCAAATCAACTTGAGATTGCTCTAAGAAAAATTAAGGAGAATGTTCGAATAATCCTAGAAACACGGGCAACTTGCAAATCACTAGAAGAGGTAATGAAAAGAGTTTTCATTTTGATTAGTATCTTATGGGTATGTTTGTGGAATTTCCTAACTAATATTTTTAGAGATGGTAAAGCTTAAAATGATGAATCTTTTACTAATTCCACTTTCCTTTTCTACCATTCAATAATTTCACTTGACAAATATATTTTGAATTAAGGAAACATTGGTTTATAACACTATGATTCAAAATATAGAATTCTAATGCTTCAGGTGTCTGTTGCCACACCACACCCACCAAGGCACCCATAGTCCTCATCACAGTCCACTATGTTTCTATAGCCAATAAAGAAAAACTGATATGACAGATTTGAATTCACTGTCTATTTTGTTCATTTATTTTTTTTAAAGATTTATTTATTTATGCATACAAGATCTGGGGTATAGGCCAGAGGTGTGGGGGGTGAGGTGACAGGATTCACCAGTGACAGAGTAGGGGCAGAACAGGCAGATTGACTGAAATACACTGCTGAGGGGAGCAGCGGGCCAGCCAGGAGAGGTCTGCTGCACCATGTGGGTAACTCCCTAGCCGGGGATCAAACTCGTGCTGCAGTGGCTGGGGACAGCTTCACAGGTTGCGTCTAAACCCCTTGCGCCACCAGGGAGGCCCTTACTGTCCATTTTAATCAGTACTTGTTACTTTTGTGCAAACTGAGTAGTGGTGAGCATGAAAACAAAAATTGCATAATAGCTTTTTGAATAATTGTCTTCCCTGTATTATCAAAAAATGTTTTCATCTTTATGTTTACTCTTTAAGTGCATGTTGAATATTCTGAATCAGTTTTCAATTTGCTCCTTTTTTCTAAGTGGTTAAAGGCTTGAAGGTAAGCTAGAAATTGATACTTTATTTAGGTTTTAAATTTGATTAATAAGTAACCAAATATCTCTTCATTATATTGTATAGAAAATAATATAAAAACTGTGATTTTCATTTTATTTTAAATCTAAACATAGATTAACTAAATGCAAGTAAAACTGTATGTTCTTAATCAGCTGAAGGACGTTAGGTATCTTCAGTAATTGTACAATTTGTCATTTATGTGAAATGCCACTGAGTTGGTTCATTTAAATCATCTACCATAATCCTCCTGAGGATTAAAGCTATTTTCTGCTTTGCATTAATAAACTGTAGATTTTGCAATAATGTTTCGTTGACTTGGACCACTAAAATTCCAGTTTTTATATTCAGTTGACTTTTATAGATTATCTTCTAGTGCTCTGATAGTCAGTGGGCTAAAATAAAAATAATTATTATATTCCCTCTCTAAATCTAATACCACTACACATTTCTAGTAAAACTACAATATCTAAATAAAATACCTTAATTAAACTTAATTTTCATAACAATGAAGTTTCTATCACTTGCGATAATCTTATAAATAAAATGTGCACATAAATATTGTCATCACAGAAATGCAATTAATTTAACCATATTAAGTGTCATTTGGCTATTATAGGTGATATGAAAAATAAGGCAAAATTCCTAATTTTGCTTATAACTAATCTAAAATCCAGACAAAATATTTTTGAAAGAAAAATAAACTAATAATTTATTGTGATTTGATTATTGCAGAAGTTAAAAGAAAAAGAATCTGCTTTACGGTCAGCAGAGCAAAATATTCTGTCAAGAGACAAGGTAATCAATGAGCTGAGACTTCGATTACCTGCCACTGCAGAACGAGAAAAGCTTATTGCTGAGCTAGGCAGAAAAGAAGTAGAACCAAAATCTCATCACACATTGAAAATTGCTCATCAGACCATTGCCAACATGCAAGCAAGGTTAAATCAAAAAGAAGAAGTTTTAAAGAAGTATCAACATCTTCTTGAAAAAGCCAGAGAGGTATTATAGTATGTTTTATGTTATGTTATGAATGCTATGTTTTATTTTGTTTTTCAGTCAAATACCTAATACTACTCTGCCTTAAAGTGGTAGGTAATTTCTTGCTTTCAAGTGATTCTATTTAGGAATTCTTGCTTTCACGTGATTGGACTACAGATTTGTACGTAAAACTGACAGTTTGTATATGTATATCTTTCTTTTATGGACTGACTACACCAGTGATAGTTGTCATGGTGAAACTGTATGATTTTTAAGAATATCAGTTGAATGTATAAGTAAAGATTGAGGCAATGTATTCAAATTAAATCTATGTATCATACTGATAGAGAAAATCAGATTTGCTAGAAGCTTGGAGGGGAAATCTAACATTTAAAAAATGTTCTAGAAACAAGTTAAAAGATGGTGAATACATGTTATTCTCATAGCAGGAATAAATTGTCACCTAAGGCTGGGCACAATTTGAACTTGTGCTAGGGGGAAATTATGCTGATAGAAATATATATGCAGATAGCATTCCTTTTGTATTCCATGGGGATTTTAGAAATATTAAATCTTGAGCTTGTGAACCTATTTGAATCATAATTTAAGATATATTTGTTTATTTGCTGTAAAATAGGAGCAAAGAGAAATTGTTAAGAAACATGAGGAAGACCTTCATATTCTTCATCATAAGTTAGAACTACAGGCTGATAGCTCACTCAATAAATTTAAACAGACCGCTTGGGTAAGATTCTAAGAATTTTTTCTGTTCTTTTTTGACTTTTGAGACATATGATTGAAAATTTACCTCTCTTCTTTGTTGTTTGTTTTTCTTTTGTAATTGCTAGCATCATCTGAAAACACAGCTCATTTTTCTCCCTAGACCCAGAACCCAGCAGCCCACAAAACCTTGTTCATATTTCTTAACCATCTACTTGAAGATCTATTTCCATGATCTGACCTCTTTCCTTTCAAATTCTGCTCATTACAAATTTCCTTGTCTCCAACTATTCCCATGTTCCAACTTGAGTTCAGACTTGCCTCTTTTGATCATTGTGATGTGTACGTATGAATGACCTGCCTTTCCTTTCTAATGTGTGGACCATAACATTCTCAAGCCCTAAGACATTAATTCCATCAACATTTATTGTTCCTCCACTATGTGTAAGAATTAAATTTTAGATTAGGTATTACAACATTTGAGGAGTCAGTTAAAATTATGAAAAAAGCATAGTATTGAGTTTTATATGCACATGCTTAATATATTGGTATTTCATAGGATTTAATAAAGCAGTCTCCTGCTCCAGTTGTTACCAATAAGCATTTTATTCGTCTGGCTGAGATGGAACAGACAGTGGCAGAACAAGATGACTCTCTCTCTTCACTTTTGATGAAACTAAAAAAAGTATCACAAGAGTTAGAGCGACAAAAAGAAATCACTGAATTAAAAATCAAAGAATTTGAAAATGTCAAATTACGGTGAGTCTTATTTGGAAATGTATTGTTAAAAATAGGCAAATGGTAATAACGACATGATGAACAATAAACATAATTGTTATGTCATGTGCAGTTCTACAAGTTTCATGTATGTCATCTCTTTTTATACTGAGACCACTGAGAGCATAGATTATTATTATCCCCATTTTCCAGAAACTAGACCCCAGGGAGGTACAGTGACATGCCAAGGAGGAGGTAGGAAACCGCAATCTGAATCTAGTCAGTCTGATTTGGGCCAACCCAGATTCTTGTCCAGAATCTCGTGTTTAATATCTCAAGCTTCTGGTTCATCATCTGTAAAATGGAATGAAAGTTCTCACCTTGGCTCTTTCAGAATGGATATATAAAGGCTGAACGATAGTAAATTTGACAGCAATTTGAAAATTGTAAACTAAAATAAATATGAAAGTTTTATATACACACCTTTAAGAGTTTCTAGGAAACATCAGAGTCAATATATAGTTGCTGAATGAAAAATTATTTTTTTTAAATATATATATATTTTAATTAATTAAGTTATACAAGCACTGGGTACAGTCAGAAGCATGGGAGGGTGAGAGAACTCACCAAAGCCAGAACAGGGTACAGAACAGGCAGACTGATGAAATACACTGCCGAGGGGAGCAGTGGGCGCAGCAGGAGAGGTCTGCACGCCATGTGGGACCCTCGCTGGCGGCCGGGGATCAAACGAGCACTGCAGAGGCTGCGGCAGCTTCGCAGCCCACTGCTCAACCACTGTGCCACCAGGGGAGGCCTGAAAAATTAATTTTTATGACTGTAATGACAGTAAAGGTGTCACAATATTTTGTGTATTAGAGATTATACACATTGCTCAACCAATTATCAGAACATAGATTTTATGCCTAAAATAGGTATGTAGTTAGGTATTTTCTAATCATTATAGAAAAGGCCTTCTCTGGACCTTGATTTCTTGTCTGAAAAGAGTAGGATATTGAACTACTTAACTATAATTTCACTCTAGCTTTGAAGCCCTTATTAGAATCTTTGAATCTTTACTTAGTTATCTAAGATGCCTCTTAAGGAATTAATAGTATTTTGTTCATTATTGAGAAGTTGCTACTTTTAAGAAATTGTTCTCTAAAAGAAAAAAGAATTAGCTATAGCATGTGGTATATTTTTAATATAATTTTTTCCCATTCTATTTTATACTTAAGTTATTATTTTGAGTATAGTAAGTTTCTTTCATGTTTTGGTATATAAAATTGTACTTTGAGTCTCTTTCCTTGGTTTAGCATTTTTTTCAAGGTAGATTGTACATACATTGTTTTTGCACATTGCTATGCATGTTTTAATGTCTCAGGAAATTATAGATCTAATTGATTTCTTTAGAAAACCTTGTATTTTCACAGTTTGATGATTACTTAAGGTCACTTTATTTTTGCTGTGAGCTGCAAGTCTCAAAGTGTTTAACACTTAATCATGGTTTAAACAATCTTCCTTTTATTGTTCAGAGTTTTAATAATTTGAATCTCTGTATTGAACTTACTAATGTGGCATCTATATACAGTAAAATATATATAAATCACTGTATAAGACTTATTAATGCTAAATGAGCAATAGGATTAATTGAATAAGCTGTTGATAGTATCTACTTCTGTTATAGACCCTGTCCTCAAAAGAATCCCCTCTAGAGAAAAGAACTCAACAGAGAGCTCTAGATATATTTGAACCAGGCAAGGCTTATTAAAGGCTCATGCATGAGGGACTGAATGCCAGAAAGGAGATTAACCTGGCTCCTCAAAGGGGAATTAGGAGATATTTGAAGGGTAGGTCCAGGTGTTGGGGTGGAGGAGAGCAGTGTATCATAGATTGACCTGGGCTGGGATGTGCCTGAGCATGAGCAGACAGGCTACATTCCACTGTGCGTGGATGATCTCCTCTTTCTCCCTTTAGGATATTGTGAGATAGTCATCAGTCAGGACCTGACAGTTTTGTCATTTTGATGCCTTATGGTCAGTATGGTGGGCCAAATTGTTTGTACTGGATGTTGGGACAGGGCTTACTAGTCCATGACTTAGTCCATGACTTAGTCCACCTGTTAAAACAGGACTCTCATCCTATTGACACATAATTTTTTTTTTTTTTAAAGATTTATCTATGCATACAAGAGCTAGGGTACAGGCCAGAGGTGCGGGGGGTGAGAGGATTCACCAGAGACAGAGTAGGGAACAGAAGAGGCAGATTGACTGAAGTACACTGCTGAGGGGAGCAGCAGGCGAGTCAGGAGAGGTCTGCTGAGCCATGTGGGTGGCTCTCTGACCAGCCGGGGATCGAACTTATGCTGCAGAGGCTGCGGACAGCTTCATAGGTTGCGTCTTAACCCTTTGCACCACCAGGAAGGCTCCACATAATGTTTTTACCTAGGTTGTCTCACTTCCATCAATATAAATATGGTTATAGATGCAATATAAGTGACTTTGGAACCATAAACAAATTGATAATACTTGTGACTTCTGTGCAAGCTTATATTTTGTCTTTGAAATCTGTCAGAGAGCAGTGTATCTCTGCTGAAGTAATTTTGTTCTCTTTCTTCCCTCTGAGGACATTTGGTAATGTCTGGAGACAGTTTTGATTGTCCTAACTATACTGTACTATTGGGCAGCTACATCTTGTAGGTAAATGCAAAAGATTCTGCTGCTCTTCTTACAGTGGACAGGGCAGTGATGTCCCCTCCCTCACCAACAAACCTCTCCCAACAAAGAAATACCCAGTAAAAATGTCAATATTGCCATGTCAAGAAATCCTGATACACAATGAACAGTCACATCTTGTAGAAACCATAATATTTAAGGTGCTGTTTTATCTATTTTCTATATTTATCAGGAGCCACAAAAACATTTGATACAATCATTGTCAAATTTAGTATTCAGAAACTGCAGGGAAATGTCTTTTTCATGTGAAGTTTAAGAATAGTTAAGTGGAAGAAAGGATTGTTCTTTTGGATTCGGTTCAGAACTTAGATTGTAAAGCTACTTACATATACATTATACATATTTATGTTATGCTTTATATACATATGTTATATATATTGTATTAGGCTCCAAGAAAACCATGCAGATGAAGTAAAAAAAGTGAAAACAGAAGTAGAGGACCTAAGGTCCCTTCTGGCCCAGTCACAAAAGGAGTCACGGAGTTTAAAATCTGAACTTCAGGCTCAAAAAGAAGCAAATTCAAGAGCTCCAACAACTACAATGAGAAATCTAGTAGAAAGACTTAAGAGCCAGCTAGCCTTGAAAGAGAAACAACAAAAAGTAAGTAACAACAGAATATTATCAACATTTAGGAAAAATATGACAGATTGATTTAAAAAAATGTGTCTGCTGTAATTAAATGAGGCCTTATCTAATGCTGGTAAGCAGGAGTTTTCGAGGAAATTCTTTCAAGTAGCGTATTGGTATTTTTATGTATTTATTTTTAATTAAATTTTTCTTACATCATTGTTGTCTACATAGTTCTCTCACCACTGTATCACCTATGAGCAATCACCGTATTCCCTTGTGTTCATCCCTCCTGGTGTTTTTTTTAAATGTGGGTGTAGTCCAGTTTATATTTTTATATTGTCATCAGTCAGATTTGGGATAATCTGTAGGAAATAAGGAGAAGTATTAATTCCATTATTTCCTCTCCTTTTCTATTGGGAGTTCTATTTCCTTTCTGTTTTCTCTTCTAATGCTACTAAGGCTATATCAAACAATTTAAATAATTGAGCAAGTTTGGGATTTTACAAGACGATATAACAATGAGAAGGAAAAATTAAAGTGGAGGTCACAGTGATAGTTACATAAGAAGGAGTTGATCAGGGATTATCAGATTAATTAGGGTTTTTTTTTTTACATATCTCAGATTTGATAAATATAGTTGTTTAAAAAGGTGCTACTTTTCAACACTAGCTCATGAAATTTATTGGCAAATTTTAAGTCTTTCCTAATCTTATAACTTTCTTATCTAATTAAATTCAATTGTTTTTAAAGATTTATTTATTTATGCATGCAAGATCTGGGGTACAGGCCAGAGATGTGGGGGGTGAGAGGATTCACCAGAGACAGAGTGGGGAACAGAACAGGCAGATTGACCGAAGTACACTGCTGAGGGGAGCAGTGACACTGCTGAGGCGAGCAGCAGGTGAGCCAGGAGAGGTCTGCTGCGCCATGTGGGTTTCTCACCCCCTGCATCTCTGACCTATACCTCGGCTCTTGTATACATAAATAAATAAATCTTTAAAATAAATAAATAAATAAATTCAATTTTTTTTTTTTTATAGAAGTGAGCCATTTGGATAATACCTAAACATGAATGTTTGAAAATCAAGCAAACTTGCTTTTTATAATATAAAATTCCGCAATTTAATTCTGGGCTCGGAAAATTATTATTTCCAAGATTTTAAACTCTCACACTCAATTTGGAAAGATTTCAGTGAAATTACTAAAGGAAATTCATTTGAAAAAGTTGGGTTATTAGTTTGTGAAATATGTTTTATTAAAATCATGGAATTTTAGTAAAATAGTGAAAAGTAATAAAGCTGTTTTTTTTTTTGCATTATATCTTGCTCATATAAAATATAAATATTTCCCAAAACACTTAGATTTTTGTAAATTTTAGGCACTTAGTCGCGCACTTTTGGAACTTCGGGCAGAGATGACAGCAGCAGCTGAAGAACGTATTATTTCTGCAACTTCTCAGAAAGAGGCAAATCTCAATGTTCAACAAATTGTTGATCGGCATACGAAAGAGCTAAAGGTGAACATCATGAATGCAAAAATTAATGCAATAAAATTCCTGATGATTACCATTGAAAGAGGATCCTTTTTGATATGCAGTGTTTTTTGATAATGAATATGGATTTCATTTTAAGGAATTCTTGGATAGCTATACATACATATATATATATATATGCACATTGATAGCTTTAGACTGTTTGCTCTAGTTTTGTTTTTTCTCCTCAAAGTAGACTTGGTTCATTTGAAATGAAGATGGAAATATATATGTAGTAGTTTTTATTTCCTTATTTCCTTAAAAATTTAGATAGAAACTTTCTTTTTAATATATTTATGTTATACTTTTTTTTGTTTTTGCTTATATCACTGATTCTTGTTGAAAATTTTATAAGCTAAATCTTTCTGTCTCTAATTAGTCACAAATTGAAGATTTAAGTGAAAATCTTTCAAAATTGAAAGAAGCTCTTAAAACAAGTAAAAGCAAAGAGAACTCACTAACTGATAATTTGAATGACATTACCAATGAACTACAAAAAAAACAAAAAGCCTATAATAAAATTCTTAAAGAGAAAGACGAAATTGATCAAGAGAATGATGAACTGAAAAGGCAAATTAAAAGACTAACCAGTGGATTACAGGTAATTTTATATCTTGATAATGTGTTGGTTTTTAATACATAGGTGGGAGTTTATTCCCACTTTTTAATTTTATCTGTATTTGCTGATACTAGCCTTTAAATCACTTTGATTAATATTGTTGATTCCTACAGTCATCTCTATTGTATTTTCAGTTCTAGAGTAGCAAATATTAAAACACAGTAGCAGCTACCATGTCATATTTATACATAAATACTGTCATTTAGAGAGCATGATTAGCAAGTCACTGAAACTTTCTGTACTTAAAATATTTATTATGTATTTTTTGTACTTTTTCAATTTTCAAAATATAAAAATGCTTATTTTTCAGAGCAAGCCTATCATAGATAATAAACAAAGCCTAATTGAAGAACTGCAAAAGAAAATTAAAAAACTGGAAAGTCAGTTGGAAAGAAAGATGAATGAGGTAGAAATAAAGCCTATAAAAGAAAAGGTATGTGAAAAAATATATTGATTAATACATTTTAAGGTAGTGGTAGACTAAATTAAATATGTAATTGAACAGATAATGTACTTTATTAATGTAAGTATCTAATTCATACTGGATATACATACATAAAGTCATACTGGAAAATATAGAGACGTCTAAGACAAGTTTTTGTCCTTTATAAAAATTTATATAAGTCTACTTAAAGGAACACCAATAATGTAACTCTTATTTAGACATTACTAAATATCTTGTGTCACTTTCCTGTGACATTATAATACCTCAGAAATCCCTTCAGCTCTTACATATCCAACTATGTCATATTCCCTATGTAATTAGCTATTAAGATTAGTGCTTTTGACTTTTAGCAAGTAAAGTGGGTTATTTTTAGTCTTCTACCTTGACTAAAGTGTTTTTCCTACTTGTCTTTCAGTAGACTAACCTGTTATCTCAGGGTAAAAAAAAAATTATTTTGAATATATTCAATATTTGCAGTATTATCAACCCATTCATAAATTATCAACCCATTCATTATCAACCCATTCATAAATTGATTCTGTAATCTGAGCAGAACTGCTTAAAATTTTCTTATAGGTTAACGAATAAACTATTTTGTAATAAAAATTACTGATAAAAATAATAAACCCAGGGCCTCTCTGGTGGCACAATGGGTTGAGCACAGCACTGTGAAGCTGTCCACAGCCTCTGCAGTGTGGGTTTGATTCCCGGCCAGCCAGGGAGATACCCACATGGTATGACAGACCTCTCCTGTCTTGCCCACTTCTCCCCTCAGCAGTGTTTTTGGTCCATCTGTCTGTTCTGCTCCCCGCTCTGTCTCTGGTGAATTCTCTCACCCTCTTGCACCTCTGGCCTGTACCCCAGTACTTGTATAAAAATAAATAAATCTTTAAAAAAAAAATAACCCAAAGAACAACCCCTTGAAGGGACTGTGATATTAGGAGGTTGCTATAGGTTGATAAAATTGGTTTTGTCACTTACATATACACATTCTTTGTTAACAGCTTACTTTAGTCATCATGACCATATATGTTAGAATCTTTATTTAAAGACCTCTAAGGGTGTTGGCAATAGTCCAATCTATTCCCCAGAATTTCATCTACAGGTTAGGAATTCAGACTCCTAAACTGAAAGACATTTTTGCTAATAGCTTGGCATGCCTAAGAAGTCTAGCAGTCACATAGGAAATGGAACCTTTTTACTATAGGAAATATTGGTTCACCATTGTTATAGTAAATTCTAATTGATAACTCTTAAACTTAAAATAATGTTAATAATTTTCTTCCTCTTTTGTTATTGTTTACAGAGTGCTAAAGAAGAATTAATTAGGTGGGAAGAAGGTAAAAAGTGGCAAACCAAAATAGAGGGAATACGAAACAAATTGAAAGAGAAAGAGGGAGAAGTCTACATTCTAACAAAGCAGTTGAGTACTTTGAAGGATCTTTTTGCCAAGTGAGTTTCAGTTTAACAAAAGTCTAATTAATTGTGTATAAAGCCTTTAATAGTGATATGGAAGTTACATAGTTTGATCTTACTTGATAATGTGAAGAGTTTCCTAGTTTTATTTAGGTTATAACTATGGTTCATTTTTTATTTTTAAAATGTGCTTAAAATATATTTTAACAATTTATAAAAATAGTTTCCTTTAGTCTTGAAATAAGTTAGCTTATAGCAAGTATAGAATGATCCTATTTTTATATATATGTCTTTTGAGGAAGAAGCTGAAGCATAGTTAGTTGAACAAGCCACAGTGATTGGCATATTTTCATGATTCTATGTTAAATCCCACAGAGCTGACAAGGAAAAACTTACTTTGCAGAAGAAACTAAAAACAACTGGTGTAACTGTTGATCAAGTTATGGGGGTACGTGCTTTGGAGTCAGAAAAAGAGTTGGAAGAATTAAAGAAGAGAAATCTTGACTTAGAAAATGACCTATCGTATATGAGGTAAGCAATTATGTGGAAATGTGCTCGTCATTATCATAAAAAAAACATGATTGACCATAGAAACTAATGTAACAAACGTGTTATTTTAAGGTTGGTATCTGCTGATTGTCTTTTCTCACGTGAGTTGAGATATTCCTGTTTCTTTATATGCCATATAATTTTGGATTGTATTCTTGAACTTTTGAAAATCATATTTGAAGACTCTGGGCTGTGGCTATAAACCACATTTAAATAGACATTTAAAGTCTATTAAAATGTAGATGTTTTTGTTTTAGCAGATAGTGGTTTGGAGAGTTTTAGATCTGAAGTTCCAACCTGCTTTCTGTGGGGTATGGTTCCAGTATCAGTTCAGTTTTCAAAGCCCTTACAGTGCTCTTCAAATCTGTCCTGGCTCTGCCCTGCCATGATGATAATACTGCCTTATGTGTGTTAGTTCAGCTCTTAAAGTCTTTAGTATTCATTTAGGATCAGATCCGTGCATGTGCAGCTGAAGACTGAGCCCACAAGTTCATAAACAACTTTATGAACTACTTGAACTACTTCTCTATTGTTATTTCCCTAATACTTTCCATAGAATTCACCTTTTTGCTGATTTGAACCAAGCATGATGCTTTGAAGTTACCCTATTCTACTGGACACTGCAGCAGTTGTGCATACATCTGCAGCAAAACAAACTGGAAAGCAGAATGGGTGCAGGGGTGAGGTGTGCATGTGAGGGGCAAGGGTAGGGGGTTGGCTGTACTACTTTCACAATACGCCCTTACCAGTCACAGCTCTACCAATTGGAAAAGACTCTCTCCCTAAATATTTTGACTTTTATACATTTCTGTTTGCTGTCTCTGCCACCATTGCCTTGGGATTACTTGAGGGCTGGCGCATGAGAGAAAAGAGAAAGGAGAGAAAGGAGAGGGTTCTGTGCTTTCTGTATTTATAAGTGCCCTTTCTGTTTACTGGAGCTAGAACTGGAGCTAGAAGACCTCCCTGAAATACTCTCCCTCAGTGCTAACACTCACCTACATGTTTTAAGTAATGTTGTGTTCAGGCCAGGCAGTAGCAGAGGAAAAGAGGGTAAATCACTACCTATTTACTAATACTTCAAATTCCACTAGATGTCCCAATCTATAACATATATACTTGTCTAAGTCTCTGAACTGCTATTCCATGCATTTGGGAGAAACAAGATTGAATGTATTTACTCTATTATACTTAGAACCAGAACTTCCCATGTTATTTCTAGCAGTCGTTGAATTTTTTTTTGTTTTGCTTTCTTTGTAAGCTATGTCTTCTGATATATTGATGGTAATAGAAAGCAAAAAATAAAATCATGTTCTAATGGCAAACCTATTTATAATTTTCTGTTTCACTTAGATTTGTTTTACATATGCTACCTTACTTCCTTTGCTTACAAATAAATGACCTGTAATCATGTTAGAGATCATTGTCAAAGTCTGGTAGCTACATGTAATAATTGCACAGAGAATACTTAACCATTCTTAAATTTGTCATACTTTATTTTCCTTTTTGTTCATTTAAAAAAACTATCATTAGTGCTATTTATTTCTGTAGTTGTGTCATTAATGTAATGTGAACATATGAGGTTGATCTCCTGTAAAGGAACACTCTATCTTCTTCCCTTCTAAGGCATTGTTTTCTTAAATTCTTCAGAATTTTCCTAGATAGAAAAGAAAAAGTGAAGAATTCTTTATTTTGACATCTGGTTATAGTTACTGTCCAGTCCCAGTGGTGGCTCTATCCTTCCATGTTTTTCTTGGTCTAAACATATGTTCAAAGTAAAGCTAAACCCTTTTATCCTCCTTTGCAGTTTTCACAATGATCAAAGTGTTTTAGTTTTGATACCTTCTAATAACTTTTAATTGCCCTTTGTTCCCTTCTAATAATGTGAATGTGTGGTTGAAGTAATTGGACAAAACTTTATAGCAGAAATTAAGATTGTTCTCTCAGTTCAGGTGTGAATTTCTGAATTTTATGAATCAGATGTAAATAAAGATATCTACAATACTAAAGGTATTAAAGGGGGATAAAGGCATATTAAAAAATCAGAAACATAAAGGCAGGCGTGAACATTCCATATGTGTTGGTGGATTTATATACCTAGGTAAAGGTAAAGTCCTAGGCATTATTAGGTTGAGTAGGTGTAGTTGTGCCCCATTATAGATCTTCTGGGCCACAGAGATGAGTGGTAACTTGAAATGGCCTTTTAAAATCTTTGAGCTTTTAAGGGACACCTGAATGTTAAAATATTATTATATAATGTTAAATATACTGGGTATTTTAGTTCAGCTTCCTTATACAATTCTATATAGATGTATGTTCTTTCAAAATTCTAATATATTCTTGTAAATCAGAATATATTTGTTAACACATACTTTCAAGGAGCCCTATAGTGAATCATCTGTAGAGAATCATTTTATAATGTAAATAGTCATAATATAGTCAAATCCTTATTAAAGTTTTGTAAAGGTTGAAAGTTATATATAATTAAAATATAGTGCTAATAATTTTAATTTGAATGTAGTAAAACAGTGAAAAATTACAATTTGAGTAGTAAAGAATCTTTGTGGTTGTTGTCCATAGGACCCACCAAGCCCTTTCTCGAGATTCTGTTATAGAAGATTTACGTTTACAAAACAGATACCTCCAAGAAAAACTTCATACTTTAGAAAAACAGTTTTCAAAGGACACGTTTTCTAGGCCTTCAGTAAGTGTAAGTCTTTTCTTTTTTCTGTTTTTAAATTTTAAGAATAAAATCAACTTTATCTGGCTAAAAACATTAGATTCCTTTCACAACTATTAATACAATAAAGTTAACTTTTACTTTTATTCTTAATATAAGCTAAATTCTTGAATCCTTCCTATCTGTTAACAAAAACTTAAGATTCTTACATTTGGAGTAAAACCTCATTATAGGAAATTTCTAGTGATTTTAAATGTAGAATCAGTGTGTGTTTTGCTGTGACAAGAATATACGATTAGGTAAAATAGAAAAAATATAGCATTACTTTTCATTCAAACTTGATATGTTTGTGTTTTTTCTTTTTAAAGAATTATTAATGTAGAATTGTCATATCTTATTTTAAGCCATCTAGTCTGTATATTTTTGTTGTTGCTTTTTTTCCTTTTGTTCTTTTCATGTTTCTTTTCTTTCATCTGCTTCAAGCAGAATCTGTTATGTGACACAACTACACTTTCTACCCTTGCTACCAGTGTTAATAAATACAGGCATAATTCTGTTCACAAAAGAACATTTTGCACAGGAACAAAAACATAAATCTTAACCGTGCTCAGAATTAAAAATGGGAAGCAAAAAGATGCCAATGTCAGCTTACATCATCAGGTACCTGGAAATAATATACGGTATTACAGTAATGAAGAAAAACACAAAGCAGAAGATATTATGGATCCTTCTGAGTTTAGTAAATCTAAGGAAAGACGAAACAATGTCTAGTTCATTTGGTTAAACTAATGGGAACTTTGCAGGTTTTAACTCCAATTATGAAAATGAATCAGATCTTGAAATTGAGAAAATTGATCATGACTGATGTGAAGAAAATAAATGGGAACATAAAATCAAGGAAGGGAATGAGCTAGGCAAGAATGGGAAAGGAAAGGGACACACAACTGAAGATGTGAGTCACAGCAACCAAATAGATCCAGAAGAATCTGCTGGGGAGGACCAGTATTATCTCCCAGATAGGTGCCATGAGTCAGTGGCTGAGGATGCCCAGGCATACTCTGAAACTGATGTACCTGTCCAGCAGAGAAAGGACATGTGTCAGGTTTGAGCACATGGCAGTCCTTTATTATTTTGTTTGCTGTGTTTTCTTATAGTGACTAGTGCTGAGTTTTCTTACAGTAAATAATAGATACATTTGGATTTGTTAAATATATTAACTGTTAATAAACTCCTTAAGCCCTAACATTTGACTACTTCCTACAAGAAAATTAGTGGTTTTGTGTTTTCTTATTTTCTAAACTCCTAAACTTCATACCTTGATAAAAGCACCACTAGCCACCACCACTAGCCACCACCCAGTCACCATTATCAAATGAACCTCCTATACCCATTGTTCCCACTCCTACATCCCTTCACATCTGGTAGTCACCATTTTGTTATCAGAGTCTAAGAGTTGTTTCTGTTGTGTTCTCTTAGTTCATTTTCTAATTGTTTCTTTATATCCCACATGAGTGAAACCATCTGAAAGTCAGCTTTGTCTTTCTTATTTTACTTAGCACAATCACCTCAAGTTCCATACATATTGTTGTACAACACGAGATTTCATCTTTTTCTTTTTAAAGCTGACTAACATACCATCAAGTATATATACCTCATCTTTATCCAGTCATTCATTGACGGTATTAGATTGTTCCCATGTCTTGGCTATGGTGAACAGTGTTGGAATAAGTTTAGGGATGGATGTATCTTTTCAAATATTAGTGTTTCATATGCTGCAGATAAGTATCTGAAGGTGGAATCACTGGTTATATGGCATTTCTATTTTTAATTTTTTGAGAAATCACCATTCCGTTTTCTGTAGAGGCGGCACAAATTTACATTCCCACCAACAGTATAGGAAAGTTTCTCTTTTTACACTTCCTTGCCAATACATGCTGTTCCATTACTATAGACCATTCCTATATTTGTGAGGCATTACTTCACTGTGGTTTTTGATTTGAGCAATTTTTCATGTGCCTGTTGGTCATTTGTATATCTTTGGAGAAGTATAGTCCAATGCCTTTTTTTTCTAGTTAAACAATGACTTTATTACTTGACTACTTGGACAAATTTATACAACCAGGGCAGAAGCTGTGGAAGACTCATACTTCCACTTCAAGAGGAGAACCCATTTGGTCTTTAAATAGCTAGCCAACTGATGAACATGACTGTCAGTCAGAACCAGACAGAATTTAGCTCCCATCTAAGGAATGACAAGAAGCTTTCTGAAGAAGGCACTGGCTTGTATATTAATTTACTAGGGTTACCATAAAAAAGCACCACAGATTTGATGACTTAAATAACAGAAATTTGTTCTCACAATTCTGGAATCCAGAAGTTCAAACTCAAGGTATCGACAAGGTTGATTCCTTCTTAAGGCTGTGAGGGGAGGATCTTTCTATGCCTTTTTCTTTGGCTTAGATAGCTTCTCCTTGTCTCTTCACATGGTCTGTCTCCTGTGGTGCCTCTGTATCCAAATTTCTCTTTTTCAAGAGAATGCCAGTCAGATTGAATTAAAATTCACCCTAATGACTCTGTTAATTTTAACTTGGCTGTCTCTAAAAAGCCCTATCTCAAAGTCTTGTCATTCTCTGGTACTAGGAGTTAGGACTTAAGCCTATGAACTGGAGGTGTGTGGGGGTTGGGACATAATAAAATCCATAACATGTCAGTCATGCTTTATTTTTGAACTGGAAAAGCCATAAATTATTTTAATCATTAGGGCAGTATAGAGGTATTATATATGTGGACATTATTAAGTCATTTCTTGATTTTGTTTTCTTTGTTAATTTAAACAAACTGCATTTCCTTTTGTCCTGCAAGTTTTATATTGTAGCATTAATTTTTGGTTGTTTTCTCCAGAACTCTCTGAATTTCTCATATTTCTCTGTGGGGAAAAGTTCTCTTTTAGCATAGTATTTTCTTATCCATTCATGTCTTAGGTGGCTTTTTTTTTTTTTCTAACTTCATTTTTCTGAAGACTTCAGAAATAGAGTCAGATGATCGTAGCCAAAGAGAACAGGAACTTCAAAGGGAAAATTTGAAGTTGTCATCTGAAAATATTGAACTAAAATTTCAGCTTGAACAAGCAAATAAGGACTTGCCAAGATTAAAGGTAAACTTAATGTTCTTTCTTACACAACTATAATCTGACATCCGAAACCTTTTTTTCTCCTGCTTAGTTATGTTCACCTTATTAGCTTGTGAAGAAGTCAGAGACTCATAAAGTATCTTTGTAGTGTTATACTTTCTACATTTGTTCATTTAACAATTTTTTTGTGGAGAACCTGCTTTGTGTCAGGCATTCTTAAGTCGTGGGAAATGGCTATGAAGAAGATTCTTGCATTTGTAGAACTTATACTCTAGTGTGGAAGATTGATAGTAAACAAGTCAATATATAGTATGTCAGCAAATGTTGAGTGCTCAGGAGGAAAAGCATGTCTGCTGTGAAAACTGAGTGTTAGGTGGGGGGGAGGGATATATGGAATTGCTATTAAAATAGAGTAATAAGGGCCTCCCCGGTGGCACAGCGGATTGAGCGCAGAGCTGTGAAGCTGTCCGCAGCCTCTGCAGTGGAGGTTTGATTCTCGGCCTGCCAGGGAGCTACCCACATGGTGCGGCAGACTTCTTCTATCTCCTCCGCTGCTCCCCTCAGCAGTGCTTTGGGTCCTTCTGCCTGTTATGCTCCCTGCTCTGTCTCTCGTGGATTCTCTCACCCTCCCACACCTCTGGCCTGTACCCCAATGCTTGTATAAATAAATAAATCTTTAAAAAAAAATAAAAGAGAAATAAGAGAAGTCTTGCTTAATCAAATGATATTTTAGCAAAGAGCTGGGAGAGAGGTTGTAAAGTGAGTCATCTATACTGGAAAAAGGAGTTTCAGAAAATAGAAATAATACATTTAAATGCTCTGAGGCAAGAGGATGGTTGATTTATTTCATTAATAATTATCACACTTTAAAACATTAGAAAGTTCAGTTTTCTGTTTCTCACCAGCATATGAGGAAAGATCTATGTATGTAATTTATGGGACAGTTGAAACCTGAATCTGAGCTCAAATTTATATTGTTTACTAAGGCAGTAACGTAGAAAATATTTCTTGAAATTCATATCCATAATACTCTTGTATGAATACACTTTAATTCAGCCTATGTCTTAGTTAAAAACCCTCCATGGTGTAGAAACCCACTTGTCAATTTGGCAATGCAGCTGAAGAGGTTGAGGGTTCATAGGTGTCTCCTTATTAATGACATTAGCTCTGTTAAATTGTTTCATGTTTACTTTAATCTTTTAGAATCAAGTAAGAGATCTGAAGGAAATGTGTGAATTTCTTAAGAAAGAAAAAGGAGAAGTTGAGCGGAAACTGGGCCGTGTGAGAGGGGTGAGTGTGTGAAAATATGCCGTATGTTTGTTTTAATTTCAGAAGTTATAAACTGGAAATGGAAAAGGTTTAGATATGTCATAATAGTTGCAATATCCTTTTACCAGTGCCTCTAGTTTCAATTTTTATTCTGCATCCACTGTGCAAAACATCAGTAAGCTTTCCTTTATGTTTCAATATCTTTTATCATCTGTCACACCTTACATGACTTTGTATTTCACTTAGAGTCTATATCATCCCTTTTTTTGTTACATACCCCTCAACTTGATCTTGAAAACATTTCTCTTCTAGGAATCTTCCTTCTGTTCTGTCAGGTAACTACAAACTTCTCCTTGGGCCTATTCTAATATTTTGTAACTATATTTTATGATTATAAAATATAATCATTATACCAACTTTTTAGTATAATGCTCTATATATACATTTCCCAATTATTTTTTATACTTGTGTTTTTCTTACCTAGTTATTTTATATTCATTTTTAACCATGATTAACTGTTTATGAGACCAAAGCCAAAGATTTAAGCATTTGTTAATATGGTGATGTTGATCGCAAAAATAAAACCGATTGTAATATAAAAATTAATTCAGAAATTTTATTATGTGAAAATTTGAATAGTTTAATAGTATTCAGAAAAAATGTTGCTGATAGTAACATTCATTTCATAAATTAAAAAACCTGTTAATTTGACCTTTTCTAAGTTAATTATGCATTATGTATTAAAAGTATGTAAAACTTTATATTTTAGTACTGTTTGTTGAACAATGTGAATACTGAATAAAATACAAAATTAAAAAAACATTATTTTACTCAACTCCTATGATATCTTGTATTTTAAATCATAAACAATTGAACCTAAGTAGTGACTGATCTCTTGATAATCTTACATGGGATTTTTTATTTCACATGTCTCTTCTATCTATATTTGACAGAAACTAAATTTCTATTCCCTGGCTATTCTTAAAGAAATTCTGCTTCTGTCATGCTTCTCTGTGATTTGGTCATTCATGATTTGTCTTTTGTGGCTTTATTCCATATGAAGAAAATTCTGGTATATTGGAAAGCACATTAGCTAAATAAATTCATTTAGAATTGTAATTCTTATAGGATTATTGTGATAATGAATTGAAACTTTGGCTTCAAATGTTAGGAATCAACACTGAGTATAATAATGAGCCTATTATGTTGTTAATACTTTACATTATAGTTTTAACATATTTGATTTTAATAAAGGTAATGTATTCTTTTTCAGTCTGGTAGAAGTGGAAAGACAATCCCAGAACTAGAAAAAACCATTGGTTTAATGAAAAAAGTAGTTGAAAAAGTCCAGAGGGAAAACGAACAGTTGAAGAAAGCATCAGGAATATTGACCAGCGAAAAAATGGCTAATACTGAGCTAGAAAATGAAAAGTTGAAGGTACCTTTTTTAGTGATTGTCTGTATAGAATGTTTTGCTATTATAATTTTTATTAACTTTTAAAGAAAAATTTAATGCACTCATACTATATAAAAATGGCTTTAATGCAATAGATGTTTATGCATACAGAAAAAATTTATTGGAGACAGGAACAGTCAGAGTAGCTCTATTTGGTCATCTTCTTCTCTCATGACCAATGGTTCTCTGAGAACTTGAAATAATTTCCAGGGTCTATTTTCAAATATGCAGATGTATAAGCCCCTAATACTGAAATTGATTCAGTTATGTCTGGGCAGGTACTGCCATATATTACGATTTTTTTTTCTTTTAAGTTATTAGGTCATTCTAATGCGCTGCAAGGACTGGGAACCAACTGCTCTAGGTGACCAGTATTAAAGGGAAGGCTGTAATTCTATTCTATTTTATTTTTTTTAAAGATTTATTTATTTCTACAAGCACAGAGTACAGTCAGAAGTGCGGGAGGGTGAGAGAATTCGCCAGAGCCAGAGCAGGGAGCAGAGCAGTCAGAAGGACCGAAGTACACTGCTGAGGGGAGCAGCGGGCAGCAGGAGAGGTCTGCGCGCCATGTGGGACCCTTGCTGGCAGGCGGGGATTGAACCAGCACTGCAGAGGCTGCGGGCAGCTTCTCAGTCAGCGCTCAACCACTGCACCACCAGGGGAGGGGAAGGCTATAATTCTAATCCTGTCAAATTGGTCTCTAAAAATATTTTAAATTTTTATGAGTTTACAAGATCATCCTTTATTTTTGTTTTCATAACATATAGTTTTGTTTTTTAATTAGGCTGAATTAGAAAAACTTAAAGTTCATCTTGGACGTCAGTTGAGCATGCACTATGAATCCAAGAACAAAGGCACAGAGAAAATTGTTGCTGAAAATGATAGACTTCGAAAAGAACTTAAAAAGGTATAATTTCATTACTGATTATAATTTTTATCTTAATTAAGTAGCACATCGAGGAAAAACTGTATGAAATATTTGATGTAATGTCTATTCAAAGTACGTATTAAGAGATTTAGGAATTGTGTTTTTGTGTTTGCTATCATTTCACCACGAACAATATTGAAAATAAAAAGTTAGTGAATTTAGAGACAGTATAATGTAGAAGCTACATAGCCAGGGTTCAAATCCTCTCTCTTACTTAGTAGCTATAAAAACTAAGGCAAGCTCTTAACCCTTCTCTATCCCTCAATTTCCTCACTTATAAAATTGGGAATAGTGAACATATCTACTTCATAAAGCTACTGTGAGATTTAAGTGGGTTAATATTTGGACACCTATAACAACCTATAACCTATAACAATGCCTACTATATAATTAGGTATATATGAAACTTGATAAACAATCTGTACCATTCTTCTCTGTATAAATGTCAAAATTTATTCCTTGCCCAAGACAAGTTAGTTTTACTTATATGGATGATCCAGTGAATTAATTGAAATTATTATTTTTATTTTTTTAAAGATGTATTTTATTTATTCATGCATATAAGAACTGGGATGTAGGCCAGAGGTACAGGGGTGAGAGAATTCACCAGAGACAGAGTGGGGAGCAGAACAGGCAGATCTACTGAAATACACAGTTGAGGGGAGCAGCTGGCAAGACAGGTAATGTCTGCTGAGCCATGTGGTGTGGGGTAGCTCCCTAGTGGAGGATTGAAGTCATGCTACAGTGGCTGGGTAGCTTGATAGCGCTGAGACTTTAACCCCTGCGCTACCAGGGAGGTGCTGAAATTATTTTTAAACTGATTACAATAGTATCTGAATGTGGTCAGTTATATTTTGTTCTCAAGGTGGATATTTAATGATGGAAATAATTATGATATTTACAGGTAGCCTATACTTATAGCTTGGTCTCTCAAGTATTAAGAAGTCAAAACCAAGCATCTTTTAAATGTATGAAGACAAACTATCCCTTTATTCCAAGTGTTTTAGACATAGATGACAAAAGCACTACAATGTATATTTGTCAGTGTATTTTTCTAACATCATTTACATTATCTTGTCCTAATTATCATATTGGGTTTTGGAGTAAAGGAAACATTAAATTTTCATTTGACTTTTAATCAGCCTTTAGAACTTCAGTTTATTTTTTCTAATCTGTGGTGATAAATTTGAATATATTGTATCTATGAGAACAGTATGTTTTGTTATATACTAATTAGTTTTTAATGATAGGAAACTGAAGCTGCAGAAAAATTGCGAATAGCTAAGAATAATTTAGAGATTTTAAATGAGAAGATGACAGTTCAGCTAGAAGAAACTGGTAAGAGATTACAACTTGCAGAAAGCAGAGGTCCACAGCTTGAAGGTGCTGACAGTAAGAGCTGGAAATCAATTGTTGTCACAAGGTAGGAATAAAGAGTTTAAAATTCTCACAGAGATTAATCAGTTCTAAATTGTATTGCTTTAAAAGACACTATTCTGGCTCAGTTGTTACTTCCTGATGAACTGTTTTGTTGTATGTTTTAATATGACAATCACTTTTTTGCCTGCTCCAGCATTGCCAGAGTCTTTTTTTTCCTTAAATATTTAATTTATGTGGCAAAGAGCAGAGCTGAGGCCCAGTAGGGTGTTGATGCTGGGTGGGCGTCATGAAATTGCTGTCACACACAAGCCCAACTTGATGGTGACCTATAAGCAGCTGGATGTTGCTTTTGTCCAGCCCCAATCCGTTTCATTTCTGAATGGATGTTCTGAATGGTGTTCATTTTCTGCCTCAAGTACAAACCAGGAACAATGAGCTATCCTGTCACGAATGGATTCAGGAACAGCTTTAGTGTCTTAATGGTCTCTGATCTTGATTTTCTCCCAACCCGTGAACCTTTTCTACAAGTAGGTGTGCCTTCTATGAACCTGGCCTTTGTGACTATGAAAGCAGAGATGGGAATTCATGAGTAAACAAGCATTCATACTTGCATTGCCTTACATAAGTGGTCACAAAGTAATGAGTCAGTAAAAGGCTCTGGTGTCATTCTCATTTCTAATGCCAAGCAGCCTTTTCGGGAAACATTGAAGTCAGAGATCAGTAGGATGCTGCCTGTGTCCTTGCACGTTGATGTCATCCTGTATGAAGTTGTGTTCTTTACAACTGCTGGCCCCATTTCAAAAAGGCAAATTCATCTTTATCTTAATTTCATAGTTACTTATATCCACGTATCCTCAGTTCCTTCTGAATGTCCTCAAGGGCCTCATCTGTCTCTCCTGATAGTTAGAAAGGGACTTGGTGAGGGTTGGTTGGCATTCACCATCATTGCAATTAACATGGGAGTCTTGGTCCAGCAAATCCCTTAGGGGAACCAGCTGCACCGCATTTATGTTAGGTTAGTTCTAAGCAGAAAAGGGAAAGGTTTATGCAGGTGGACTAGAGGCAGTCCTGGGTAAAGGGTCCTTGGTTCTTGTCCTAATACCATACTGAGAATACTGGGAATCTACTCTTTTTTGTTGTTGTTGTTGTCAAAGAAAGAGAAGTTTATTATCTCCAAGCAATGGAGACAAAGAATTTGAAATTTTTTAGATTCTCCCCGAGTGAGGGGTGTAAGAGGACTTTAAAGGAAAAGGAGGGCAAAGGAGAGCCAAAGGCGTTTTGGTGATTGGGTGTTACTCACCATCTGCCGGTCTTCTGAGCGTGTCAGAGGGGGCTCGTGTTTGCACATACATCGTATGTTCATAGATGGTGGTTCAACTCTTCCCTAGGTGGAGTTTTTTTTTGTTTTTTTTTAAAATAAATCCTCGCCTGATTCTTGCAGTGTGTGGGGTTAAGTGAAATAACATTTATAATAGTAGAAAGTAGACGAGGGGGTTTCTCTCATTTCCTGCTTGGAACCCCAGCAAAAGTTTTCAGACAAGCAGTTTATCAGTTGATCTGGATTGTCGTTTGTTTCTTTCTATCATGTATACACTGAGTTTTGTGTTACATTCACATGTATTTATTCAGCGGATACTTAGTACCTACTATACACCAGGCTCTCTGCTTTATATTAGATGTATTTCTAAAAGACCTACTTTGCAAAATATTTGACTAGAAGAAACAGTATATTATTATTTTTAGAGCAATAACTTGAATGGGCTTTTAAATCAGTGAGAAAAAATATTTTTCATGTCTACACCATCTTTTTCTTCACACTTTTAGAATGTATGAAACCAAATTGAAAGAATTGGAAACTGATATTGCCAAAAAAACCCAAAGCCTTGCTGATCTTAAACAATTTGTGAAAGAAGCAACAGAGCGGGAACAAAAAGTTAAAAAATACACCGAAGACCTTGAGCAACAGGCAAGTCATATAGTATTTCATTTGATAAAATAACACATTATACCCCTTGGTGTTGTCTCCTGTAGATAAAAATAAGCTTTTGGTCAACTGCTGCAGTCCCTGGAAACCCCACCTGAACAAATGGCACTAACATTCACCCATTTGTTTCAGCCAAAAACCTTGGATCACTGTTGATTTTTGTTCTCATACCTGACATCTTTTTCATCATTAAATTATGTCAACTCTGTTTTCCCCAAATCTGCCAATGTCTCAGCGCCTTCACAGAAGCAGTCTAGTCTGAGCTACTCTCTCACTCTTGAACTATTGCAGTAATTTCCTAACTGGTGCACCTGCTTCTACTCTTGCCTTGTTTCACCCTTTCCCCATTTCTGATTTATTTCCCACAGTTGCCAAGAATCTTTTAAAGCATAAAGCAAATCATAGCAGTTCCATCCTTATCATTTTCCAATCATTCCCCACCATTCCAGGGGAAAACAATCTGCATTTTCTCAGATTCCCTCAGGACCTACACAGCTGACATTCTCTCTTGCCTCATCATAACCACTTTCCCTCACTCACAGTATTCTGACCACACAGACCTTTTTCCAGTCCTTTAACAAATCAAACTCTTTCGAGCTTCAGGGCCTTGCCCTTGTTTCCCTTGCTTAGAATACTAATATTCTCAGAGCTCCCCCACTTCCTTCATGTCTCTACTTAAATGGAGGCTCTTTAGGCTTTCCCGGAAGCCTCTTCATCACTGCATCCTCTTGTTTTTCTTGATGGTCCTTCCCTTCACTGACACTGTAGATCACACGCTCATTGTTGTGTTCTCCTAAAAATATAAGCACCATAAGGAACAAGCTGGGAGGGATTTTGCCTATTTTTTTTTCACTGTAATATATCCTCTGTGCCTAGAACAGTGCCTGGCAGGCAGTACTCAATAAATGTTGAATGAACATGGAGTAAAAACCACTGAAATGTGCTCATGTTTGCTATTGAAAACCAGCTTTTAATATTATGCTTTAAAAATGTACATTTTTTAAAAACCTCTTATTCCCTTGTCAAACTGTCTTTTACCTTTTCATTGTGCCCAAAGATTGAGATTCTCAAACATGTTCCTGAAGGTGCTGAGACAGAGCAAGGCCTCCACCGGGAGCTTAAAGTTCTTAGGTACATTTTATGTTCATACGACTTTTTTCCTTTTCTTTTTATTATCTTTTAATATAACCAGGTTACTGTATCTACAGATGAGGATTTCCAACCTTACTGCCAAATAGGCTTATAAGTTCATTTATATCCTTCTGTTGCTCTTTTACATAATGTATACAGAAAAGCTTATAAGCCTCATTATAGCCTTCTATTTCTCTTTTATATATATAATGAATACTGAAAGGTAAACCAAAAAGAATAAACCAAATCTTAATATAGGTGCCAAGTTTGTAATTTGGTTTAAACTTTTCTTATAGCATAGACTATATTAAACCTTAGCTTCAGGCAAATACTGTGAAAAAAATTATTTACATCTAACACTGTATGTAACTTACCTCTCATGAGGTCATCTAATAGGAAAACCACCATTGAAAGTGATAATCAAGTCAAATTCTTAAAAAAGAATGAATTTCAAGTCTGTGATCTCTGAGAATTGGAACATTGTAGCAGTGAGGAAATATGAATGTTACCATTATAAATATCAGAAAGTTCTGAGCACTGTACAAGCACTGTTCATAAAAAAATGCCCATTTTTTAACACATTATTATTTTGTTCTAGATTGGCTAATAGTCAGCTGGCAAAAGAAAAGGCAGAATTAATTCATCAGTTAGAAGTTAACAAAAACCAAAGTGGAGCTGATGGCACCATACCTGGTAATACATTTTCTCATATGTATAGCATGTTAACTAACTCATTTTTTTTAAATTGCATTGTCTTTTTTGTTGCGGTAACATTGGTTTACACATTGTACATGATCTAGAGGTACAGGTTCACATATCTTCAGATGTAGATTATAGCTCACTTACCACACTTACCCATAGTCCTCTACCATACATAGTCCACTGTAACCCAAGTTTTATAGTAAGTCATTCTACTCTCTTCCATTTCCACTCAGAAGTGATTACTAATCATTCCTCTATTCCTGTGTGTATATGTATGCACATGTACATATTTGTAGTGTGTATGTATACACATACCCACACAATGATTGATCCTTATTATTTGCAGTTTCTATATTTGCAATTTATCTCTCATAAAATGTACTGGTAATTCCAAAATCAGTAATCATATTTTGTGCTCTGCCTCCTTGTTTCATACAGACAGGACAAGATGGGGGATGGCAGGGGACAAACTGCACAGGGCAAGAATCTCTAGTTCTGGTTGGATGGAGCTTTAATCCATCACTTCACACTTCTGAACTTAATTTTCTCCTTTGTAAAACAAAGAAAATGCATCTATCAGTTTGTTTCCAAGATTTAAGATTACTATCTACTTGAGATGTATGGGTGAATCTGTTTTACCAAAGAGCAGAGGTGCAGATTTTACTAGTTCCTTGTTTGTGGTGACTTACAGAATGTAACTAGTGCAAATAATGAGGATCAATTCTATATATTTTTGATAGTTTGATAAAATGCCAAATTCTATACCAAGAGATGATCAGTTGGTATCTGAAAAATCTTTATTTCATACAGCTTTTTAAATATTCTACCATGTAGTCATCTTACTGCCTTGTATCAAAAGCTATCATTGTCTGCGCTGTACCAGATACTTCACTTATATGCTATATCTATTTTTAATATTCTGAGAAATGTCCATTCTCACAGGTGTGAGGTGGTTTCGATGAGCATTTCCCTAAGTGATGATTAAGTTTTTTTCATATGCCTGTTGGCCCTCTGTATGTCTTTGAAGATGTGCCTGTTTAGCTCTTCTGCCCATTTTTAAACTTACTGATTGGGGAAAAGCTGTCTAATTTTTGTAATTTTTGGCAGATACTGATCAACTGAAAGAAAAGGTAAAAGATCTAGAAACACAGCTCAAAACCTCAGCTCTAGAAAAGCAGCATTTGAAGGTAATTAATTTTATCTAATTACATTTTAAAATTGTTTTTTGTGTGTGTATAAGAACTGGGGTGTAGGCCAGAGGTGTGGGGGAAAGGGATGGTGAGAGGATTCACCAGAGACAGAGTGGGGAGCAGATTTACTGAAATGCACTGCTAAGGGGAGCAATGTGTAAGACAGGAGAGGTCTAATGTGCCACATGTGGGTCAGCTCCCTGCATAGATCTTAGCAGTAGGCGTGCTAAGAACTGACCCCAAGCCACCAGGGAGGCCCAGTTTTTTAAATGTTTTATGGAATATTTCAACATGCTGTTAAAAAACTATTGTTATGATGATCATATTTGAATTTTAAGTATGTCTCCTAAAACTTCCTTCAAACGTAAGTTTGACCTTGATACTGCGAAGTTCATAATATTCACAGAACTGTAAAAATATTAAACAAAAAAATACCAAAAAAAATCAGACAAAATAAAGGGTGAATTTATTTTTTGTCTTGAATACAACTGATTTTTATTGTTTTTATTTAAATTTGGGAGCACATTGAGTATAAAGTCTTTTATTTCCTCTTGAAATTTCTTTTAGGAATAGTTACCGTAAAGAAAGGTATTTGCTATGCTTTATATCTTTAAAAATCTGTAAGATGAACAAAAGAGCATGAATGTGAGAATAAACTAGTGATCCCAGTTGTTCTAAATGGTTGTTAGAGATCAGACTGTCTTTCCACCAGATGTATTACTCTAAGGCAGCATCCTAGCGCTGCCCTGATCGTTGCTATGTTTAAAAGAAGTTGACCATTAAAAACCAGATATTTGTGAAGAAAATATAAATGTACCCAAAACCAAAGACAACGAAAACAACTTCAGTGATATAGCTAAATCCTTTTGATTGCTTCATTGAGAAGACCTGACATGCTTTTGGAGAAAGATTAAATCCCACCCATCCAATTTATAAGCTGTAACATTTCAGTCAAAGCCTGCAACACAACTTATAGAACAGATACTTTGACAGTAACAAGTTACTTACATACACTGTACAGTAAAACCTTATTAACACAATATTAAAATGCTTCTGCTTTATAAATATATTTGACTATTCACATTATTTTGTCTCACTTTTAATTAAGTATCCTTAGTTCAAACCTAAAGAATATATTATATTCCTATATGCACCTTTTAAAGATAGTATTTTTATTAGGAGGAAATAAAGAAGCTGAAGAAAGAACTGGAAAATTTTGATCCTTCATTTTTTGAAGAAATTGAAGACCTGAAGTATAATTACAAAGAAGAAGTGAAAAAAAATATTCTCTTAGAAGAGAAGTTAAAAAAACTTTCAGAACAATTTGGGGTTGAATTAACTAGTCCTACTGCTATTTCTGAACAGTTTGAAGATGAAGAGGAAAGTCCTGTTAATTTCCCCATTTATTAAAGGCCACCTACAACTACAGTTTTACTATTAACTTTGTAAGTTAAAAGTCCATCTGTAAATCAAGCACGTTTCTGACCTACATTCTTGTACTCTTATAATTGGAATTTGTAGTAAATAAAATTGTATAAAAATTACCATATTAAAAAAGTATATATTTTTAAGACTTTTAGAGTTATGACTATCAAATACTATTGAGCTGTGGTGAATTTCTGTACATTCATGTTTTGAATTTTTAAAGATGTAAATTTTAATAATTTTAACATTTAAAATTGGGGTTATATGTAATGATTTGAGATAGTACAGTCATAAATATATATGTAATATATACATTATGAGGTTAAGCCATATGTTTTGTTAACAAGATTCAGTTTAAAACATTTAATTTTGAAAGTGAATGATCCAAAATTGTTGGTTGAATTGTTTAAATTACAACCCAGTTATACTGGACAAAATCCAACCTTTATACAAGCTGGGGAGCTTACTATTATGTACATTTTTAAGTCCAGGAGTTAAAAATCATTTGCAGATTTTAAATAAAACTTGGAAGAGATATTTGCAATGGGGAAATTCATTTCTTCAAATGCTAGAAGATATATTCATCAGAATCTGAACAGTAAATAGGCATATTTTTACCTTTAAACACAGCATGTTCAAGATTCAGGTATAATACATCTGGTTTGTACTGCATTTCTAGTTTATACTTCAAGTATTATATCTTTGAGCCTACCAAATTTCTGATTATCTATTTTTGAAAAATGACTAAACAAACATTTCGTATCAAATGCATAGTCATGTTTGTTCAGGTTCATGTTAATAATAACTGACTTTGAATTCATATAAGGGTCTGGAATTGGCCAGCATAAACCAAGATGATGGCGATGGACCTGAAAAAGAAAAATAGGGAATTAGTTTTAGTCTGCGTGTCTTCATTCACTTCCACATATATCAGATTCCCTACCATTTGCCACACATTGTTTAAAGCTTCACTTACCGTACCCTTTTTTCCACAGCTATTCTCCTGACATATATATTTACTTGTTTACTATCTATCTTCCCCACTAAAAAGTGAGCCTTACGAAGGCAGACACATTATTTTGTTGACTTTGTTTTTAGCACCTTGAAACATGCGAGGAATCAACCAGGGGCTCTGTTAAAATTTAATGAATAATAGAGTCCGCTGATGAGTACAGAAGGCAGCCAGTGGAAAAAATGGACAGTCCAAAAGGGCACATAACAATTTTTTTTGCCCTGATGAAAATTATTTATTGAATATGAGTATAGTTAGAACATATACATTGTGGGTATATTAGGGAGAAAGGGGGTGGCAAGCAGTTCTAGAAAGCCAAGCAGGACCATATAATGAAAAATTTTAGTATTACTAAACGATCTTAGTAATTAACACCACTAATCTCACTAAAGAAAAAAATCTTAATATAATATGCAGGGAAGCAACATTCCATTCATTTGTGAATAATGGACAGGACAGGGATAAGACAAAGATAATGTTTAGAAGGGTAAAATAATTCAAGCATAAATTAAACCAATTATATTAGCTTAAATTAAAATTAAAAGCCAAATGAGGAAAGGTACACAGATTCCATAGATCCTAATCTTCAAGAACCATTAACAGATTAAACTAAGGTAAAAAAGGGATTAAAACTGTTTTCCAAGTCTATGGCTTCAGTAAATTGAAGTCAGAAGAGCTGATATGGTAGGTCCAGTTTGGAACATTACAAATTTCAGGTACTTGTAACAAATCAAATAGAGAAGCCTGGATAGAAAAGGACGCAAAATGTGAAATAATTCATTCTGTCATCTTGACACTCTTTACTCTTCAAATTCTATCAAGTAAGATTGGGAAATGCTACATTAAACTAAGTACAGGAGGTCTCAGCAGTCAGTTTCCTTCTGAAGCACATGTAGCAGAACCAATGCCCCACAGCATACACACTGGGAAACACAGTTGTATTATGTAAAGAATGATGGCAGGTGAAATGATGAAATTTAATTTCCTTATCTACAAATCAGAATTACTGCAACTTATAAAAAGTATTTGGGTAAAACTTCTGTGCTTTAAGACAATGAAACATAAATTACACAAGCTATATTCCACCATTACCTTAATTAAGCAGCCATCATTGCAGTGCCATACTATTCCTTCAATTTTACCCTCTCTGCAGCCTTCAAACCAGGACAATAGATCACTGTGTCTCAAGGTAGGTAGATTTCTTATTTGAAATGCTCCATGTGGTACAAGAAGATGTAATGGACACTTCTTGGTTCCTAACCCTAAATGATAAAAAAGCTGCCATTAGCTAAAGGTTTCAGAAAGAATAAGAAAATGTATCTCTCCAAGTAAAATCTTTTAAAACTGTTTACCAAAACATTTAGTTGATTTCCTTGAAGAGAGAAATACAAGTGCTCTCACTCAATCCCATTATATACAAATTCCACCTTAATATGCTACACCAGGGGTCAACAAACTATAATTTACAAGCCAAATCCAGCCAGATGCCTGTTTTTGTTTTTTTTTGAATAGTGGCAATGGAACATAGCCACACTCATTCATTTAAGGACTGTCTATGGCCTGTGTCAGAGGTATGGCTCACATAGCCTAAGTACTTACTATCATAGTGGTCTTTTACAGAAAAAGTTCACTAACCCCTGCTACATACTATTAGTCACACTGAATCATCTATGTTTGCAAAGAGCTAAGTCTTATATAATTACTACTTTAGCTTCTTTCCACTGGTCAATCAGTCTATATTTATATAGGATTTCACTTATCCAGCTTTAATATCTTTGGGTCTATCTTCATCACACTGTCAAAAATATACTTCATAGTGACCTCAATGCTTGTACTCAATTCATCATGGTATGTATTTTGATAATGGATATGCTATTCATTGCTAATTCTTTATTATTAGTATATTACACCTAGCTATTAATTAATATTAAACTATATACCAAGCCATGAAAAGATGTCATTATTTTCAATGAGCTCCTTCACCTAAATTTTAAAAAGCAATGAAAAGTTATGTTAGTAATTACTTTTAATATTTTTATAATGTTATTACAGGAAAAATGAATGGGACACTAAAATGAACTTTTTCAATCAATATTAAAGAGCCAAGTATTTAAAAGTCATGGACAAATTACTCCATGGACATAGTTAATAAAAGTGGCTAGACCTCAAATTTGCTACTCACTGCTTTAGTGTAGATTTTAAGTTGAACCTAAGAAGTTCTCTTTACAAATGGGTGTTACGAAAATGAACAGGAAAAAGGGGCTTACTCACCGTATGGATTTCCATTAATATTTGTTCCTATTAGCTCCAGTGTTTGTTCTAGGAGATCTGATAGTGGCACTGCACTAATTTCCAAAAGACCAGGATCATCAGGATGAAGCTTCAGTACCAAGGCAATTTCACATTCATAATTAACTACAGATGAATGCCAACAATACTGTTTGTTGCTTTTCTCTACTGGCACCCAACCTATCATTTAAAGGAAAAAAATTTTACTTACGTCGTTTTTTTTTTTTTGGATTGAGACTTTGCGGTGATTTTTATTTTTAGGGTAAATTTTCCACATTTTCCACATACACAAACAATCACTGTTAAAAATCAGTGAAACAGTTAACCATTTTAATCCTTTTTTAATGATAAAGTTTCACTTTTGATGCTGCTGAGGAATTGAACTGTGATATTCACTACAGAGCACTTATTCTCTTAATAGAAAACTCACCTTTTCAATAAGAACTGAACATCATTCTAACACACCTTTAAAACGTTTTAAAATTAAACTTTCTCTGTACTTTCTCTTTAGTTGCAAGACTAAAGTAGTAAATGCTCCACAATTTATTTTATCTTTCCAATATTTCCTGAACAGTTTACTACTTCTATTATTTATTTATTTTTTTTTTTGGAATTTTTTTTTTTTTTTTTTTTTAAATAGAGGCATGTTTTTTCTTTCTTTCTTTATTTGTTTGTTTGTTTGTTTTGTTTATACATGCACTGGGTACAGTCAGAAGCGCGGGAGGGTGAGAGAATTCACCAGAGCCAGAGCGGGGAGCAGAACAGGCAGAAGGACCGAAGTACACTGCTGAGGGGAGCAGCGGGCGGCAGGAGAGGTCTGCGCGCCATGCAGGACCCTCCTCCGGTGGCTGGGAAGCAGCCGGGGATCGAACTGGTGCCGCAGAGGCCGCGGGCAGCTTCGCAACCCAGCGCTCAACCGCTGCGCCACCGGGGAGGCCCTACTTCTATTATTTATTAAATGTTACCTCTACTCTCTAACTCCTGTCACCAGAATAGGCTTCCTCATTGTGGAGAATTCTTTAGCGCAAAAAAAAAAAAAAAAAAAAAAAGACAAGCTTGGCCATATATGCCATCATGGCCATCATATCTTTGGCCTTTAGTACTCACCCAGATTACATTACTAACATTCTTGCTAGTCTACTAGTCTTCCAATCAAAACCACCCCACTTTTATTATAGTTCTGTTTCAAAAACTTAAACTTAGTTTACCTGTACTCACGTTAATCATCTTCAAGATGAAATCAAACTCCTTGAAACGGAATACAAAGTCCTTTAAGATATGACCCCAGGTTGAACCAGGAATTTTTCTATTTTATCTAACTATACCCTTCATATTTTATCCTTTTAGTTTTTAACTCATCCTATTATTGGTAGATTTCCCTTACTGTCAAAAAGATCATCAAAGATAAGAGTGCTGATTTTCATTACTGCATTATCAGAACCTTAGAGTACTGTGCAGACCATAGGACTTATCTGCTAAAGTGCATCTTAATCTGGAGTATCTTCTTCCCACTCTGTATATTTTTGCAAAATTCTTTACATTTCCAGAAAAACTACTTGTGAAATACCTATATCCCCTTACTTTATTAGCTATTCTTCTGGGAGCTTCACACACACAAGAAAAGTACACACATACCTTTGTTATCCCCAATCTAAAAAAATAAAGATTTAATATCTTCTTTCAGATTAGATCAATCACATAGTCTGTCCTGACATCACAATTCTAAGGATCTTCCCACTTGATACTTCACAGGCTACAAAGAGATTGTAAACTATCCAACATAGAAAAGATTCTAAAACCAAGATGACATTTCTTGATATGAAAAACTTTTGTGATAACCTATTATACTTAATATAAATTTGAAATTTTGTGCTTAAAGAGACAAATAGTATAAGGACCATTTAAAATTAAATTCTGTACTGCTGAGTGAATGGATCAATTGTCCTTATACTAGTAAAAAACATTTATGGAGATACTTCATTATACCTGGAATGTGTCCATTTTCATCAGGCACTGGATTTCCATTTAAATGTTCTATTTCCTTTGCTGGTATCCAACAGTCTGGAACAGGTTTGAAGTCCTCTTCAACATTCCAAAAAAATTCTAAAATAGATATTCTTGTATGTGACAATTCTTTAAAAAAATAAAATACTAAATAAAATTCAAAGTCGGAACAGCTAATATCACCATTTACTATTACCACAAGGTAATAATACTTCCCAGGGTTAGTGTACAAACACTTCTAAATTTTTCAAAACAAATTTTTTTCTGTTGAAGTAACACTGCATAATAGCTATAAGTTTTAGGGGTTCATAATTGAAAACTACCTGTGCGTATGACTATTAAGGTCATCACCAAGAGTTCAAATCTACTCTTCACCACACCAGTGCGAACACACCACCATTTGTAAATAGCGGAAGAGTTTCAAGTAGCTAAAATTTCATAGTACATATATATTCATGAATTTTTAATATACTATAAATAAGGAATATATATTTGAGTGAGTAGATATACAATGATGAGTATGTGTATATACTTAAATTTAAAAATATTTTAATATAGAAATTAAAAATACTAATAATTCTTTAAGATTTGTACCTGATTTAGAAAATTACACATTTGTCTTTTAGGCAAACAAAATGTACAGAAGGGCATTCTTGACATGAAACATTTTTGGTATAAACTGTTGACATAAATTTGACTTAAATTCTGTATTATACAGGTAAATACAATAAAGAACCAAATTAAATTCTGTACTTTTTGATTGAATGGATCTTTTGTTCTTTATACTATACTGATAGTTATATACAGAAGGATCTAATATATACAGAAATACCAGAGCAAGCAATAAGCACAAATTTCAGTTATTTAAATCATGGAAAGCCAGAAGAGAAAAGACCCACTAACCGTTTGATTTCTGTTTTGAATGGAGAAAATTTTTAAATCTTTTCTCAGCTATTTTGTTAGGTTTCCTATCCAGCCGAGCCCAAAGGTATGGCTGACCTAAGGAAATAGTAATAAAAGAAAAAAATATAAAAGGTTAACAATAAAAGTTATCTTGAAAGACACTTCAAAATAAAATTTTTCAAAAAGCAATAGGGTCATCTTGCTTAAAAGAGAAACAACCCTACAAGAAAAAGGAAAATGTGCCATGCTATCTGATGTTATAAGAAGACTTAAGTCTTTGGTTAAAGAATGATGATGAGATTAAAAAGTAACTATGTGGTCAATTTATAAGGCCATTCATTAGCCATATTTTATTAGTACACAGCATTTGTGAGAAACTGAAGCTACCTCTATACTAAAAGGAGACAGGATCAAATTGTTTCTGAAACATTGTAACTGTGCTGAAATGTTAATTCCCAAAGAGCTAGTTGTTTTACATAGTTTTGACCCTTGATCAAGCAAGGCATGAACCACGGATTAATAGTCATGTTTTATAATCATGGCTCTCAGGAGTTTCAGAGCAGTGTGTTAGCATTCTTTATTGATAATAGTGAGATAGCTGCATCGCCTATGATTTGAAGACTCCTGGAGGGTTCTGCTATTGAGTTCAGTTAGTTAGTAAAAAGATACCTTCCTGCCCAGCAAAACATAAAAATCCCCAACTGAGACTCCATTTTGGATAACCTCCTTCCAAGTGGCTTAAGAAAGTGTGTCTTGCCAGGGCTTGGGGGGTGACTGGGAGAAATAGGAACTTTCACCTGGCCCCTCCAGACCCTCTGCTATGAAATCGTCTTGACTGTGATGTACAGCCTTACTTTTAATGCCCGTGCTCTAATGTGTATCCTCCTTCACCTGTAATAAACATAGATTTTCTAAGCATTGTCTTTTGGGGTCCTATGAGTTTTCTTTAGCACTCCAACCTTGTTTAACTGCCACCACTGTACATAATCACACAATGATGTACACTAAAGTTTCTTAATATAAATGAAAGTCAGGAAAACTTTTTATAGTTCCCTCAAATATATACAGACATCAAAGATAAAATTACTAATCACAGTTTGGTTCATACATTATTATTAACTATCCCAATAAACTGCAGAATTGATTAAAATTATATTGTCATTTCTGGTTGAATGACCTTTTGTTCTTAGTAAACATTAAAAATGCATTTCATTTATACCCATTAAGATGGCTACTATAAAAAAATTGTTGATGAGGATGTGAAGAAAATGGAACACTTGTGAACTGTTGGTATGATTATAATTGGTAAAGATGTTATGGCAACCAGTATGGCAGTTCCTCAAAAAATCAAAAATAGAATTACCATATGGGGTTTCCCTGGTGGCACAGGGAGTTAAATCTCAGCACTATGAAGCTATAGGCAGCCACTGTAGCACAACTTTGATACCCCGCCAGAGAGCTGACCCACACAGTGCAGCACAGCTCTTCTGTTTAGCCCGCTGCTCCCCTCAGCAGTGTATATCACTCAATTCGCCTGTTCTCCCCACTCTGTCTCTAGTGAATCCTCTTACCCACCCCCCACCGCTGGCCTGCACCCCAGCTCTTGTATGCATAAATTAATAAATCTTAAAAAAAAAAAGATAAAGAATTACAATATGACCCAACAATTCCACTTCTGAATATATACCCAAAAGAAATGAAAGCAACATCTTCAAGAGATATTTGTATATCATGTTCACAGTGGCTTTGTTCATACTAATCAAAAAGTAGAAGCAACTCCAGGGTACACTGATGGATGAATGGATAAACAAAACACACAGACACAATGAAATGTTACTCAATGAAATAATATTCCTTAAAGAGGAAGAAAACTCTGGCATGCATTACAACACAGGGATAAACCTTGAGGGCATTATACTAAGTAACAAAAGCCAGTCAAAAAAAATAACAAATATTGCATTATTTGACTTACTATGAAACACCAAGAGTAAGCGAAATCACTGAGGCAAAGTAGAACAGTGGTTGCCAAGGGCTGGAGGGGGTAGAAATGGTGCTTTGTTTAATAAGTATAGAGTTTCAGTTTTTCAAGATGAAGTGTTCTAAAGACAGATGGTGGTGACAGCACAACAATGTGAACCATATGTAGTACTGAACTATACATTTAAAAATGGTTGAGATGGCAAATCTTATGTATTTTTATCACCATTCAAAATGAAAAGACACATGTCAAAAGAGATTTCTTCATACCTAGAATGTGTCTGAGTTGTGTTTAACTATTCTGTTTCTCTTGCTGGAATTAAAAAGTAATTTCACCATGCAGAAGAAGTCAAAGATCATTTCTCTCTTTTCAATGCAAATTTTCCACTTAACACAGATGTACAGTTGACAATTTCTATTTGAGTTTCTAACTTTTAAAGTACATTAGATGAAATAAAGGCATTGTCAACAGTAATAAAAACTAGGGATCAGCACTGGTAACGGTGTAGTAAGAACAAGCCTTAGTATCAGACAACAAACCCAGTGTATTACCAGTTTAGCCATTCATGAATACAAAGCATTAGACAAATTAGTTAAGTTCTCTGATCCTCAATTTCTGTATCTATAAAAAGCAAAAGCTTAATGTGCAAGTTGGAGATAACAAGTATAAAGTATTTACCATACTATCTGGCCTTTAAATTAATATTAGTTACCTTCCTCTACTCCCCAAAAAGATAGATATCATGATTCAGTAAATAACTGTAAGGAGTGTGGTTTTGCTATTTTACATAGGTTCTCAAGGGCTTATGAAGAATAAATGCCCATTTCTGATATATAGTTTATAAAGTGTTTAGAAAGATAGTATTTGTAGTATAGTTTGATTTTACCTTTGTAGGTAGTAACATAACAACATGTTCCATCCACTTTTTCTGTTGGTATTGCATTGTATATATCTGCATCTAATGCCTTGTGACTTATAGTTTCAGTTGCCAAAACTTTAAACAGCTTAAAAAAGAGAGAGAAAACTGGTTTAAGATACACAGCCTCTACACTTTTACACACACTCACCTAGAATATTCTAAACTTCACTAGTTCTAAGGGCTGATCTCCTTCAAGACAACTTAAAAATATTTCTTCCAGGGATGTTTCATGAACCACCCCCTCCTTTCCAGGCTATCACAGCAATACCTGCTTTTCCACCATAGTAAGACTGACACCAGGAACCATGCCTTATGCAACTCTGTCTCCCCAGCACACATCTTCAGTGAATTTACTCATTTAATTCACAACTATTTTCTAAATGCCGCCTATGGGCTAAGCAGTGTCCTTGGCACCAAAAAACAGGTGAACAAAATAGTACCTGCCTTTGGAGGAACTTTCATTTCAATGAGGGAAACAACAGTGAAAAAATGCACAATATAATGTTAAGTACCATAAGGACTAAGGAGAAAAACAAATGGAGACCCTTTCAGCATTATCAGTAGTGAATCGTTTGCATATTTAGGGTTCTCCCCTTACATCACGTGAAAAAACACTGTACAATACAAACATTATACTGTTTTCTATAGTTTTAAGACTAATAAGTGGAAGTACTATTTTAGAGAAAAGGAAACTTAGGAAATTAGCCATTTCCTGGTACTGAATGAGTACTTTCATGATAGGATTTTATGAATTTAACCGATATTGGTAGAACCATGAAGGTATGATCCAAAAGTAATGTGTATGAGTATGTTTTTTGTGTGTGTAGTTAAATTTATGAAAAGTCTTATCAGCATGTCCAACGGACAACATAAGATAACAAGGGAATACAAAATTCTCCTTTTCTACCTGTCATTTCAGACTTTAAACTGTAACTGGAAAAACAAGGCATGTGTAAATAAAAAGTAATAGTGTATGTAAGTTGAGTGGTCCTCCACTATTTCTGAGGTAAATCACTGGGAAAACTAAAGTGATCAAAGACTTCACAGTGAAACTCTCATTCAAAAAATTAAAACTTCTGGATGTGATCCAGGCAAAGTGCATAGTCTAAGCAAAAACTTGACAGGATTGCACATGGGATGTTAACAGAATGCAACCGATTTTTCTTAAACAGACTTCACTTCACTTTAAGTGAGGTTAGAGAGTAGACTGGAACTGATAAATGGGAAGCTTTAAATGACAGCTAAGGGTTTGGACGTTATGCCAAAAACAATACTTTAAGCTCTTCTTAACTGCAGAGTGTGATGAGAAGAGGCTTATTTTTCCTCGTAGAGGGTACATTTAAAAACTATTCCCAACCTCAACACACAAAGTTGGGAATCACAGCCAGAGAGAACCACTCTTCAAGATGACAATATTTCATGTAGATTAGTTTTGTTAGCAAGCACTGCTACACAGGCAGTTAGTAGTTACTGTGGGTTTTGATTAGGAAAAAAACATAATGATGATCATTCTGGGAGGCAAGAAGAAGAATTAGGTAATTCAATAAGTAAGGCATAAAATATTAAAACTGTAACAGTGATGGCAGTGGTGGTTAAAAAGACCAGACGGAATAAGGTAAACAGTGTCAAGGTGAATGGAAAACTGGCATGAGATGACTCCAGGTTCATTCTTCAATTCAACAAATATTTATCTGGTGCCTACCATGTGCCTGGGATGAGAAATAACAAGGCAGTATCAGCACTAAAGGTCTTTTATCTGGAAAACAAGAAGGCCAGAAAGACTGATGTAACTAACGCGTGTGCTGGTTTTGTAAGATGAGTTGGTCTCAACCCAACTGGGGATTCTGCTGCCATGGATTCTGCTATATAGTAAAGCATTTTCCTGACACCAATATTAACTAAGGGTCTTCTGTGTGGAACACATGGTGCTGAGATCAGAGACGCTGACATTAGAATTAACTAGGTAATGATAGCTAACAATACATGAGGTCTGCTCTTGAGTGACCTAACACTGCCATCGATTCCCAGGTTATTACAGGTGGTGGCGCAAGGGGTTAAGATACAACCTATGAAGCTGACCGCAGCCTCTGCAGCATGAGTTCGATCCCCTGGCCAGTGAGCTACCCACATGGCACGGCAAACCTCTCCTGTCTTGCCCGCTGCTCCCCTAAGCAGTGTATTTCAGTAGATCTGCCTGTTCTGTTTCCCACTCTGTCTGGTGACTCTTCTCACCTCCCGCATCTCTGGCCTGTCCCCAGCTCTTGTGTGCCTAAATAAATCTTAAAAAAAAAAAAAAGAAGAAGAACAGGTAAAGCAAGTCTAAAGTCTCCACTTTGTCACCACACTCTTGAAAAGTGGTGAAGTTTGCACTGCGGCGATGATGTGACTACTTCTGGGAATCTACCCAAAAGATGGCAACCTGCGAAGGAACATTAAAGTGTGGCTTTTCAATTTCCAAGTCAGGCCAAGTTTGAACTGCAATCAATCAATCAATAACTTCTAGCAGTCTGTTCCTTTCAAATAAGGTACAAGAAGCTGGAGCGCCAGGTATACTAAGACCTCTACCCTAGACCACCCCGGCGAAAACGAAAACTGCACGGAGCTCCCCGCCTGCACGGGGGTCCCCACGCAGCAGCGCCCCTGGAAGTCCCCTCGGGCCCCGCGCTCGCCAGTACCTGATGCTCCCGTTTGGCGGAGGGCTCCTCCTTCACCTCCGTCACAAACGCACACGGCACTTTCCGCTGCACGGCCCCCAGACGCTTCATGATGGACCCAAGTGGAAGTGGGAATAGAAAGCCCCCAGTCCGGGCAGGAAAGCGGCCACAGCAGCCGGCACGAGGCTAGAGCCACTGGCAGTCGGCGCCCGGCACCGGCGCAGCCCTCGCGCGTCTTCGTCGCGGGGCAAAGAGCGGAGATGCACGCAAGGACGTGGCCTCCCTGCCGCGGAGCCTTCTGGGAGTTGTAGTTCGGAGCACCGAGGCAGGGTCGGGTGCGCCTCGCGGGTTCCTCTGGATTCTGATGGTGGAAAAACAGGTCCGACTGGACTGGGAATCTAGAAGATGTGGTACATATACACAATGGAATATGACCCAGCAATCAAAAAGATAAACTCATGCAATTTGCAGCAACATGGATGGAGCTGGAAGGGGTCATGCTCAGCGAAATAAGCCAGAAAGAAAAAGAAAAATACCGGATGGTCTCACTCATAGCAGGAATTTAGAAAAACCTAAATAAGGGACCAGGAAAAAGACTAATTATAATATAGTGAAAATGAAAACAAGCAACTATAAACCAGAGACACACTACGGGGGAGGGGAAGGGAAGGAGACAAAATAAGGGGGGTGGGAATTATATGGGGAATATAACCAATATGAAAATGTATACATTGCGGAAAAATGAAAAATGATGTAAAAATATATAAAATAAAATTTTTAAAAAGTTATAAAAGAAAAAAAAAAAAGTACCTGGGGAAAGCACTGTAGAAGTTTAGGAAAATTCAGAGACCTCCCCAGACCTAATGAAAACTGATTTCTCTGGAATGTTTAAAAAAAAAATCTAGGGCTATGTATATAGGTGTGTTTGGATTACACCTCATTGTGTGGCACAATGTGGTCAAAATTGGGTCTGAGACTTTCTGGAGTGCAAAGTTTAGACTTAGAGGCATCCAAAACCACGCAAATACCAACAAAAGATTTGTGTCTTTTCCATGGGAATCTCATTTATTTTAAATATGAGCGCTAACAAATTCCAAATGGCTTGACTAGTTGTCAATCTACTAAGCTAAGAACAGCCTTAGTTAATTTAGTGCTGAAAGACTATCAGAGGTTAAGCGGCTAGTCAATGAATAAAATAGTAAAATGAAAATAGCAGCCTGTTCTATCTCATTGAAGCTAATAGTTCTCAGTAGGGAAGTTTTGATGACCACTATCTTTTATGAGCTTGGATAAAGCCCAGGCCTTCTTTCTAAAACTGTCATAGCTGCAAGTATCCAACTGCCCCACGTGTTACTTATTTACTTCTTGGAAAATTAAACAAACACTCCATCTGCAGTATCTATACATGAGGGAGTGCTCCCCTCCAATAAAAATACTATAAAAATAATTCACTGTTTCTTGTTTGATTCAGGTGTAAAGAGGAAAAGGTTTGCCATTTCAAAGTAGTTTCTCTTCTGTTACCTTCATTTCCTCATAGGAAAGCATGGAAAAGCTAAAATACACTGTTTTAAAGTGGAGAAATTGTGAGGAGAAAACACCTGATAGTGATAGTAAAACATTAGGACAAAAACTTCTGAGCATTTCATAATGACTTCTCTGTTACTTTTTTGTTCCTCCAGAGGAATTCTCATAAGGAGCTTGTTTCATGGGCCTCCAGGTGACAACAAATAGCCCTCACAAATTTCAACTGTCATTTACCAAACTGCCACAGAATCTTCTAGGTCCAACATTCTGTCACTTCTGAGTAAGGGTCATCTTCCAAAACATTCCACTTGCAGCAGGTATAACAGATTTCTCAGGAAACACTGTCTTCCCAGTGCTTTGGTTTCATCAGTGCCTGGAGTAAAGCCTGTTGAGATCTGTTTCTGGCGGAAACAGAGGTCCCCTGTGTTAGAAAAGGCAGGAGAGAACTGCAAGACCAATTCACATTATAAACTGGAATCCTGCTCTGATGAGTATTAGCCAGCAGCTTTGCGAGATTCTCATAAGCCTGAAGAGCCAGCCAAGAGTCACTATATCAGTCCCTGTACGAAAGTGGGTGGTACTGGATTGCAAGATGGAAGGAAAACTTTCTTCTCTAACTGGTGTTTTACTGTTTATTATGCACCTCAGATGAAAGACACTTAAAGTGAGTCTCCCTTCACCAACACAAAATATTGAAAGAATTTTCAGACCTACTGCTACTTGGGGTGACAAATTTCCCATCACTCTTCTTTACAGGGAGTAACGATCATAAATATGGGCATAGCTTTCCCTTGAATGACTAAAATGAATTTCACAACAGGAAGAAGTAATTAGGAAATGGGAAAAAAATAGAAAGGAAAGGAAGGGAGAGGGAAGGAGGGAGAGGAAAAAGGAAGGAAAAGGCAGGTGAAAGAAATTAAATCTCCAGACATTCTAAAGTCCACCAAAATGTACGGATTTATTCGTTAACTCTTCAAAAAAATAATAGTCCCCATTTTGGTTTGACCTGGTATTCCTGTATCTACAGAAATACAGTTGCTCACAACAAATTAAAGCGGTAAAAACATTTTTTAGCTTTCCCTATACATAAAAAATGGATTTTCACAATGGCTTTAATCATGAGGTTACAATTAATCTTGCTATATTGGTTCTTTGGTAACAGTACCTGCAGTTAAAAGTTCATTGGTAGAGCGGAAGTTGTCTGGAAGCAAAATCTGCTTAAAAATATTTCTTAGGGGTGTTCCTCCCACACCCCCATATGATTAAGATGGCTCTTTTATTATTCTAGAGTTAGAAGGTAGTACAAAATAAAAATCAAGATATTAGATGTGTCTCCTTACCTTTGCTAATATTTTCAAGAATTTAACCAAATCTTTATTCTCTACTATTTTGTTTACTTCCAATACTGCCTAAAATTTAATCTTAATTTCCTAGATTTTTATCTTAGCGCATTTACTCAAAATACTTGTACTAACAGTCTATTTTACTTAATCCAAATGGGAATCTATATGTCTTGATCATTTGCATTTCAAATTAAAAGCACATTGTAAGTTAAAATGTTTTGATCTAGAGTATTGCATAAACTCTATGGTATCTTCTGAATCACGTTCTATCATTTTTCTGTTGATTTCTGCTAGGCTCTGCTTCTTTTAGTAAAGATTCTAAAACGAAGACCTCAATAACTGCTCACTGAAATGTCTCATTCTGGGAGAGTACTTCACTCTGTTATCAACAAAATCTCAAAATTTGCAAGCACTTGGGGATCTTTCTGCCCTAATAATGGATGAAAAATGGAGTGTAGCTATAAGATGAATAAGTAGTCCAATTTATTTTCAGATACCTATTAAAATGTCAAAATCTGAATGATTTTTTTCCAAGTCAGTGAATATGAGTAAGTACACATTTAAATAAGTTTATTTGTTATCTTAGGATATACTTGTATATTTACCTATTGAAATTTTTCAATTTTATTTATAAGCCATATGTAGAAATAAAGTTTTTAGAAAATAACTTTACTTGTGATATACTTTTGAATTATGAAATTATGAACTAGCTTGTGTTCCATATTTAATCAGACATTAAAATATTTTATTTTTAGTGGTCTTTTCTTGTTAATATACTAGAATTGAATAGGAAATACTGTACAATATTCACTAAGGGAAACTAGTGTACAGTTACACGTGAGGTCATTTATGATGAGCAAACAATGGATTAGGTAACAATGAGGAAAATTCTGGAAGTTTGAGTTTGTGTGCTTACTAGCAACCACTTTCAACATTTCTGCAAAGCTAGAGAAGGTATCTTCTAATTTAAATTTCTTTAAGAATTATCTATTGTGTAATATACTGTCAACAGGAGTTCAGTTTTAAAGGAATACTACTGCTAGCCTGAAAGACTGTGGAAAAGAAATTCTTTTTCCCCCTTACACACTGATAGTTCTTATATTTGCATTCCTGCAATTTTTATAATAAAAAAACATTGGATTAGCATCAAGAGAAATGGCAGAAGTTGGGAATGACTGCTATTACTTTTTTAATTCCACATGCATTAAGGTAAATATTGTACAATTTATGGTACTTCACATACTTAAGCTTTTTAGTAAAATGAAGAAAAATAGGGCAATATGCATTGCTATCAATTTACTATTTTCCAACAATATAGTTGATGTATTCAAAAACTAAAATGAAAGCTTATCATTTATCTTTGATGTGGTAATTTTTTTAGGAAATCTGGGATAATTTAATATTATAATTGTTTTGAAACTATGCTTATATATGCCAGTTACATGCCCATAGCTTTTTAATATTCCTTAAAAGTGCTTAAATATAGGCACTTTTGCCTATATTATGATGGCTTCTTGAGATATCAGACTCCTAATAAGGAAATATTATATCATCATACTGTTTTGGTTAATGTGATTCCAGCCACAGACTTTCAAATAGTTAAATTCAGGTCATTATCAAACTTAGTTTAATATATTGAATTGTTTTCCTGTCTAAAATTCATTAACCCAATTGCTGAATTTTCCCTGGTCAGAAGTCTAACATCAAATATTTGTTTTGGAGAAAGGAAAAGAAGTAATATAAACAAATATGCCAAATATGAATTCAAATGTATAAAGGTAAATGGGAAAATTATTTATTCTATGAGATTATGAAACCAAATAAATGTAGAAACTTGATGTTTGGAATTTAATGTTCATGCCACAATGAACCTGATGAAAGACATGTCCAGTTTAAAGTGTTGTGTCTCTGCAAGGAAATCCCACTTTGTAGGGGTTAGATCTACTTCCTCTGCCTGTTTCCTTGTGATTAAACCCTGGAATGATAACTAATACTAGAATTTGTTTCATCTGGGCAGAGGTTTGTCTGTTTTATTGCTATCTCCCTAAGTAACACAATGATTGATGGAGGAGGAAGTTCTCAACAAATAATTAAATGAATTTATAAAATATAATAATAGCGGTCGTACTAACACGTAAAAGTATCTCCATAGCCTGAGTGAAGCAACATAATTAAATGAAAGGATTAATGGACATTGTCTCACAAATTAGAATATTCTGTTGATTCTTTCGAAAATGTGTATTTTCTGGCTTTCTTTAGGAAGAGAAATTAGATTGTTCTGGCATTGAACAGTGATCAAGAGTATCACTGGTCTCATTTATTTATCATTAGTGAACCAGGATTAACTGATTATCAAGATTAGCAATTTATCAGTGACTTGTGATATGTACTTTTTAATCATTATTTGTGAGTCTCTAAAATGAAGCTGATTTGCTAAAATGTAAGCTATGGCCTTATTTGTAGTATTTTTTGTAATGCTAATTTGATCTACTCATTTTCTTTAATTAGCAACTTACTGTTGTTGAACACTATTGTTCTTATATTGAGTTTTCTACATTGTTTACTTTTTTCTTTTAGGGTTCTACATTGTTTACCTTTTTCTTTTAGGGTTCCCAGTGCCGATTCCGACACTGTGAAGAGGCCCTTGGCAGTGACACTGTGTGCTCTTTATGGAGAGAGGGAAAATGTTTAGATCCACTTTGCAGATTTAGACACATGGAAATGCAGGTAGAATTGCTCAGCAGCATCATGTTTGTTAAAAGTTTCTCCCTTCAATAATATATAATGATATCCTTAGAACAAGATAGAGAGGCAATGATTCTTCATTTCCCTAGGTAATTTCAGGGATTTTCCACTTCTCTCAACTTAGATTTGCCAAAAAAAAAAAAAAGGAGGAATATATTTTAGGAACATCCATTGCATCCTTCAAACAGCAAAGCTTAGAAAAACTGAAAGTCGGGGAACACGTATGATCCTGCATCAGTCATTGCAGTTGTTTTTATCACATTATGTTGTGTTGTAGCTCACTGTGTATATTTTGAATATGTCTTCTGATCATTACATTTCCCCCACCTCCTTTGTCTAGCAAAACTGCAGTATTTCATGCTTCTGGGAAACTCAACCTCTTGGTTGTGTGAAGATCAGTTGTATCTTTTATCACAGCAAGCCTCGAAATATCAATGGATTATTTTTGCCACCAAGTAGCAGTGAGTATATTTTTTTAAATAACATGGGCATACCATATTATAACCTGGTTTTGAAGTAGCCACCTAGAGTCACACTTTAAATAAGGTATGATGAGAAAGAGTAATGTGGTTTAATAGCTTCTGGATGATTGAGGATGATTCTATTAAGAATTTTGATTTGAAGCTTAGAATGTGATCATGTAGCTAACAAGATGAAGTGAGCAGAGAGCAAATTAAACTTTTTCAGACTCTGTGTATGTAAAGTGTGCTCTATTCATCTGAAAAGTGAGGTAACTACTAACTTCACAGTTAAAAGGAAGCTGTCTCAGTAAAGCAGCACAGAACTCAAGTGAGGTTACTCCCTGTGTATGTACAAGAAGATCTCAGAGGTGGGAGAGCAAGGGCATGATCTGGCTTGCATACTTCTGCTTCTGGGAAAACACTATATGGTCCTTGTACAGAAAATATAATCCCATTGCTGCAAAAACTGGCTGTTTGGGATTTGAAAGTTGGGTTTTGAATAATCTTTGGCAAATGGAGACCTTAAAATTAGGTGCCCTTGATTTATGTTTCTAGATAACTCTTAAGTTTTGTCATGCGTATCATGCTGCGATCACTATCTCTGTTCCTCACTAGCCTGTCACCATCACAAGTATGGGAATCATAGCTAACTCCCTTGTCAATGCTTCCCACAATGTCTGGAGCACAAACATGTAATAAAACTAGATATATGGATACATGGATAGGGAATGGATAACTACTAAATAGTTAACCTTCCAAGATGAAAGTTATTGAGCCTATTTAAGTGATTCACTTGGCTCCATTGTTTTACATTTAGTGGGTTTTTAATTTCATGAGGAACATTCCAGGAATTCTTTATGTCTAGCTATAATAGTTTGCTTCCTACTGTCTATGGGTGAAATTATCATCTCAAACTACCTCTTTCAGGACTAGAATAAAACAGAGTGCATCACTGAGCAGAGAACTGGTAGAATGTCTGTGTAACTGACAGTTCTTGGGCTCCCCACCATTACACATGTCCTGGACTAAGTTCTACAAGGATAAATATTATTATTTTCATTTTTTAGGCATAGAACCTGGGGGTCAAAGATAACTATGGCTTAATGTTAATTTAGGAGTAAGCTTTTCCCTCTGCCAAGTAAAGTCACAACTAAATTCATGCACTGGGCGCAAACATGCAAACTATTTCTGATGTTTCAACTCCAGAACCACTGTGATACTCTTATATGTAAATTAGATGTCAGCCCTCCAGTGGTTTTCATGTTATTCAGAGTAAAATCAGAGTCCTAACAAAAGCTTAAGTGACCCTACTTGATGAGGTGTCCTGTTAATTCTCTGAATTTATCTCCCAAAACTAATTTACTTGTTCTCTCTGCTCCTACCATACTAGTTGCATTGCTTTCCCTAGAGCATGCTCTCCTGCTCCTGTTTTAGGGGTTTTGCATGAAATACTTTTCTCTCAATATCCTTTTGAATAGCTCTTTTATCTCTTCAAGACCTTACTTTACTTCTATATCACCATTTAATGAGTGAATATTTATTTGAAATGTTGTCAGCCTGCCTATTTCCTACATAGATATTTACTAACTTTGGGGCAGGGGAGGAGGTATTCCTTACAATGTTCTCAGATACAATGTAATTTACTTGTTTACTGTGTCTATTTTTTTTTTTTGTCTGTTTTCTCATAGGATGAAAGCTCCATAAGAGCAGGAATCTTTATTTTGTTCTTTGTAGAATCCCCAGTGCCTAACATAGAGCATAGTTCTATGTAAACTTTTAACTTTTTGCATAGTGGCTAATTCTACCCCAAAATGTCTTGAGTAGTATATATTCAATTTAGTAGATAACTATTTTCCCTCTGCCCAGACACATGTCTATGCTCTAGGAAAGTGCATTTAATTTCCAGTCTGTAGAAACTACCAACATCATTTGAAGTGTGTATTGAATTGCTTCACTATCTAATCATATTGAAAATATTTCAGTACCTCTGAAGGTATAATTTGATCTTTTCACCTACCCATCAAGGTTCATTTTTAACCAAAACTGAGAACATAAGTCTTCTCACCTTAGACAAAGAATCAGGTTGTATTTTTCTTAAAATCTACAATTTTATGTTTCAGTAAGTACATGCAATAAATTCAGGGTGAATTATAATTTTCGGAAAACAAAATATACAACTAAGTATCATTTTATATATAGCATTGTGCCACTTATATATAATTTTGTCAGATTAAAATAAGATAATTATAAGAATTTCCTAGGCATTTCTGAGTAGATTGTTTTTCTTTGTGAGTGGAATAGGAACCTGTTCTTTCTCCCATAATATACAATAGAGATTAATTTACGGACAGACTGCTCCTCTTAAGAAACTCCCTACCTCTTGCTAAAAACAATTTTCTGAAAACACAGTAGCTCAAACATTGAAGCAACTACTCATCTACTTGGCTTATTGCTATGTTATTCTATAATGATCAATTGTTAGTATATTTTGATTTTTATTCATTCTAAGTCAGGGTCTTAGAGATGCTTTGGGCAAGATTGGGCCACTTTAAACATACCTTGGATCAGCTCACTTCAGAATGTGTAATCTAAATGACTATGCACATGTAACCCTTTTAAGTCTTGAAAAGCCATTGTCAAATAATCGTTTGTTAAATGGTTTCATAAACACTTTGACTTGAAGATCTGAGTCAGCAAAGCATAGACTACTAATATTGCATATGTGTTTGTGTGGATAAGACACAGAAGAAGACAATTATGGATGGTCATCAGAAAACGATTCAATTCAGTTCTTTCTGCTTTAGGAAGAGAATCTAAGTGCCATAACCCACACGGTTTTGACCCCTGGAACACCTGTGTTTAAATGAGAGAGATTTCGGGCCTCCCCGGTGGCGCAGCGGTTGAGCGCTGGGCTGCGAAGCTGCGCGCGGCCTCTGCGGCGCCGGTTCGATCCCCGGCTGCTCCCCGGCCACCGGAGGAGGGTCCCACATGGCGCGCAGACCTCTCCTGCCGCCCGCTGCTCCCCTCAGCAGTGTACTTCGGTCCTTCTGCCTGCTCTGCTCCCCGCTCTGGCTCTGGTGAATTCTCTCGCCCTCCCGCGCTTCTGACTGTACCCAGTGCATGTATAAACAAAACAAACAAAGAAACCAGCAAACAAATAAATAAAGCATGCCTCTATAAAAAAAAAAAAAAAAAAAAAAAAGAATTAATAAATGAGAGAGATTTCATTTTGACTGGACATTGGTTCTATTCTCATCTGTGATCCAAAGTGATTCTAAAAGTGCAAAAAAAAAAATGTGGTACTCAAATGTGGGTTCTCCAGACATAACATTTGTTAATTGTGTCTGATACCTCCACAAAATTTCTTCTCACAAACAGTATAAACTGAAAATCTGAATTTTAAGAACATGAAAGTTATGAGAAATGAGAAAATTCCATATTCAGGGCTTTCAAATAATCTCTTATATTAAATGTCTTCTGTGTGTTAACACTGTACTGAGCACTCTGCATCCTCAATTTCTCTTTTCCACCTACCTTAATGGCCACAGACATTTTGGAGAGGATGCAATCATTATTTTGCCAACCACATTATGATTTCCTCCTTGTAAGAGATGGATATAAGTCAAAATAATGCATCCATAGGAGGATGATTAAGTAAGGGAGAATGTCTTTCTTGGGTAATGCACTATAGAAAATTCTGACTGAGTGAGATATAGGCCTTTATTTTATAAAGTGGAGAAAAGACTATTGTGAACTGTTCTCAAGCAAATCAGTTTTATGGGGAAAATAGATGTCAAAACTGATCTAGAATAAGGTTAATTGCTTTCAAGTTATTGGAATGGCACCATAGAAGTGATCAAATAGTGGTTGACCCACTATTGCTATGGGGACCTTCTATTGGGTCACTGCTCTGACCCAATACCCTAGTTATATGATCATTGATTTAAGGCAGTGATTTCCAAACTGGAATGATTTAATAAGTGCCTGAGACATTAAAAAAAAAAAATTAGCAGATTCCCATCAGAAGTTAAGCAGGCAAAGACCCAAAAGATAATTTGAATATTCTCTTTAGTTGATCCAGATTTGGTAACTACTGGTTTATAAAACAAAGGGAGTTGAATTAGTAATAATAGAAGATCCATGTACTCACTAACTTTTTAAATTATTTGCTGGTTAGTTTTGCAGGTTACAGAACATTTAAATATGAACTAGAGCTTTGACAAGTCTGATCAAGTATGACCGATAGAGGAATCTGAAAGTTTCATTCTCTTCACTTTGAGTAATCACCCCGCAGCCATAGAAAATGAGTCCAATTGGATATTTTCCTTTTTTGACATATGTTTTGTGCCATTATAAGCTATATCTTTTGAGTGTGCTTTTGTTCATTTGTCATAATGTCATTAGTTATTCTTACTCCACAGGTCTAATGTAAGAATAGATTAGTGCTTGTGATAATTTTGCATTCATACCAAAAGTGTGATATACAAATCATGACTATAATTACTAGCTGAAGTGCATGAATTAGCATATTTTCTACATCTTACAGGCAAAATATTGATTTTTTTTTTGTTCCGTTCGAGAAATAAGAAGAGACACCTTTTAACAAAATACACAGTTAATTAGAGGGCAATTGTCGATCGTTGAGCATGCATATATTATGTGTCTTGAAAGGATTGAAATTCTACATTTTCTTCATAGATATCACAGTACAGAAAGAAACTCAGGAAGGCATACCTTCCCCAACACAGAGTCAGGAACCCCTGAAACCCCAGGAGAATATATCACGACCTATTCATCACCCTTTAGTTTTAAAAACTAAATTTGAGGATGAAGAAGAGGAAGGAGAAGAACAAAACGGTCAGTAAATATTTTCTCATGTTTACAACATATGTACAAAAGCCTCATGATATATTCTACCAATTTGTTTAACTAGTAGTTTATAATGTAAAAATATAAGGTAGATTCTGGTGAGAAATAATTTCAACTTATAGTATATTAAATGATCATAATCTACTTTATTCTATATGATTAGATAGTTGTCTATAAGATTATAATCATTTAGATTGGAAGGTTTTCATGGTACAATGCAGGAAAACAGATCAGTTAAATATGTGCATTGTTTGTAGGTATACTAATTACCTCTTTTATTTATATATAAATTAACTGTTTATAAGACACGTTGACATACATGTGTATCTCTCTACCTGACTATTACATGATTACATCTATCTCCCATTTAACCCTTAACATTATAGAGGTTCAAAGAAAAGTAAACAATTTATAAAGCACTGTCATCTGCACTGTCCCAGGTTATCTTTGCCCAAGTATAAAAAGAACTCAGTCTTTTTGCATCCTAGCTCACACTATTTCTCCTGTATCTCTATAGCACTGTTGTGCCAATAAGTGTGGACAAACATGATAAACATACAGAAAAATAAACTCTCACTCTATCTTTACCCTGGGATGTGTCCTTCATGGGCTTCAGGCACCCAAAGTGTCTGTGCTTAGGACTATATAGAAATATTTCTCTTTTTGTCCACATCTCCCAAGTCTATATCCTCCTCCAAACAAGCAAATATCATCCTAACATATGAGGCTCTACTTCCAGCATAACAGTCATTTATTTCTTTTGATTGATTCTTTGTTATCTAGAAATAGAGCAATTAGCAATGTTTTCTAGTATGCAAAGTTATTAATTTTAAAAATAAATAAATCATGAGAATAATGTTTGGGATTTTTCATTCTGGTTTATAAATTTTCAGATTATTTGGCTTTGGGACAATTTAATTTAAAAACAATATATCCTATAGATGCTTCTGGTTTATGGACAAAGACTCCTGAAGAAATTGAAGAAAAAAGAGCCATAAAGGAAATGTGTTATAAATCTGGTAAGCCGTCAAACATTTGTGGATCTGCAAATGCTTGATGCAACAAATATACTAACCATTACTTTTCTTGTGGGAGATTAGGTGGATACTACAGATTTCATACTCCTCCAGATATTTCATCATCAAAAAGCGTATCCTCTACAGCAGAAAAAGAGTTAGAAAAACCTATGGAAAATGGCAGTGAATTGCAAGAAGGTAAGTAGTGAAAAGGCAGCATTTCAAGGTGATGTATAAGAGATAGGTTGTGAATTATTTAGTAAGATGTACTTGAGAGTTAAATAATAAATAATACATGAAAATTGAGAGTGAGGAGGAAGTGCTTTTATGGGGTAACCTAAATTTAATATGAATATCTGCCATTAATATAAGTATGTTTCCCCAGAGGAGCCACAGAATGTGTAGACTTCATAAACACATGGTAATACTACATACCTATGCAGTAATTCTGTGAATAATTTGCTTTTATCATTTTACATGCCTTTGAAAAGAAATCTCCCTATGAAATAGGTATAGATTTTTCTTTATTAATATAAAAAAAACAAGCTGGCCATAGAACATAAGGGAAATCATGATGCTACTGATAGAACAAGGATGTAGTTATTCATCGTCTGAGTGCTTTCTGTCTATCAGGCAATTTCAGGAGTTACACAGGTGGATCATTTCAAGGCTGAGCCTTTCATGGATTTTGTGCTTTGGTAAATCTGATTTTGCTGCTGGTGAACATTTTCCCCTTGGAGACAAGATAACAGAAACATTTTCTCGGTATAAAATCAGAAACTCAGAGAAAATCTATGAGTTTATATAAAGTTCTTGTCTAGAATGAGCTGAAAAATAAATTTTGCAGCAGAGAGATTTGAATCTTTTCTTTCCTGTATTAAAAAACATTGAAGGAAAAGTCTTCCTGGATCAAAATATGCATATAAAATAAAGTATATGATAGAATAACATGCCTGTCTTGCAAGTGCAATATGTGGCAAACTATTTATTCGTAATGGCAGTAGGTGGCAGCATCACACTATGAGATAGTAGCACAATCAGCAAGACTTGTTTGATAGGTGGGAGCCTTCTGGAGAAGGACAGATTGTCAGCACTATCCTAAAGAGAAACAAAGTCATAACAGAAAACATACTAACATTGAATATATAAAATGGCAGATTATAGAGACAATTGTATACTTTTTCATTTTATGTTATGATTTCAAAAGCTTTTATTTTATTAAAATATCAATTAATTTAGGAACACCCTTTCCCCAGATTTTGCCCAAATGTTAGCATTGTACACACTTGATTTTTCACTCTCTAAATATAAATATTGTTGTTACTTTCTGAACTATTGGAGAGTAATTTGCACACTTGATATCCCTTTCCTCTTAAATAACTGTGGTGTAAATATCAAAATAAAGGAATTGCCACTGATACAGTATTTTTGCAGATTTCACCAACTGTGTCATTTATATCATTTTTAGGAAAATGAGTATTTTTTCCCCTGGTTTGGAATCCAATTGAGTTCAATCCAGTGTGACTGATTGAAGGTTGCATTTGATTGTTGTGTCTTCTACTCTATAAACTATTCTAGTTTGTTTTAAAAGAAAATTATCCAGAGATGTAAGAAAAATGGAGAAAGTTTTTTATTATCACAGTGTAGTTAGCATTATGTAGACAACAGTAAACTAATATTTTTTACTCAATTTGTTCTTGGTGAACAGATAAAAAGAAACACATATTATAAAACTTACCATTTGAAAAATATGTCAAATAGACTAAATATATTACACTGACACAATAGTGATAGATAGCCTAAATTTTTATGTTATCATTTGATAAAGTATCCAAATAGAAAAATAAATTTGCTTTGTGCTTTCCTGATAGTTTTAAAATTTTCTGGAAATTCATGACTTTATAAATGTATTGCTCATCATATCACTATGCAAAAAATATTTGCATTAAATTTAAGACTTTTTTCTATCATTATATATTCTATCATAAACTTGTAATGGTCCCTAGGTGATAGTTTGGTTTTCTGTTTGTTTGTTTTTCATTTCTAGGGGATGGTCTTACAGTTCCAACAAAATTTAGTCTATCTGAAAGGCAAGGTGAGATAAAAGCATCATTGGATAGGAAACCAAGGACTGACATTGCTGCTTTTGAAAATGGAGGTGAGTTAATTTATTACCTTTTGATTCTGAATATATCACCATATAATGAGTCTGAATTTCCTCTCTCATATTTAATTTTGTTTCACCATTTTTTACCTACTTGTGGGAATTTGTGCTCAGTGTGCAAGATACTCCATTTTCCATATTTTTGAGAAATCTGGTACATAGTGGGTGTGTGTGTGTGGGGGTGTGTGTGTGTGTGTGTGTGTGTGTGTAACTCCATGCTATAATGAATTCAGTTTTCATATATGCTCTTATACTATCACAGAGGAAGAAACAAAGGGTACAATTAATGAAGTCCTTGTTGCTTTTGAGTGTCTACATAATTATAAATGTAGAATTTACGCCAAAGCATCACATCTTGATTATGGATTACAGCTTAAACAATTTTGGAACTACATTCTAGCTTAAGCATTTTTATTATTTGGCAGAAAATTCCAAATCTTTGTGTTATTTTTTTTTTCTCCTGGCCAGAAGAATGTGGTTGAGAGCATGGGGGTGATGTTTCCTGCTCTCCTTGTTTCATCCATTTTCAACTATTTTCTGTCTATACTTTTTTTATACAACACAATTTGATTTTTTTCTCTCCTTTCTCTTTTAGCTTCAGAAGGTTTAGACTAGCTGTCTGTAGTTGCCTTGAAGCAATAAACGTTAGCTATAAATAGAGAACATTGGTGGTTTTTCCCAATGGAGTTCACATTTTCTATATTACCTGACAGTGAATGTAACTGTAGCCAGCCAACCTGGCCATTTCTAATTTTACTTTTCAGTGAAGTAGTATTAAGTTATATCCTCTTTTTGGTTAATAAAATGTTATTTTCAACCACTGATAAACTGATGTTTTTATATAAAAGATAAAATTTTCTGGGCCTCCCCTGCTGGTGCAGACGGCTGAGCACCGTGCTGTGAAGCTGTCCGCAGCTCTGCAGTGCTGGTTCGATCCCGGCCGGCCAGGGAGAAACCCACATGGCACAGCAGACCTCTCCTATCTTGCCCGCTGCTCCCCTCAGCAGTGTATTTCATCAGTCTGCCTGGTTCTGTTCCCCACTCTGTCTCTGGTGAATCCTCTCACCCTCCCGCGCATCTGGCCTGTACCCCAGTTCTTGTATAAATAAATAAATAAATCTTAAAAAAAAGATAAAATTTTCTCTGTGTTGTGATAATAAGGAAAATATTTCCTAGATTTGGGCTTAGAAAATGTGAGGATGTCATTATACTTTCAATAATCTGTCTAATAATGTTGATAAGAGTAATAAACTGCTTAACCAACCACACTAATAGAATGTTAAATTTTTCCATCATCTAGTATGCTGGGTTTCTGGCATACCTAGTCAAAATTGTTGATTTTTCAGGTATTATAATGTTCCTCATTTCATTAAGAATCAGAACATCGTGGGTATATGTTATGGAGCAATATAAACAAATATAGACCCCTGCATTTATAAGTAGCCTTGAAAGGTGAATCATCAGAAATTAAAATTATAATTAGAATATTTTAATTTAAAGGAAAATTGTGTAGTCTGAGTTCTTGAAGTTATTTATATGTAAGTACACATACTTCATATTCAGATACATATAGATATAAATGTATAATCTAAACAAAACATATATCACTATGATGTGGTGTCACTGGGAAGAATTTAAGCAAGAATAGATCAAAGGGATTGTGTAGAGGGTATTTCTGTATTGAAATAAAGAGTTTTGTTCAACTTTCTGACATAGTGTCACTGACAGTAAGGTATTGTCATAGGAGGTGATTGTTATGTTCCACAGAGGATCATATTTCTTGGAGTAGATGAAAATGAAGCTTTAAATGAAGAGAAAGAAACCTCCATGTCAAAATGTTCAAACACTAAAGGTAATGAACAATTTTATCATTTTGATCCATTTGTAATTTGGATAGATAAGTTAGAAAGATAAACTTAATTGTTGTAAAAAGCAAATACAAAAGGCAAGGTAGTAAATAACAATAACACTATATTCATTAAGAGTCAAGGACCCTAAGGTTCCTATTTGGCTCTCTACCTAATTGTTTCAACAGAAAACTATACTTTTTTAAATTTTAATTTCCTTATCTGAAAAATAGCCTGTTGGACTACATAATTTCTGAGACTCTTATTAGCTCTAAAATTGTTGGTTCTCTAAACTGGTAATACAAAATTCTTTTCAGTTTCTTTTTCTGTCTTCAGTATCAATGAATTTTCTTAAAAGCTTTGTGAAGACTGTAGAGCATTAATCTTTTCACGACTTCCATGATTTCTATATTTTGTAATTATTACTAATTGTAGTCTGTGAATTATCAAGAGATGTGATTAAAAAATATACCGACTATAACGTTAAAATGCCTTTATTGTGCTTAGAGTTCCTCTACCTGATATCTGTCTTCAGGGCAGCTCTATCAGCCACAGACTAAAAGTACAGCTGGACTGTATTTAAAGGATTTCACATAATCTCCATCCAAATATTCACCACTATTTTTCACTTTCACTACTATTTTCCCCACCATTAAATAAATGTTCTCAAGAATCAAAAAAGGCACTTATGTTTAAATTATTCTCATTTAAGTGTCTCTTCCTCTCTCACTCAGAGATGGGAAAGTTTGGTCCAATCAATCAAAATCACTCTTTCCAACTAGAATAGTAGCCATTGCCCACATGTGGGCTATTTAAATTTAATTAAGTTAAATAAAATTAGAAAATTATTTCCTCCACTGTAGTAATAATATCATAGCACTCGATGTCCACATGACTAGTGGTTATCATTTCTGATGCACAGAAATGCATCATTCTGATGAACAGCACAGATTTAGAATATTTCCTTCATCGTGGAAGGTATGATTGGAAATAGCCTTGTTCCAAAGCATAGAATAAGCATAAGTTGATACATTAAAAAAAATTTGGAGCCCCAATTTAAATTTAAAGCACACTTGATGTGAAATTGCTAGCCTTTTAATTCTTTTGTGTAGTAGAATTAAAAATATTGCCATAAAGACATAATTTACATACTGAAGATAGTGACTGTATTTCTGGATTATTAATGTTTTGTTAGTGACAAATTTTGGGAATGCTGTATGATAATAAGGGAATTTCAATGACTACATAATATATTAAAGAGGTATACTCATCATATAATATTTGAAAAGTGAAATAGCAACTGAAACACTTTTTTTACTAATACTGATATTTTATTTTCTTAATTTGCTTTAAAAGATAACAAGGACAGTCCTCATCCAAAGCGTTCCCTAACTACCCGGCTAGTACCTACTACGCATGTATTAAATGCAACTGAGAATATCAGTATGAAGTGCAGAGAGGACCCCTCTTCAAGTGAGACATTAGCTCTATCACTTTTTGGCCTTAGATATTTTTGTTTTATCATGGATTTGCTTTGCTTATTTGAAATAGAAATTAAAAAAAAAGAAAAACAGGATGGTTTGAAAATTATTCAGTATTAAGAATTAAACACACAATATTCTTCTACTAACTCTGACAAATGAATTGTTATTTAGGACCTAGTAAATTAAAATTAATAGTTGCCCACTAGTTTAATTTAGGTTTTAAAATTACTAACATACCACCTTCTTGGAAGATTCATTAATACAACATTTTAAATTTAACCCATAGAGGATTACATTGACAAGGTTGTTTTCATCATGTTTTGGATTTTTTTTTAAACTTCTCTTTGCCATTCAGTACTCTGAGCTACTTCTCTTGATACAATTAAGACTCATGGATCTTCCTCTCTGTTTCCTTCCCTACTTTCTTCTTTCCCTTATTTCATTTATTGAATCTCTATAGTATTATTGGATCCCAGCTAGGCACTGAAGGGAACCATAATGGTTTGCCCCCAAGAAGCTCAGGTTAGTGGCACTTGTTAAATATGGTTTCCAAATTTTAGGAGTTGGAGCTTTGAGAGTAAAGATGGAACATGATACTTGGAGAGGGGGTGGTGAATCAGAGTTTCACGGAGGATTTAAACATCTACTGAGTTTGGAGAGCTAGAGCAAAAACAGATTATTCCACTTACAGAGCGCTGATGTATTCCACATAGTCCTCTTGCTGTTCATTTTCTCTGTGCAGTAGTTACTTGTAAATCTTCATGATCTCTGCATAGAAAGAAAACAAAGAGCGCCTCTCTACTAAATTGTTTCAAGATTCTCTGGAGAAATGTACTTTAGGAAAACTGATCATACATAAAACAATTTTGATGCTAAATGATACAAGTAAAAGGTGAATAATTTAGTGCTTAGCACTTCCAAATTATAATGATTCAGTCTGATTTCACCAAACTATCTGTATACACAAGTTTTTGAGCTCTTAAAAGAATAAGATTTACTAGGAAGCATTTTTTAATCCAACTTCTTAGGAAATAATAGTTTTGGTTAAAAAAGTACAAAAAGATTTATATTCAAAATAGCAATTCTGAAACTACTTAAATAACATTATAATTAGATTTATAATTATATTTGGAATGTACTTTTATGTTCTTTTAATAGAATCCACATTTCCTCTGGAGAAAAGCATTTTTCTTTGAGGAATACTACTTACTGAAAGTTTTCTCATCAATCAATTTCCAAGATAGTTTTTTATTGTCACTTAAAAATAAATCACCCTTTGTTCTAGAAAGTAAAGTACTAGGGTGGTGCATTTATTTTTTTTCTCTTGCTTGACATGTGAATGCACAGATATGTAATTATCACCTACAGTAATTTTCAGATGAAAGCATCTCTAAAAAACTGTAAAAACTTGTATCTTCTCTAAGTGAATGATGTCCAGCCTGTGAGAAAGCCTCATTTTAAAGGTGTGAAAAAAAGAAAATGGATTTATGATGAATCAAAGAACTTTCCTGGCCCAGGAATGCGGAGAGGTAAAGCGACTATATATTTGCTACTCCTAAATTGTAATTTGAAGAGAAATTAAATGTCAAATATTTTCTACCTTAAAAAAATTCTTGTGCAACAAATTATTTTAGATGTCAGCCTAACTTCTATAAATTTAGTTCTTCCATTGTGTCATCAAATACTTTAAATGCAATATGTTATGGATGGGTATGAAACCAATTTATCTTATCCATCACCTCTTCCTCTCTTTTACAACAGTACAAGCCCCAAATCCCAAAAATAAAATGAGTTACCATCGCAATAATAAAAGCAGAAATGCTGAGAATGCCCCCTATATCCATGTTCAGAGAGAGGCTGTCAGGACAGCGACATTGAACGCACCTCCCCGCAACAGGCCCTCAAATGGGTCCTACAGTAAAGTGGATGTTAATAAGGAACCCAAACTCAACCTCTGTCCAGGTGAGGCTCTTAAGTTACATGGCTTACTCAAGTCTGAGGATTTCATTTCCATGGAATTCCGTGATGGTGCAGTTAATCTTCATTGCTCCCCACCCCCTCTTCTTTTCCCAGGCCACCACCATCACATCATGGAAAGCTAGTGAAAGGGTTTCTTCCATCACGTATAGGAGTGCACATGATTTAAAGGATACGGAAGAAAACTCAAGTAGGGTGCAGCTGACTTAACATTGAACCTTCCTACAGTTTTGTCTCAGAGCACTGCACTTTGTTCCCAATGGATAGCTTTATTTCACTCTTGAGGATTGTTTTCAAATGGTTGACATTTTCTTGTTCCACTAACTGCATTGTTCAATTATCACTTTCAGGCCAGTGCTGTGGCTTTTCTTTAGGCCTTCATGATTACTTTCTGAAAGGGTTAGTTTGGGGGTTAACTGCAATATTTTTGGCAACCTCTCCTCTCTCCCACCAAGCACAGATTGCTTCTAAATCATTTCATCATGTAATAGGCAAAGTCATAGCACCTGTCAGGATGGAGGAGGACACAGAAGGAGGGAACGGAATCACTTTTTCTTCCTGTCTCAGATGAATTTTACTCTTTTGAAGTTGGGTTTCAGTTTTTCAACGTAACGAAAGGCCACTCGATTCCTTATAATTTCATGTTTGTGTTTTCCTATGTTCACAGTCTAGTTAGTAGAATTCTAAAACTTCTATATCTTTCTTAGTTCCCTTCTTCTACAATTGTAATAAAAGTTAGCTTCATTTAAATTGTTTTCCCCCTACTTGTTTTAGAGTAGAATGATGTATGGATGTATATATGGAAATAGGATATTCTTAGGTGAAACAGGTTTCACATTTTATTTATTACTACTATTTCCTTATTTTGTGAGTGGATGACTGTGAAGAATACAATGTCCACAAGAACAGTTTGGTGTCATTGTCTGGATGTGTGTGAAGGTGGCCACCCTGTGCTCACTATTGTTTTTCCATCTTTAGAGCAAATGTTAACACAGGGGAAAAAGCAAATAGATTCTTGGTATTATTATAGTTCATGGTTTAAGAAATCACAGTTGCACAGTAATATTTGAATATACAAGTACAATGTGCTAGATGAGAGTTAGGATATAGATCTGTTCAAGAAAGTAGAGATTTAAGGAACAAGACAGTAGACATATACTGTGGTTTCCTGAGACAGCAATATCACTGTGGTAGAGCAAGTACTGCCTTTAGGTGAGTCACTTCAAGGAAAGGAAAGAGGGCTCTTCTTTTCTTTCTTTCCTTTTGAAAATATCCTCTACTACTAATAGCAGAATTATATGTTATATTAAGGTAAAGTAAGACAATGAGATATATTGATCTGGTTTAAATATCATGCACTCCTGCAGTTTAACCTCAAAGAAGAGAGCCTTATTTGAAGAATTGACAATCACGAGATGTGCAACCGTGTTTACTGACAACTTGAATGGTTTTAACAAACTTACTTATACCCCTGATGCTTCAGCTTTGAAATTGTGAAATGAATTACTTAGAATAGCTTCACTTGTTAGATGTTTATAACTTTGAAACAGTCTGGGAATATGGTTTTAAGATTATAAAATATTAACTACTGTCTTCACTTTTTCCTCAGATAAATATATGTCAACATCGTATAATGGTTCAGCCTGGCGCAAAAGAATTCCTTTTTCAAAAACATATTCAAAAACTGAGAAGATATATACAGGTAAATGTTTACTAGTGATTTTAATGTATCATACAACTTTGAAAATGAGGGACAGTTTTTAAATTCAAGCAACATAATTTAGAAAACATGACGACTAAAATGTTCATGATCTATACGAACACTTCTTGGAGTTTAGTCGTTTTGTCTACTAGCAGTTAATTTTGTTTTGCTTTATTGTGTTCTCCTTCGCCTATTTTTGTTATCAGAAATCATTTGATATATTTTTCTCCTTAGCTACCAGTGTAGCAGTTGTAGCAATTATATAATATGCTAAGAGGCATCCTTTGTTGGACTACAAAGCAAATACACAAAGGTATATTTTGACACACAATATTAAAGCCCTACCATATATGCTGTAGATAAATATTGGCTGGTGCAGACTGACAGGGTACCTAAGATGAAGTTTCTAGGCTAGCAGGTTTGGAGTGGCTGTGGTCTCCCCTTGCTGTGCTTGGTGCACTGGGAGGGGCTGGGGATTGTGGAGCCTCTCCAGGGTAGAGATTGGCAGCGCATCCAACCAGCCATTTGGCAGCCTAGCCATGTGGTGGAGTTCCCTGGGGTGGGCAATGCTTATACATACACTAAAGGTGGGCTAGTTCCTACTCAGGTGATTAGAATGCAAACTGAAATTTGAAAAACCTCAGACCACTGATCTGGGCCACCCACTAGTCACCAACCAATGACCCAGACCTTATTGAGACCAAGGATTATTGAAATGATAAGCTGTCACACAGTTAGGAAACCATTCTCCTCTGTCTTGAACACTAGATAGGCTCAGCAACAGAATGTGGAAAAGTGGGGAAAAAAGCTTGAGAAAGAATTTCAAATCTGAAATTCAAATCTGAATGTGGTTTTGAAATATAAGTGTAAAATAACAAAGAAATCTCTGAAGTGGACTATGCTTAATTTCAAAGAACTATATTAATTTTCCATATCAGGCAGAATGGGGACGTAGAGTCAACATTTGAACAGAGTTATCGCATAATAAAGTTAGTTTTCTTATGTACCTGAGCTTCTGACCGCATAATAAAGGTAGTTTTCTTATGTACCTGAGCTTCTGACTGGGAAATTCATGACCCCTACATGCTGATTTTTTTCCAATTGTCATCACCAAGGTAGGAAGAGAAGCATTAGCTTATGTTTCTTTTTCTGTACTTTCTGCTCTGGCACAGAGGATGAATTTAAGCATTTACCAGTGGACTGAAGGACTGCCAGAAAGAGGAGGCAGAATGGCCTCCCTGGTGGCCTAGGGGTTAAGTCTCAGCACTATTACCTCTGTGGCCTGAGTTCAAACCCCAGCCAGGGAGGTGACACACATGGCACAGCAGACCCCTCCTGTCTTGCCTGCTCTCCCCTCAGCAGTGTATTTCAGTAGACTGGCCTATTCTGCTCCCCGCTCTATCTCTGGTGAATCCTTTCATCCTCCACAACTCTGGCCTATACCCCAGTTCTTCTACACGAAAAACAAACAAAGGAATGAGTAAATAAATAACCTATAATTAAGAGAGAGAGAGAAAAGGCAGAAAATGCAAACTGCCATCAGTTATTCCTCATAAGGAATATGTGGGAGCTAATGTCACAGAATTGTAAATGGGGGAGAGAGCCTTACAGGAAAGTGCTGTTGAATATGAGGATAATGCAATAGCAGAGAAAAATGTGTCTGTGCGAATAGAGGAAGGAGCTAAAGGCAATGAGAGATGTCATTTTCACTGTCAGCCTTTCCTTGAGGTCTCATGTCCTCTCTGATAGGGATAGAGCAGATATGACCCAGGGAGTCTGTCTCAATCCTATTCATTTTGGGTGTCCCTTCTGTAGCCATCTATAGGGAATTATTTCCATTCCTTTATATCCTTATATCCAAATTCAAAACACAATAAGCTTTGTAGAGAAGTAGATTTGGTTCGAATGACATTTTGAAAATTTATAAATTAAAACAATAAGCACAGTGTCATTTTGCCTTTAGACTTATGGTAAGTAATGAGCAAAAGAAATGCAAAATGCTGGTGTCATGAAGAATGCTGAAAAGAATATAATTTAAATATTTTTTGTGTTTTATTATTAGAGCCAAGAAGAAATGGGAGCAAGTAAACCTGGAGGTTGAGAGAAGAGAAAATTGAGAAAAGAGAAAAGTGCCAGACGTCATCTGATTTACAATCAAAAATGAAAATTCAAAGAATGAGATATTCAAGTACTATATACTGGATAGCCAAAGATGATAAAATGCAAATTCTGAAAATAAGATGCAGGAAGTACATTGTGCTCTTTCAAAACTGATAAAAATGCAAATTACAAACAGCTGCCTGTGTATTTATGTAGGTCTGGAATTCATTCGATGCATTGCCACAAACATTTAATAAAATTTAAAAGTTTGACAATTAAAATCATTCTTTAATTGTAAGCTAAGTTAGATTGCACAGATTGAGGAGTAAAATTGTGTCTTTGATCTTTGTTTTGCAATATTTTTTTACTGTAAAAACCTCCCATTTTCTTCCTTACCTAAGTTTTAAGCAGAGCCCTCAGGGATGAAAACAGATAAAGAGTAAACAAATTCAATGAAATTCCAGGGTTACAGTTTAGTGATGAGTATGTTAGAGGAATTCCAGAAGAAATGCTTGTGATGTGTTGTGAAAAGAGACATAGATTGGTTTATTATGCAGGGCAGTTGCTGAACAATGTCTTTTAATTGGCAGCTATGAAATTATCTGCTGAGATGTGCTATACTCAGACTGAAAAATAAACATGTTCCTACCAAGAGAACAAAAATTATACTATCATATTGGTGAAAAGAACTTGATAAAGGAAAAACTGTGAATTAATAACATGGTATCCCAAAAGTCCTAGTGAGGTTTTAAAGCTGTAGTAATTCTAGGAGCATAATGCTTACAAACAGGAGACACCATTTGAAAACTATTTCCATTTCTTTTGCACTTCTTTAGAACTGAGCATTAAGAATAATGTGTTTTTATTTAATTTTAAAAATATCATCTGCAGAATCCTTGAAATAAAAATTCTGAATTCTTCAAATTTAATTAAATTTTCTAACAATGTCTTTGTAAATTTCTGGCACTTATATTTCTGAGTTTTTTAAACTCAGAACGTCACTAACTTTGGGACACTGTGTATATTTGCATTCTTCTTGGCGTTATTGTTAGCCTCTTTTACAATATTTATTGCCAGGGTATGTGGCAGAGGAGTAGGACAGCAGTGTTCTTAGAAATATATTAAAACAAGGGACTCCCTCAGCACTATGAAGCCATGGGCAGCCACTGCAGCATGAGTTCAATCCCTGGAGCTGAACCACATGGTGCAGCAGACCTAACTTGTCTCACCCACTGCTCCCCTTAGCAATATATTTCAGTCAATTGGCCTGTTCTGCTACCCATTCTGTCTGGTGAATTCTCTCACCCCCTGCAACTTTGGCCTACATACACCCCAGCTCTTCTATGCATAAATAAATAAAAAATAAATCTTTTTTTAAAAAAGATTTATTTTTTATTTATTTATACAAGCACTGGGTACAGTCAGAAGCGTGGGAGGGTGAGAGAATTCACCAGAGCCAGAGCGGGGAGCAAAGCAGGCAGAAGGACCGAAGTACACTGCTGAGGGGAGCAGTGGGCAGCAGGAGAGGTCTGCGCTCCATGTGGGACCCTCCTCCGGTGGCCGGGGAGCAGCCAGGGATCCAACCGGCGCTGCAGAGGCTGCAGGCAGCTTCGCAACCCAGTGCTCAACTGCTGCGCCACCGGAGAGGCCCAAAATAAATCTTTTTTTTATAAAAAGAAATATTTAAAAACATTTTATAGACTATAGTTCCAGTTTGTGGAATAATAAACCTTAGTCTGGTGTCTTATAGTGCTCTGTATACCCACTTTCAAAAACATGAGGATAATTTTGTCTTTACCAGTACAACAAATAGAAATGAAAGCTGTGCCTGCAAAGTACCTTGATGAGATAGATTTGAGAAGGATCGATCCCATGGTCTAGATGGAGACTGACAGGAAACATCCTGTAATTCCATTTATACAAAGATCTATGTCCTTCCAAAAATTCACCTACTGATGGAGAAAAGGCTCTAAGAAGTCTAATCAAGACATCATTCTTGAAGTATAGATTCTCAGTATGTATCTTTATTATATGCAAAGAATCAGCGAAGAAAGAGAGACATCTGAAAGAAAGGTTGGCTATTATTCTTCACAACATGTACATGCATTATTCCTATGTAAATGAAAACTTCTATTATGGCAAACTTTAAAGGACCTAGGGCAGTAATCAACCCTGATTTTATATTTGTGACTTGGGACAAAGGCAATTGATTTATTTGTGAGTAAACTAGTAGTCAAGAAAGAAGGAGATGGAGAGGGCGGAGCAACATGGCGGCGAGGAGACGCTGCGAGTAAGATCTCCCATTAAAAAAAGTTAATAGGGAGGAAAAGCGGCAGGTCCCAGTGAGAACTGGGACACGGAAGATAAACGGGTGACTCCAGCAAACTGCCCGAAGAAGAAAGTGGCCATAAAAGAGGACTAGAAGGGAGGGAAGCGCAGAACCCTGCTCCCCTCCCCCGCCCACAGAGGCGGCACTCTCCGCCTGGCAGAGAGGAGGAAAACAACAAACCGAAACAGCCCACAAGAACAAACGACGCAGCAAGCGGGACTGGGAGTGGAAAGGAACTATTGCAGCCACCACACCCTGTGAACGGGAGCTGTGGAGAACCCTGCAGGATCCGCCGCGGAGGTGAGCTCCGGGCGCCATTGAAGACAGACCCCGCCCAGGAGGAGACCAGCACCAGCACACAGCCCCGGGCCGCCCGGTAAGCCTGCGCGGAAAGCTGCACGCTGGAAAAACAGGCGTGGAGCGGGATTGCGTGGAAAAGTGGCGCGGATCGCGCTGAAAAGCAGTGCGGTTGAAAAGCAAACGCGGATCCAGATCGGATCGCAGCTGCCCAGGTCCCCGCGCCTGCGACCTAGGCTTGCGGGGAGACGCGCGGAGGCCCTCCCTGAGTGAGCAGGAACCAGGCGCCCAGGCAGGGGAGCGGGATTCAAAAGGCACCATTCCCGCGCCACTGATCTGGGCTACAGCCCGCGTCCTGGAACTGAGGGCTTTGGAACTGAGACCCGGGGCACGAAATTAGGGGCGTGGGTTCCCCACGACGGTGGGGCACAAGGCAGACACAGCACCCCAAAGTCGTTGAGGTGTACCCTACCACCATCCCCACTCTGCTCCCTGTCCCACGGGGTGGAAAATCAGCTCCCCAAGGGCTCTAGGAGAGATCTCTGGCGCCACCTAGCGACTTGAAGCCAGCACAGGCCCCTGAAGGAGCTAGTGGCCAGCTGGGGAGTTAGCCCACGCCGGGCCCCTTCCGAACAAGTAGTCTGAGCCCACAGGGAGAGCGAGCACCCATAGCCGGGGCAGACCAGGCGCGCAGAAGAGTGTGCCTGAGACCGGACGCGCAGGGAGCGTGTCCCACATCACCATTATAGAATAGGGACATTTCTTCAGTAAAGACTACCTGCAGAAGGCTTCCTCAGGAGCCAGAGGTGAGCGGGGGAAGTTCGCCCACGCCAGACCCCCTCTGGCCTGCAGTCCAAGCCCAGAGGGGGAGCAGGAACCCACCGCCGGGGCGGACCAGGCGCACAGGGGAGTGTGTCCCCACATCGGCATTGTAGAACAGGGACCTTTCTCCAGTAAAGACTGCTTGAAACTGACAGATGACTCCTGGAGGAACCAGAGGGGAGCAGAGAAGCCCACCCAAGATGCCGGCCAGTCCCAACAACACAGTGTCCCAACGCATACGGCAAATTAGAAAACAGACAGTAGGGAGGAGGAGAACCACACGCAACCTAGCAACTCTCTAGAGAAAAAGCACACCACAAAAAGAAAACCAGCCCCCAGATTGCAACGACAGTAACTTGGAAGAACTTCTGAGCCTTCCAGAAAGAGAATTTAAAATTGCCGTGATTAAAAAACTGACAGAAGTCATAAAGGAAAACAATGATAAGGGAAAAATAATCAACGATCAGAAGAATGAAATTGAGTCCCTAAAGAGGGAAGTAAAAGAAATGCAGGAGATCAAAGAATTAATGGAAGAACTAAAGAATTCTGGGAAAAGCAATGAAAGCAGAATTGATGAAATGGAAGAACGAATAAGTACTCTTGAAGACACAGAAATAAAAAGAACAAAACAGAAAAGGAAAGAGAAGTACGAAGGAAAAAGAATGAAGAAAGACTTCGGGAACTATCTGACTCCATGAGGAAAGGAAATATAAGAGTTATAGGAATACCAGAAGGAGAGGAGAGAGAAGTAGGAACAGAGAAAATATTCAAAGAGATAATTGAATGAGAACTTCCCAAATGTGAAGGAGGAGCTGAAAATTGATATACAAGAAGCAAGAAGAACACCAAACTTCCACGATGAAAGGAAAAATACAGCAAGACACATAATAGTAAAGCTCCCAAGAATCCAGGACAAGGAAAAAATAATGAAGCTGGCAAGAGGGAAGAAACAGATAACATTCAAAGGAAAGCCAATCAGGCTGACATCAGACTTCTCCGAAGAAACACTACGGGCAAGGAGAGAGTGGAGGGACATAGTCAACAGACTCCAAGAAAACAGATGCCAACCAAGAATACTCTATCCCGCAAAGCTCTCCTTCCTCTTTGAAGAAAGAATATGGACTTTCCCAGACAAACAGAAACTCCGGAATTTCATTGCAACTAAACCCCCACTCTAAAAAATACTACAAGGAGTCCTAAAGCCAGAACCTCAGAGGGACGAATAACAATGAAAGAAGGCCAAAAAAAAAAAGTTATTAAAAGAATAAATAAATAAAATCAAAGGAAAGACAAACACAATGGCAAATACAGATGTTAACATATCAATATTAACTCTAAATGTAAATGGACTAAACTCTTCAATAAAAAGACACAGACTTGCAGCCTGGATTAAGAAACAAAACCCAACCTTTTGCTGTCTCCAGGAAACACATTTAGCTACAAAAGATAAAAATAGGCTCAAAGTTAAAGGATGGAAAACAATCCTACAAGCAAATGGAACAAAAAAGAAAGCAGGAACAGCTATACTTATATCAGATAAAACAGATTTCAAACTCAAAAAGATAAAAAGAGACCCCAATGGTCACTACATTATGATCAAGGGGACAATACTTCAAGAAGAAATAACACTCATTAACATATACTCACCAAACGAAGGAGCACCAAAATATATCAGACAACTGTTGTCCTCTCTGAAAACAGACATCACAGAAAACACATACGTAGTGGGAGACTTCAACACACCACTATCAACAATGGATAGATCAACAAGACAAAAAATAAGTAAAGAAACCAAAGCTCTAAATAAGGACCTAGAGCAATTGGGCTTAACAGACATCTATAGAACACTAAACCCC